AGGTCACGAGGGTAACAACGTATCCTCTTCACGCTGTACCCTTCATAGGATTGTCCTTGCTAGAGCATCCATGCCGGCCGACCAAGACTTTAGGATACCGTAATATTACCGTCCAGTAGACAGTACTAGGTGTGATATAGTATTCGAAAAAAATGTCCCACTTTTACTGTATTCTAAATAAATACATAGTCCAAAAATTGTAGTATTCAAATAATGATACCGTATCTTTTTGAGTATCTTTTTGAGTATCTTTTTGAGTATCTTTTTGAGTATCTTTTGATACTCTGTTATTTTGTGTTATACTGTGCTTAGCTACGTATACAGTTCTCTCGTGCCATGGATGATGCATACAATTCTCCTATGGGTTGGATCCAGGAGTATCATAGTATGACTCACCCTCTGGACGTCGACTACGAGATGTACCTGACCTGCCGAGTGTGCGAGAGGTTAGTCTTGGTTCAGTAGGAGTTGGATGTAGGATGAGACTCACCGTCTGGACGTTGACGACGCAATGTGCCTGACCTGCCGAGTGTGCGAGAGGTTAGTCTTGGTTCAGTAGGAGTTGGATGGAGTATGAGACTCACCGTCTGGACGTCGTCGACGCGATGTGCCTGACCAACCTGTTGGCACGAGAAGAACGTAAGCCTTGAATATGTGTAACTAAATGTTGTATGAGACTTACCATCTGGGCGTTGACGACACGATGTGCCCTGCCGGGGTGTTGACACGAGAAGAACATAAGTTGAATATGTACAGATGGGGTATGAGACTCACCGTCTGAAGTCGACGACGCGATGTGCCTGATCAAACTGTTGACACGAGAAGAACGTAAGTTGAATATGTACAAATGGGGTATGAGATTCACCGTCGGACATTGACGACGCGATACGCCTGACCCGCCGAGTTGTTGACCCAGTTGACGTGATGCCCGGAGAGAGTAGAGACTACTAGGTCAGAAATTAAGTAGGTAACTAGCCTTGGGCTTAGTTAACTAACTGTGTCTAGGCTAGTTAGGTGCCTACCTCTAGCTGGGCCACCGAAACATAACTATATGTAACTATGATCAACTGTTGAACCCCCCTAGCTATAGATCCCGGTTGACTGTACGTTGTTTCGGGGCCTATACGAGTCATTGGGCGAAAGGGGAAAAGGACCAATCTAGTACCTGTGGAACGGAGAGTCACATAGCCGTGGGGACAGATGGTCCGACCAACGGCATTCTCCCTTTGGAACTTAGTAAAAGACCACAAAAGATGAACCGGGTTATTCGCATCCACCCTATGTGGCTGTAAAATGAATGAATGGCTCTATGACCTCTGGAAGATCAGCCAAGCCCGACAACATATGTCCACTCCTGTATCTAGCAGATAGCTTATTGTCAAGGTACGGATGTGTTTTGAATTGAATAGATATAAAACTCATTGTTGATTGCATCTGGCCTCAGCGCATTGCATGTTGAAGTGCATAGAGTCTGGCGGATACCCAAGATTGAACGCATCTGCAATAGTCAAGGAACTAGTCGACTGTGGGTACCTCAAATCAGACGCATAATTGACAGAAATAAACATGAGCAAGGAAAAAATATGAAAAACCATAAACGCTAGCCCTGAAACAACAGGAACACACATGCGACTCAACAGAAGGACCTTCGTGTGTCTTCAGTTATCTTTTTCCTAAATAGAGATACTGGTCAACGTTAATAATGGTAGATGACTGAATACTCATCTTGATTGGTAGGAGACGCACCGAGATGAGTACGGAAAACATAAAGTCATACTCCGATGAATAAGATGTGGGCGATAAATTACCTGTCGGACAAAATATGGGTTATTATACCGCTAGACCTGAAGTGCTCCAAGGGCGACATCTTCAGTCTATACGGTAATCTTTTGTTCTGGCATTGCCTAATCTCAGGCAAACATCGAGTTAGTTTATGTAAGATCTCCACACATAACGGTACCTGCATTGCTGTTTTGAAATTGAGACTCACAAAGCATCCAATGCACTAGATGTGTTAGAACATTAAGCGAGCTATAAAGTCAAACCGTGATTCATCCAAATTACATACCAAAAGTCGAACAGATAACGCTGACTCCGTAGTGGCACAGAAAGTTTGGGTCATTCTAAGCGTCAGGTTTCTCTCCTCCGGGGGCGATTGTGTAGCCTTGTTTTATCATGATCTGTCGGTAATTATTCCAGTCTTTCTCAATCTTATCCAGAATTGCATTGTATTCCTCAGGATCGTCGTCGCGCATTTTGTCGGTGAGCTTGAAATGGTTCATGGTGTAAGAGAGATACGACCTGTAATCTATGGTCTTGGTTGGCTCCTCGGTTGACGCTGAAACGGGGCGAGGCTTCTTGATGCTTCCCGAATTTGCTCCAGAATCCGCCCTTTGTCTTTTCTTGTCAGAGTGATGGTTCTCTTCTCTTGCCGATCCATTTCCCGGGCTGTCCAAAACTGAGTCCTTCGTATTGGACTTCGTTCGCACGGATTGTGATTTAGTCTCTTTTGTTTTCACAGGAGGATTGGCCCAATCAGCACCTGGAAAGAAAGTGGGAGGCCTATCTCGATTGGTAATACCATTTTCGCTTAGCCAGGCTTGGTACGATAGGTCCTGGTGTTTCGCCGCGTCACGAATCCAGATATCCAGAGACATCTTTTGTTTTTTCTTGAGCCTTTCCATCAGTTTCCCCCTGAAAATAAAGCTCTCTCCATCTTTAAGCATTTTTGTGTGTCTCTCCTGTATTTGATCCCACAGAATTCCCACAAGTATAGTAGGAAATACATGAATGGCTTTCCCCTTTTTTGTCATTCGCGGCTTCCATTTTCGGTGGGGATTTGGTGTAAGAGTCACCACACTGACTACTTTCCTGATATTGGGGAAGCCGTACAGCCACTGACCATTTTCTTGAATGTCTAAAATCGTTTTGTGTTTGCCAGATATCAGTGGAAGACCCGTAATCTCATCTTTTGTGTGTGCTTTTGATGTCCCGAACTCATGTTTTGAATGACCGGGTGGCCCGTAACGGTAAATTATCCGTGAATTATCTCCGAAGCATTTGCATAGAGAATATGCTACAGCAACACCGCCCTCGTCAGTTATTTCGGGCGATGTGTTTGGAGCGGTCTGGGTTGACGGGCTCCCAGAATAACCCTTCCACTTTTGATTGTAAAAGCCCAGTCTTTCGGTTTCTGGTGAAGATGAATCACCACTGCCTGGTGTTTGACGACACTCTTCATTTTTCTCTCCGTCACGATCGCCCGGGGTGGATTCTGGATACTGTGGTTTACTCTGGGGATCCACTGACTTGCTAGTCGAGTCGATACCAAGCTCCTTTTCAAGCTTAGCAATCTTCTTCTTTTGAGCATGTGAGAGATCTCCCTCTTCGACCTTTTTGAGTTCTTCTAATTGCTCCCTTTGTTCATTCAGCTTCGCTTGCTGGTCTTGCCTTGCTTTTGTATCTCGAAGGGGCCTGCCTCCCTCTGCTGTCGAGATTCCATCCTTTGAAGTATCGATAGGACCAGAATCCATGTTTTTCGCGGATTTAGGAGAGTCCTTGAATTGAAACCAGCAAACTCGGGCCTACTTATAGATGAAAGGCGGAGAGATTGTCACGTCGATCGCAATAAGTAGTGAAAACGGTACCAAAAAAATTGGTCGCCATCAACTTTCTATGTCTGCTGCTTGTGTCTTTGTAGAAAAAGACATGACACTCTCAGTAATTTTCTTTACGGATGGGCTACTCTCACGCCCCTCAAAACGGTTCTGGAATAGTGAAGAGAAGCCATAATGCATCTTCAGAGCCAACCTAAAACTTTGGTCTTAAAGACCCCTCACGTAACATCTGAAGGCATAACTGAGTCCTCTCAATACCATCTGCGGTACTTATAGAATTTGACAACATCCACGCTTCTATCACTCAGCCGAATCCGATGGAGCAAATCATCTCCTATCCCACTCAATTGCACGTCTTTTTTATACAGAAACATTCATATTTGGTGTACGCAAACCTGAGCCGGTATGTTGTCAGACTATACAGAAATAGGTTTACGACCGCCAATAATAGTCTTTCTATCTCCCCGCCGTGAAGCTCCATCTTATAAGGCAACATCCGGAAAGAGATGAGATATGGGTGAGCCATCATTCGATCCAAGCAGATTTGTAATAATTTGAGAGTTTTCACCGAAGTGAAGGCGCTGAGAACAGAAAACGAAGGTGAAGAAAGCTACGATTGGGACCTTCGCCGAAACTTGGATACTGATCACGGAGCCTGAATTCCATTTCATCTCAAATGGAAAAACAGTTTACATTATCCCCAGGCTTTTCTTCTACGCCAATGCTCCTATTGAACGACCGGTTTACCGTCAGTGCTGCACACATATGATCATTATGAAGGCGGCAAGATAATATTCCAATCGCGAGCTCCGCAATCACTCATTCCATAGACTAATTTGACACACACTGACACGATATAATCTTGTCTAACTCTAACCGCGCGACGTCGGCGTGAAACTCAAGTCTATGGAGCTATGAATACTTCACAGATCGTTATATACACTGTCGTAGATCTTGAAAATTTGACTTAATCTGGCCTGTGTGAAAATAGGGATAGGAACTAGAGATAATGGCATCAGGCAGCAAATTGAGTAAGGTTGAAGATATCTAAAACCAAGATAACCCTGAGTGGATGTGTGCTCTTGTGCATACTTCCAGAAGTTCCACGTTGCCGTATAAGGCTAGTGTGTCCCAGCGAGAATGGCATACTATCCAAGAAGGCCTCAGGGGCATTTGAAGACTGCTGAAACCTCAACAGCCTGCATGCATTTATACTTATCTAATATCCAGCGTGCAAGCCAGCGCCTCCATGTCTTCGACATGATCTTCAATCTGAGGCCAAAAAGTCTCAGATTTTCAAAGTGTGAATTTTTTGGGAAATGCTTGCATTCTAATCTTCAGGGGAACCAACTGTTGCTTTGCCCAGATTTCTCATACTTCCCCCTACTTTTGATTAAGAATATCAAGTTTTGCTTCCAGGGCTGTTATCGCATCCTTTAAAGCCTGAAGCCTGGGCACGCCCTCTGCAAAAACATTAACACCCCATTGTATATCTTTGTTCCAGATCTGTTGCCTCATTAACTGCTCCTCCATGCCTCTGGATGTATTAATTAGTTATGTTGTCGAAATATATCACAGATACCATGATGACTCACTTCGCACGAGTTCCTAAGCTGTAGAAACGTCAGCTATGAATAGTTTCAGACCATATATCATCCTTACTCGTTGAAGACGGTGTTAATAAGCACTTTAGACGCGTAGGGTGGTCGATCTTGCAGATGATCGACACTGAAGCGGGATTCCATGGCGTAGCTGTCTTCACTAGCTCGCACGCGGTAGACCGCATCCGTGACCGTACAGTCCTCGTCATCATAATGGGCCCAGTCATCTTGTTCAGGCGGCCGATTGCCCGTATTGCTGATGTTCGGCAATTTCAGAGTACTGCTCTCTGGATTGAGGTTCATCGTTTGGCGCCAGTTGCAACAAACTCAGCCGGGACTATACTGTGCTCATAGTCGCTCAGTGTCGCCATTAGGGAGGCATCTGGATATAATGATGTTCCAAGGGCCATACGAGAAGGAGAATAGGCAATATATATGGCTATCATAAAGCGAATGAGGGCCAATCAGAGTAATGTGGAGTTGGGTTATTCCAAGCCCTCTTCATTCGGATTGAATAGGCCCTACATCATCCCTTCTAGGATATCCGGAACTCCAAACTTTATTTGAGGACTTATCTGCCTACAAGTAATCCTCACATTGCTATGACTGACTATTCATGGCACGAGTAAGAATACCCAGTACATAAAGTAGAGGCTATCTATAAACGTGGAGAGGAACAGCAGACTGCAGCCAAAATATGAACCATTCGACTTCGGCCAATTCTGGAGAGGAGTAAGCTGGAAGTTCGTGGAGGGGAGAACAACAGTCCAAGACGACAATGTCGCTGTGCATCTGGTGCGTAATTCACTAGGTGGGAATCATCACGAGTTGATAGCAGGCCGACTTGCCTTCAGCTATCCGTCCTCCCGGCGTCTACGAGATGATACGACTGTGCAGGTGGTTTTCTTTAATGTCCCAGATTTGGAGAACTAAAATAGCTAAAAGACAGCATTCTGAGGGTCTAAACATCCCCAAAAGACCTGAGGCCATTATACAGACTTTCTACTGCCCTATCGCTATTTCAATGGCCTACAATATGACATTCAAATATATCACTCAAGTACCTCAATCACACAGGAGGATTTATCAATATTAGCCTCAAAACCCAGTTTGTAGAACACATTTTATCAAATGAATTACCTTGCTCTCTGATTGAAAGTTGATCTACAAAAAGATTGTAACTTCCGCTAGCCAGATCCATGAATTTCGCGAGCGCTCACCTGATCTGGTTGGCCCTTTTCATCCACGTAGTAAAGCAGTTGAAGCACGGAGTGGAATTCGCTTCAACACCCTCGGAAGGAATAGAAACATTGAGCACATGATCACTCATAGCCACGCAGTATAAGGTTTCAAACAGCAGCAGCGACTACAGCCGCATGAGTGAAGGCGGAAGCACAATGAAACATGTTGGAAGCTGACTCGCAGCCTGGTCACCACCTCATGATTATATTTTCCCCTGATAAGCGGGCTATGTTCACGCAGCAGGGTAACCACCATCTGTCCATTTCACCGCTGACGGATTTTTACGTCCGTCAGTTTCGCTCAAGTCGGTTGTTGTCCACCCTACTGTCGGATACCGGTCTATCACGTGTTCCCCAAGTCTAGAATCGGTGTCGTCTGTAGTGGTAGATACTATTCAACGGCCTTCATTTCGATTCTTCAAGGCTGATAATCCTAGGGGCTGTTGTTGACTACTTCTTTGCCAATTGAAGCTAATGAATAAGGTCACGGTGTGACTGATATGTAATCTCAGGTGGGGGACTTTAATGGAGTTTATCTCTGTCGCCTGGACGCCCCTCTGACCAGGATCTTGCACTTTCTGGATGGCTGCCGAAACTTTCCTGTAGCAAAGGCTGCTACGAAACGGGCCCACAAAGAGAACCCGTGAAATTGTTCGGTGAAACCATGCATCGTGTCCAGCGACGTCCTATACGTCAAGCTACTCCAGCCGCATGGCTCTTGATCAGATACTATAGAGCTCCCTTCACGACTGTGTTCATTGGACCGCACTGATTTGTTTAGAGCTAGTCCAACCCAGTATCCCAGCTAGTGCTCGGAAGTTCTCGTTTGTTCCACGACGATGCCTTTTAAACGCAAGAGGATACTTGAATACTCCAACTACAGTGATTGATTAAAGACAGAGCTGAGATGGCACATGATTACAATAACTCAGTCCCTAGCATTTGCAAACTGTCGAATTCCCTACAGACAGGATACACAGCCAAAGCAATTATAGCTCGAAGGAACTGCATGATGATTTATCTCGATGGGGGAACAAAAATTCTAGTCAAATGTCCAAGATGCCAGTCCGTTCTCATTGCCACAGAATCACACCGGGAAGTTGGTGCTCGCAGTGTGTTCACGGCTCAGCTTCTGCCAACCAGGGACTTCAATGGCAAATTGCTTCGACACTGACCTCAGATTCATCATCCTCCTCATAGTCTCTCCTTCACTTGCAGAAAGAGAGCCTTGTAATCTGGTGAGTTGTTGTCGGCCATCGATCTGTCAAAGGGGAAGTAGCTTAAGACAACCGCCACAGTCTCGATTGGTGGGTACCTTATCCAGATGGGGGGTAGTGCCCTATCGAAAGTTGCGTTTCACGTGACGCAATTATTAGTCATCTCTGTTTACATTTCCATGTTCTTACCTCAGTGTCTCAGACTATAATCATCATCACATGATCCAACAATTCTGCCGGATTTTTGGCGCGCTAAACCTAATCGGATTGCTTGCGGCACTGTGGTCTGAGAGCTGAACTGGCTCCTACATAGTATTTTGCGGGCTCACGTATTAGTCATAACAGAACAAAAACAATTAACCATCGCCATAGTATTTCGCGGGCATTTTCCTCAACCTCCTCCATTTCGCATCTAAGGTCCGTAATCTGCTAGATAGCAGCTGGTACGCTTATTTAAACAATCCTTCCATCATTAAATTCCCCAAAACAAATCGCTATGTCTCAAAACCCCGCCTGTCCATCACCCCCCGCCTCGCGTTCGCAAACCGCGCCGCATGATCTCCCAAACGAGTACACCTATGTCACTGGATTGTCTGATCGGGAAAGGGTTGACATGGTACTTCAGCAAATGCATGGTCAACATCGCTGGAGCCTCAAGACCTTTATTTGCAAACTGGTAACGGCGCAGCCTGAGAAACATGAGAAACGTGCTCGGTCAACTGACTACCGCGCACAAAAGCTATTTGAAGCTATTTGTGAGCAAGATGAGGTGCTGGATGAGCTACGCAAGATTTCTGAGACTGTTCAGTCATCAGGGCAGTCGGAGCTGGTCAAGATCATCCGCAACGAGCTTGCCCAGTTTGATGAATCTGGAGTCGGGCTGGGCCGGTTCATCACAGACGAGACAGTTGATCAACTGCTTGTACCCCAGCTCACTTCACGTGGGCAGTCCACTGCTCCTCATTTATGGGATCTCCTTGTCCATATCATGATGCAGCAGCACCCAAGTGCTCGTGATACATCTCAGAAGTATCAGGGCAGTATCTTTATGATCTGCATGATGTTGGCTTCAGCCTTTGCTCCTCAGACCTGCGATAAATTCCTCGTCATGCTTGGAATTCATTTGCCTGAATTTAGCCATCGATCGAGGGATGTCTGTTCATGGCCTAGTCCTGCAGAGCAGCGACCAGCCGCGCCACGGGGAGCAGTTCTGGCTTTTCGACGAACCATTGAGCTCACTGATTAGGAGCGGTCTTCCAATTTCCACTAAACCAGAGTTCAAAGTCAGTAACAGCATGATAAGGTCCAGGAAACTGCAAGATAACCTGTAGGATGGTAGATTGGCAAGACTAGTCGCTCGCGTTGGGTACATTTAGAAAATTGGGAAATTCCGGCACTCACAGACAGGTGAATTCAATTTCTAGAGAATATCGTAGCGCCACCCAATTTTTGATAGTTGCGTTGGTTGTTGAAAAGGCGAAGAATCTTGCCCCTGAATTTGGTGCTGTCACTGCTGTCTGTCCAGCGGCCAGCCGCAGCGGGGCATGATAGTCACGTGACACAACCGTACTATAGCTTTTGGGCCTTTAATGATCGTTTGGTACAACTTTTGGACTTTTATTTTCAAAAAACTGTAATAATCTTACCATCATACAATAGAGGCTATTAATATTTAGAAGACATCGTCGCCCGATTTATGATAATTGCGTTGGTTGTTGAGAAAAATGAAGCTTTTGAATTTGGCGTGTGTTTTGACCCGAAATGGCCGCTATCGTTCGCCGTTGGCTGACGGTTTGCCAATCCCAAACGTTCCACAAACTGTCTGAATTGTGGTCCGGCTAGTGGTTTGGTCAGTCCATCGGCGACGTTCTTGACGCCTGGCACATGGAGAAGTTGAATCTTGCCTTCGGCAATCTTCTCCCTGATCCCATGCCACTGGGTTTCGATATGTTTCGAATACCCATGGGATCGCTGGTTCTCAGCCATCGATATGGCTGATGAGCTGTCGGTAAATAGCGATACGGCTTTGCTCTTGCCGGGGTTGCATCCGAGATCTCGTAGTAGTTGGCTTAGCCAGATGGCTTCACTACCTGCAACGTGACCGGGTGATTCGCAGATGGTATGCGAGGCAAGCCGCACCACAGACTGCCAGCAGATAGTGAAGTTTGAGCATAAGCTGAGGATGGCGTCGGAGCATTACGGCAAGTGTAATTGGTAGCATTGCGAGAAAGCTGACGATTGCCTATACTCCATGAGCATTTTGTACGTGAACCCCAAAGCAACCCTCTGTGAAATATAATGAGACTGAGAAATTACCCCAAATGCGGCCAAAAGAGGGCCCGACAATGGCGTGGACAGGCGGGCAAGTTCTACTATCATGGTGCCGTGGAGGAGGCAGTGAACTAGACATGCTCGGCCCGCCCAGCGGTGGACCCACGCCAGGCTATCCCGGCTCAAGCGACAGAGACTGGATGCCTGGCTGAATGTGGGCCCGGCAAATAATGGGACAAGGTAGATGACGGCCATTGAGCCGGCCCTTTTCTGCACTTCTGCCAAAGAATGAGTAGCGAAGACCAGAACAACGACATTCGATGTCAAGAGAGCGGCCAATAGGAGGCATTGTACATAAGACAGGATATCTAGACGATGCAGGATGCTTGGTACAGGGGACTGAAGGAAGCGCCTCCAAGAGAGGGCACGTTGCAACTTCAGGGACCAAGCCAGGCAATCCCGTCCAATGTGATAAAACAGCCATGCAAAGAGGACCAAAGCAGCACAGAGACCATACTTTCCAGGAAGAGAGACCCCTGAGAGCCAGTGAGAGAGTGTAACGGCAACAGGGGGCATAGTGTGGTCGTATGAATGTATTGTTAGAAGAAAAGGAATGTCGATGCATTTATGTAGGGAACTTGCGTGCAGCGTCGAGTCAAGGCCGAGCTTGACCTTGGCACCCCGTTTCCCAGGCCGTGAGAAATCCCTATGGTGAACGACGATGCATAATGCATGTAAGACAGAAATTGGATAGTACAAAAGAAGCATGCGGTGCTAAATTCCCAAAATGCGCCAACTGCAAAAAGAGCAGCATGGGGCAACACCACAAAGTTAACCAAATGCGGTGGAATGATCCCCTCCATGACAAGTGGGTAATTATCCTCGCCACTCCCACATGCCAATGGATATTCACATAGGCAGTCCACCACCAACCAAACTCCCTCCCCAGAAGTAATACACAGCAATGCACGATGAGACAGATTCTGGGTGTTTTATTCCAGAATACGCTATTATTCGTGTTGTACATAAAAATTTACTACCCCTTGACGAGTTGACTGCGTACAAAATATGCTACAAAATGAGGTCCATGCCGATTCGGGCTGTATAGATTGTATATGGAAGAGATATTCAGTAGAAAGCAGAAGTTGACCGGCGATGGAATCTAACTCGCTATTTGCAGACAGCGTGTATACTGTAAGGCTAGATCCATGAATTTCGCGAGCGCTGGATACGGGTAACCCTCCACTCTCGCTTCCAAATTTGTTCTGCCTCAACCTCTTGCCGTTTAGATTCGTCTAGCGTGGCCCTCAGAGCTTGGATTGCTTGCAGTAGACGGTTGTTTCCCACTGGATCCACCTCGGGATCAAAGTGGTATTGCAGTATGAGCTTTTGGGCGACTTCAAGTGCTGCTCCTGATAGATTGACAAGGTGTTCCCGGCATGAAGCATAAAATCTGTTTTCGTGCTTTTGCTGCTCCCACTGACAAAGCTTACTGTCTCGAAGCTCGGGTAATGACATTCTATGCTTGCTTTTGGACCGCTGCAGTCGAGATCGCGTACTTTCTAAGGCCATACTTGTTCCAGAAGACATTGCAAGTTGGTGATCAAGGGTGTTGATCTCAGGAGGCTGAATCTGAAAGGAGGTGGCACTTTCTCCAGAGAGGACAATTTTGGCGACTCGGGCGACCGGCTATAGACACTGGAAGCATCGTCCTTTGATACAAATGAATCTGCCATGCTCGACGGAAGTCTATGAGCTCTGAAGTCTGCAGCGATAATTCATCTTCAAGAAGTTAGATGACAAGATATCAGTCATACTCCATGAGTAAGAATGACCACCCGGTATCGTGAGCCCTATAACGATTCATTGGGTCTAATCGCCTCATAGGGCATACTGACCGATTCTCGTTTAGCGTGTCAGTATTTGCCTTTCGTAGATTGTACGAGTAATAGGAGACTTGAACTCTCAAAATCCATTACGATCTCGACGTCGCGGAGCCCCGCAAGGACGGATATTGGCCGCAGAATATTGGCTCTAGAAACCTGACTGCATTGCATGGTGAAACAAGCGAATGAGGAGGAAAGCCGGATAACATGATATGGTGTCCTCAGGGTAGACAATGTGTGAAGATGGAACCATCCGAACTCATACCTAGTGATATTCCATCCTCAGTGTACTAATGCCCATAGTTCCTCTTGATAGTGTAAGACCTCAATCTGGCTATTTGATTATTTAGATATACTATGTCACTTTTATACCTTATAGAGACGTGGGATGTGCATACTGAGATGCTGCTTAATTATTCTGTCAGTTTTCGTAGGTCAGGACTTGCCCTAGTAGATAATTCGAACAGGTTGTCTACAATGGATCACAAACGCCTCCTCTTTTCCCCAAGGGAAGGTTCGACGAATGTGACCCGCCTTTTGGTTCCCCGGCGACAGAAGCATCGTCTCGCTGGCGGCCACGCATCGGTCCGGTGATCCGGGCGGCCAAAGGAACTCTGCATTTGCTGCTCATCTAAGAGTTTTTGAACGGATTTAGGAAAACCTCCCAGTCGCGTCTGCGATCCAGCATTGCTAATTTGAATTGTGAAAGGTTCATCGAGACTATTGACTGCGAATGAGACTTTTTTGCGATAGTATCCACAGTCCTGACAGCCATTGTCCTCTCCAACTAGGCCGAGGGGCCCTTGATGGTCAATCTGGAACTCTGCGCCAGGAATTTCAGCGAGAATACGACCAATCAACTTCCGAGGCTGTGTGCTCGTGCAGAGAATTGAACCCTCACAGAAGATCGTCCCCTGCCTCATCGTAGGACAGCCATCGAGTTCAAAGAATAATGTCCCCGTCACCAGGATTGCCCGAACTAACTCGTCTGGCACGCAGAATGTTGACTCAGCCAACTCGGCCAACTTTTCCACATCGTCCAGCCACGGGAGCGGTCCATGGAACAGTTTATTCACCCGGTAGATGTCCGCCCGCATGTGGCTGGAAACATAGTTCTGCGCTTCGAGAAAGGCCTGCTCACCATCCATGGAGGGGGATGAGACCGTTGCGCGAATCAAGCGCGCAACGGCACCGTCCTGCAAGATCCCGCCCGGCCTCGTGTGGCGGAACTGTCGTTCAGGTGCTGTATACCCCGTACCCACCGACACCAGCAGATCGGGCCTGTTCCGACCGGGCCAGATCAGAGTGGACTCTTTCAGAGCGATAGACAGCGGGTTGTTCGCACGTACCCCTCCGTCTTGCAGCGGACCGAACCCAGGGAGACTTTTGGTTCGGAAAAAGCTAAGCATGTGTCAGCGTTGTTCGCAACTAGCTGATTCCACTCTTACCCAGGAGCAGCCACGCTGCACCTTGCACTAGAAGACGGTCAGATTGATTCTATTCATGACAGTGGCCTCGCCGCAGAAAGATAGGTGATCACGTACACTTCCCACAATAATGGATTTTGATCTTGACTTTGAGGCATCAGAAATTCGTATGCTGACATTCCAGCATGCCGACCGATGCCACGGTAATTGGCCAGCAGGCAGGCTTTTCCGTCCGAGATGCGACTGGCAATGATCGCTACCCGGCTGTCGGTGCCGCATGTCGTCCCGACATCAAAAATTCGGCGATGCGGTCCTAATGCAGCCTTCAGGGTTTCCTCTAGCAAATGATCATCGTACTTTCCGTCCAGGAGAAGACGTTTTAAACCTGTGATCCAGGCTAGGCATTTGAGAGCTTGGACCGGCTTTGCTGGCTGCTGGAAAATCTTTCGTGCAAGGTCTGGGAAGCGGCGGAAACTGCTATCTGCGGAAGAATGGTTGAAGACCAAGTCCATGATATTCAACGCCCCTGCAGAAACGAATGTTAGGAAAAGGCGATTCCAGGCCGGCTCAGCTACAGCTAGGTACATACCCACACTGGTGCCTACGCATAAGTCAAATACTCCGGTCAGAAGATCTCCACCCAGCCGCTTCTCCAACGACTGAAGCAAACCAAGCTGCTCAATCCCCCGAATGCCACCGCCGTCGAGGCTCAATATATTCGGTCCTTTTGTCGGCGGTAGCTGTCGCACTGCCAGATGAACCTCGGTACCGCACATCGGACACTGTGTGACCTCGAGGGCGTGCTCCCCGGCCGAGCTTTTAGACCCAAATATGACCACGCAATTGTCGCACATGGCATGCCGACAAGCCAACATATGTTCCGGCGCTCGGTTCAGGCAGAAGAAGCAACTGGTAGAGGAGTACAGACCTCCCCACCGTCGGTGAAACCTGCGTAGCATGCGTCGTCGAACAGCCACAGGTGGGGTCATTGGATCTATTGATTTGAAAAAATCAGTGAAGCGGGCCAGCACCCCATCGCAAAACTCGGACGGGCTCATATCAACTCTATTCTGCGTGCCCCACCCATCTGTGCAGTCACTTCTGTACAATTCATCGAAGACGTGGCTTGGATTGAACACTGAGACTGTCAGCCAATAAGACAAAAAAGCTCGAGACATGCAGGCTGTGGACGGGGGCGAGGTAGGGTCGAGCTAGTAGGGGGATGGGTGAACTCACAATGCATCCCTGGCGGATAGGCGTCTATCAAAATCGCTGAAGCGACAAATGAGCTAATGTCCTGAGCCTCGCAACCTGTTTTCTCAGTCTGTCTCAAGAACTCCACGAGGCATGCCTTTCTATTCAGCGTTGATGGATAATTCTTTCGCGCTACGCGGAGACAATCGAAGGCTGTAGTATCTAGTCCTCGCATCTGGGACTCCAAGTTGCTTTTCCAGAGCGCGCAAAGATGAATAGCAGAGAACAACAGTCCATGCTGCCTCTGTTCCACCTGGACTGACTGAAGCTTATCAAGAATGACCCGGCGCAATGGCTCAAAGGCGGCCATAGGGGACAATTCGTGCCGATCTCGTAGATCTACAAACGTGATTTCTGGAGCAACCACGTCGCGGGATTGATCTTGCGGAACCGCCGCAGCTAGTTCATGTGGACCATAGTCTTGAGGGGCGGTGAGAACGACGAGAACTTTGAAGCGAACGGCGACAGAACGGGATCCCACTTGTATCTTGTGAGGGGGCCGATCAAGCAGCCGCTGGAGTTCTCGCATTTCTGAAACACTATCTACGAAAAGGCAGAGGACCTGGGTCCAGGGTAAGACAATCTGAGAGATCACATGTAGGTTCATATCTGTCGGAACAACAGCAGCAGTGGAGATCGGAGAACGGAGATACCATATCCCACTTAGATTAGTCATTGTTATGCCCATACAAATTGCCAGCCAGGGGCTTCATAGAAATTCAGACCTGTTGATATCCGATTGGTACGCGCTATGATTTACTAAGCAGTTTCCGACTGTTATGAGCCCGGTTCGCAATTAAGAGGGTTAAATTCGTCAATTGAAGACATACGCAGGTTTACCGCGATAGCCAAACAGGACAGACGTCGACCCCGATCAGCTCCCCATCGAACGAAATTGCAAGAGAACGTGACACATATGGACTCAACCGTTGTCTCCGCCATGAAGGGCGAAAAACTGAAGGAACCAAGTCAATGGAGGAATTGGTTCGCACGAATCAAGATCTATGCACGACAGAAGAGGGTATGGGAACTGATCGACCCTCACACCGCAGAAGAAGATCTGGAAAAGCCAATTCGCAAACCTCGAAGACCGCAATACCCGGAGGGTGGCAACGAACTTGCGAAGAGAGAGTGGAGAGATCGTATGGATATCTACAAGCTGGACCTTGCCGAATGGGAACAGCAAAACAAGAGCCTAGATGCCATCAATGAATGGATCATCTCAAATCTGGATCCAGTCCATCACACCTCGATGCTTAACTACGAAACCCCATACGGACGGCTTGTATATCTTCAAACCCGATTTGGCCGATCATCTGCGGCAGAAGAAGATATCCGTGCACAGTGGAAGCGAGTGTCAGCCTCACCACCAAAGAGGGGTTCTGATATCGATCAGTGGATCAATGAATGGGATGCACTAAGAGAGCAAGGTGTAAGCCTAGACCTGCCAGAAATGAAGAGTGCCAATAAGGACTTCCTCCGCGCTGTTAAAGATCTACTCCCTGTTTGGTGGCAGCTGAAATTTGAGGCGATCGTGCTGAACCAGGAAGAATGGGATACTCGCGATTTGATTGAAAACTTCAGAGGAAGTTATCGTGAGCTGCACCCACAGAGCGCGAGCACTGTCAGCACTATTTCCAAAGCATCGTTTTCGACACTGCAAGGTTTCGATGAAGCTAGACCAGAGCCACCGCAGGGAAAGCCGCAAGGCCAGCAAGCACAGAGAATGAACACCAGGAAGAACTTGATCATGAGGACCGTACACCTGAGGGGGTGTATGCACCGATCACCCCGGAACCTGAGGAAGATCCCCCTAACAGCACACTCCCTGGTTCGTTTCCTCCAGAAGTGATACCGGAACTACCACCAAGTCCACCAGAGGAGAATACCGCTGAATTTGGCCCTGCCGCTGCTCAGGGGGTGGACCAGTGTGAAGAACAGAACGAGGAGGAAGACCAGCCGCCAGAACCAAATCCTCCGCTTGAAAGCCTAGAAAATCAACCTGATCCAGACGCGCTCTCCGAGAGCGAACAGCAGTTACATGCTGAGCTCCACACTCAAAGGAGAGACGGGATTGTCACGGCGAACATCATGAATGGACGCAGAGAAAGAAGACCGAGGGTAGATCCGGATTACCAAACATACGCAACGATCTTGCCAGAGACTGAAGAAGATCCACCGGAGCTACTGCGTACGTTTGCCGCCGCGCTGTACACAGAGAAGCCGTTGCAACGCCACCGAGACGACCTACCCCCTGCGCCTGATGGATGGAAGAACATGTTGAAGCACCCAATGGCTGAAGGTTTTCTGGCTGCCTGCGCGAAGGAGATACGATCCTTGCAGCAAAAGTCATCATTCACCGTCATTAAACGACCAAAAGACGTGTCGAAACAGATCCTGCCACTCCGATGGGTATTCGCATACAAGTTCGACCAAGACGGTTATCTGCTGAAGCTAAAAGCACGCATCTGTGTAAGAGGAGACCTTGAGACAATATCGCCTGAGGAAAAAAGAGCGGCGACACTAGCAGCGCGCACAGCACGGGTAATGTTTGCCCTGGTCGCAGCGTTTAATCTCGATCTACGTCAGCGAGATGCAGTCACCGCATTCCTAAACAGCATACTGCCCACAGAAACCTACACGAAGATGCCTGAAGGATTTGAACAGCTAGGGATGTGTTGGAAGCTTAATCGTGCGCTTTATGGTCTGCGCATCTCACCGAAGCTTTGGCAACAGGAAGCATCAAGGGTTCTCTTGAAACTTGGACTCACACAGGTCCCTGAAGACCCCTGCGTCTTCGTAACACAAGGCATAATCGTGTTCTTCTACGTTGATGACATGCTTATTGCGAACCACCCGTCAGAACGAGACAGAGCTCGCCAACTTGAGAAGGATCTGGAGGCACACTGGGAGCTTACGGATCATGGAGAAGCAGAATGGTTTTTGAATATTCGAATTGTACGCGATCGGAAGCAACAGAAACTTTGGCTTTGCCAAGACGCATATATCAGCAGTATGGCTGCTAGATATCATTTGACCGATCGACCACCTGTCTACACCCCTCTCCCGGTGGAAGAAATGAAGGCATTCGAAGGAACAGCAACACCGGCTGAGATCAAGTTATACCAAGGAAAGGTTGGTTCATTGCAGTATCCAACATCGATCACTAGACCGGATGCATCAAAAGCAGCCGCGAAGCTCTCACAGTTCCTTCAAAACCCCGGACCACAGCACCAACGAGCTGTTGATAGAGTGATCTGCTACTTATATACCACACGATATTTGGCACTGCAATATGGAAATAAAGGAGACATGGAGTCAGTTGAACTGGCAAGTGATGCATCCTTCGCTGATAATCACGATCGTCGAAGCTCTGCAGGATATGTCTGCCAAGTTTATGGAGGCCCCGTCGATTGGAAGGCCTCGAAACAGCCCACTGTCACCACATCTACCACTGAAGCTGAACTCCTGGGGTTGTCAGATGCTGCGCGCTCGTTACAGTGGTGGACGCGATTCCTCGAACGAATCTCGTTCAAACCGGACCATACAATCACCCTGCGATGTGATAACAAACAGACTGTCATATTGTTAACCTCCGAACATGCTAAAATTGATACGAAGCTTCGTCACGTCGATATCCATGGACATTGGCTGAGGCAAGAGGTCAGAGAAGGCAGAATCAACATCAAATGGGTTCCAACGGCCAAGATGGCAGCAGATGGTCTCACGAAGCTCCTACCACGTCTGAAACACGACGAGTTTGTTCGGTTAATGCGCATGGAGGACATACACGACCTGATTGAGGTGTAGGCGAGAGGAAAGAGAGACCTGCTGCGGGAAATCAGCGCTCAGCTCGATTGAATATAACATTGGCGAAGATATTCAACACTCGCTAACCGCTGAGGGGGTGTGTCGGAACAACAGCAGCAGTGGAGATCGGAGAACGGAGATACCATATCCCACTTAGATTAGTCATTGTTATGCCCATACAAATTGCCAGCCAGGGGCTTCATAGAAATTCAGACCTGTTGATATCCGATTGGTACGCGCTATGATTTACTAAGCAGTTTCCGACTATATCCGCCGTCGAGCCGCTAGTCCGTTGTGACACTGAGTATTGCCGAAATTTAGGACCAGAATTCCGGTACAGTGCCGGATCCGCAAAGCCAGCGCTGCTATAGATGCCCCATTCCGCGAATAGCACTGGATGGTCCGTTCCAGCAGTTTCTGTACTTAAGTGTAGCCGCATGAGAGCAGCGGGGCCTCTGCGAGTGACATTGTTGTGGGGAAAGAGGGCGCGAAGTGCCCTGACTCGATTTCCATTTCCAGCAAAACAAACAAGGGCGGGATACTGAGTATCAGGGTGGCTCATCCAGTGGACCAATTCTTCCAGTCGACCAGTATCCGTCAGAGTCCAGCCCGAGCTATCTTGGGCCGTGTCAAGCCAGGCTGCCATTGGGGTAGGGACAGTAGGAAGGGGGCTTCTGGGAAAAAGCCATAGCGAAGGCATCAGGCTAGGCGCGCTTTATAATAAATACATCCTAGCTGACCGTTCTCTGGCCCGAGATGCACCTCATTGACAGAATTCTCCACAGCATTCTGCTATCCCGCATCTTTCGTCGCGCCTGAGTTGACAATAGCAAAGTCAGAAATCTTCCCCTCTACGATACTGACTTAAGCCCTTTAGAATTAGATGGACTTAAAATATGAATTATAGGAATAGACGACAGCCGTCAACTAGTTATCTACACCCTCAATTCAGGGGCGTATTGATCGCTCTCTGATTCTGACCTCTGAAAGTACATTGAGCAACTTTCCGAGGATGCAGACTTCAAATTAAACCTTCGTATTGCCAGTAGTGGCAGTAGTGGATTTGAAGGAGCCCTTGACCTGTAGTATTAATACCCTAGAACCCCTGAATCCCAGAGTATAGACCGCATCATGGCTGCCCGGGCTATCCGCTCTCGTAACGATGGGCAGCATGCAATACCATGTCATGGAAGCATTGGCCACCGTCGCCCCAGGAAAGGGAACGAGCCTCTGGAACATGAAAATGATACGCTCTACACGAAGATGCTAAGAGAAGAGGCACAAATGGATTGGAGATTTAATCTTTGCGCCAATGCAGCCAATTGGGTATTGCTTGCAGGATATGTGATCATTCCCGGCACCTTCACGTCATTGAAACGGTCCAGCGAAGTCCAAGATGTACTTCAAAAGAACGGGGCCGGTCGGGTGGTGTTGAAGAAGATTCAGAACCCTCCCCTTCTTGTCATCGCTTTTGTCCTCCTCATTACTGGGAGTGCTATTTTGGGCTGGCTTTGGGTCAAGTTCAAAAATAATTATCCCTGGCTCATCAACAAAATCTTTCTGTAAGGTCCCTGTGCACACACGCCCGTTTCCGGAACTGAAAAATCTCTCACAGGCCAGCTTTCCTTAACGCCGCTGCTGGGTTGCTGACGACAGCAGTCAATGTTTCGGCGTCCCAGGCTGGAACCTGCTCCGTCATGGCTTTGACGACAATTATCGTGACAGCAATGACATTCGTGCTGTTTGGTGGCTTGTTAGTCTTCTACAAATTTGTCAAACTGAAAAGAGTTCTAGACGATGATCAACTCGAAGGCCAGGCCCAATCTGTCCTTAGACAATGGGGGCATTCTGACCTGCGATCGGCGTTAGCCCAGGCTCAGGCCGCTTTGGATGATCACAGATTCGTAGCTCTGAAAGCGACTGCTACGGAAGCTCTGGCTCTTTCTGAGCTCTTAGACGGAAGTATGCCTTCAACAGGCGTGGAAACTGACGCCCGTGGACCTGAAGTCACAGCAATGGCCAACCGACAGGCTCGAAGCAAGGCCAATCGATTGTGTGATTACCTTATCGAACTTTGTTTGGCACATGTGAACGATAGCTCCCCGGACCGAAAAAAAGTTCTCAAGGGCAAATCAGGCTCTCATACTTGACTTCTCCTGCCCACGGCCGCATTTTTGGAACGTCGTCTACAATTTACACCGACGGCACTGCGTAAGCCGAATGACTCTACTTTTCCGCTTAATGAGCCGCTTCTCGATCTCATATTTCGCTAGGTAGATACTACCATTTTCTCAATTAACCCTCATCCGTTCCCTGTCTCGAAAGCTTCAAGATTAAGTAGTGTTCATGCAAACAGTTAGTCTCTATGTATAGTCATATTGCACGTCCTAGATACAGCGATGACGATGAAGATGATGACATTTCCCCGATATATAGCTCGCTCCAAATGTGTACGCTGTTCGGGAGTGCTGTCAAACCGCGTGATAGTGGGTACCGGCTAATGAGACACTAGTAGATTCCCGCTTGCTTTTCCGAGATAACAAAATGTAAGGCAAAGTAAACAAAAACCCTCCCTTGAAAATTATCTTTGACCTGTCGGCCGCCGTCTGTGCGTGCACATGGTGACCTTCGGCCGATACTTGAACAATTCCTGGTAGAATCTCTCACTCCAACCAGAGGGACCTCTGTTTAGTCATCGCCATTAACTTCAATCTAACACACCCGCTGTAGCCTGCTAGTTCACTGCAGGAACAATATTTGGTGACAGCATTACAGCACTGTAAACAAGAACCAGATGCATAATGTATAAACTTGGTTGCCATCCCTGGAACAGGCCCATTCTTTCAAGCGGCTGGACAAAATACTGCATAGCCCCGAGACCGTTATAAACGGCAACCCGAGCAACTTCCAAGGTAAGCGGCACCGGCTGGCCCAGTGGCCCTGCGAGACCATGGATGATCGGAACCAGGGCAAGCAAGCCAAAGGAAGTGCAGTGATATTGAAACTTGACGCTTGACACAGGAGTGCCCGGGGTTTGTACCAGCACTTCGACCAAGTGTCCCACGAAAAGCAAGGAGATAGCGCAAATGTACCCGAGTTGCACCCAGGAGTGAGTGGAGAACTGAAGAGCGACGTAGGAGATGGTGGTTGCATAAATCAATAGCAAGATGCCTCCGAACTCAAGTATCACCCAATAGCATGCATTGGTGCCACCAAGGACAAGGAGGATACGGTAGGCGAGACTCAGGAAACACCAGGAGACGACGCCGCTGCCGAAAAAAAGTGTCGCGAGCGAGTTACTGATATCCGCATGGGACACAGGGAATTGAAAGAGTAGACATTGAATTGTAAATAAAGAAAAATAAGAGATCCCAAAAATATCAAGAATAGCGATCACTGTGGAGTCCCGTAGAGTAAGGATATTAGGAGCCTCCATCGAAGAGAGATACTCTTGATACCTTCACCGAGCGATTGTGATCAGGATTTGCTTGCCACCAGAGTTTGGGAGCAATCTTCTTTTATAAGGAAGAATTAAGGGGAATAAGGTGGAATGCAATTTTGACAGCGCCTGTAGAGCGCATGTGGAGAAAGCGTTCATCTGAGCCCGCGGAACTCTTTCAGAAGACCCTTTTGACCAATTACTACTTTCACGCCTTGCATTTTGTTGTCCTGCAGGCTGGTTACATCTGATTCATTGAATAACTCCATCTTCCGGGATGTCCGTTCCATCGTTCAAAATGGCACCCTTCGGACTGCGAAGTCACCACAAGATCGTCCGGTGTATAAATCTACGCGAGAGAGAAGATGTATCTGTTTTGCACTCGATGATCTATACGAGGTTTATATTAACATTCGGTCTCATTTCGGGGGCCAATCGCTCACCAAGAGATCCTAACTGAACAAATGGTGAAACCAAATTCGAGGCGCAGATCAAAACAACTTGTAACTGCACTAATCAGCGTCGGGCGGGAAAAATGAAGGTCAGATAAACTTAGCCTAACTGACAATAGCCAGCAATTGAACACAAAAGCGACCGCGGTAAACAGGCAACTGATTGAGGCTATACCAGAGAGAACCCATGCCAGACGCTTAACTTTTGAACACAACTGAAGACCAGGGATAGTATACCGCACTAGCCAAATTTCGTGATGGATCAAACGAGATGAGATCAAGAAAGAAAGGACAGGTATTTATGTAATTGTTGAACGGCTTGAATACCTCCTAAGGGGACAGGTGAGTTAAGACGGTTGGTCTCAGCTTGGATAGGATGTTGTTCGTCTCCGTCGAAAATACACGATTCTACTCGACCACTTCCATGGGGGTTGGCCATTTGACTGTAATTCGAAATCAGTCTACAAGCCACCACCTCTCCTACGAATGCTATGATTGCCTTTTTAAGAGTCAGTTACCAAACCTTGCTGTTCCGTGTACGATACTCCATGCCGCATGGTGCGGCAGCAAAGACAGCACAGGGCCCGATTTGCTCTTAAGAGCCAAGGAACGAACTTGGCCGAGGGTGAATGATTCATAGAGTACCAGAGCACACCTTGTAATTTCTTTTTGTTTTGGTCTCATTCGCTTGAGAAGCCTTGCGGAAATTGTCATAGCCAATGTATTGCCATCCCGGGCACATGAACAATTCGGACCCAGTTTTGTCGTTCAGTCTATGAGTTATACAAAAGGCAGCAGTGACTTACCCGTCGTACATGTGGAGAACGTGGAGAACGGTTCGCTTGGTAATTACACATCAATATCTTGTGTACGCTGCGTATGAGAGCGTAGGCTATTTTTCTACTGTCAAATACTTTATATTATCATATCGACGAGTGGGCAAAGAAAGGTGACTGTAATACACGATATTTTCATTTTGGATAAAAGTTGTCTACTTGGATACAATTGAGGGTTGAGATTCTATTGATATAGTGTTCGCTCCTTCAATTCCCATATGCTACAACTATGAAGATTGATAGGCAATCAACTCCTGAACTATTCCATGAAAACATTGACTTTCACACCTCGAGTCACGTGCCATGAACGATATAGCAGACATTGTGCGAGCAATTGGTCACCAACAAGGAGAATATGCATACTATCTCGCCTGCTACAGTCTCTTCAAGCAGCTACAGGACTTGGTGGCTAAAGTGACCGAGGACTTGAATGGTCTTTATGAGAGCCAGCAGTGCAACCCTTCTGAAGGGTTTTTAGCTGTCTCTCAAGTTGCCGAGGATTTCAGGTCGTCAGTCCAAAGCATCTCCGCCCACGAAAAAAATGCCCAACTGGCATTGGCCAACCTATGTTCGTCCAACAAACCACAGACCAACCCTGACAGGGCAGGGAACGCTGAATAGAAGATTATGGCTATCTTGATGGATTAGTTTCTGTGTTACTGCCAGAGCAAGGACATTGTTCTATATGGAAGTTGATAAAAGGTATTTCATAACGCTGGCAAGATCGCGGAGTAGTCTAAGTTCATTTTAAAAGGCATACAGGGGATTTCGAAAACAGATTACCCCCCGAGACACACTGGCTTTCTTTCCTGAAAACCCACTAGCGGTCTAGGCCCAGATCGCCTTAAGATCGCCGCATCCAATAGCCAATTATATCAGTGAATGCCTCTTTTGGATACCAATTACTAGTCATTTGAGGATTAGCGTTGTTGCAAGTGGGGTGCTGGGAAAGAAAGTGTGTGTGTCTAGGGGGTAATCTGTTTTCGAAATCCCCTGTAGCACGGTTGGCACCTCCAAAGATTGTCCTATCTACGAGGTTATATGTCTCTGACTGATTACTGCTTTGCTTGTCGTGATCGAATGAAGTCTGCTGAGCGCAATGTAGCTATCAAATACTAGCTATCCCACCCCTCCGCAGCGATTCGCAAGTGATATAAGACCCCAGTTTCCCCGTTTGAGTCTGTTCCCGTTTATGATTTGCCAAGTAATGCGCCATATTGAAATTTCCTCGAGCCAATTCTCCGGCATGAGGGAAGTGACAAAGCACGACGAGAATTGTCGGAGTTAGAAAAATATTCACCTAGGGCTGCAACTTTTGTCAATTTAATGGCGAGGATTAAAACGGTACAGGATTGATCGAGAGTCTCGATAAAATTTAAGTCAGATGTTAGCTTTGAGTGTACAATGCCTACACTCAAGACAGCATCTGAACAGAGAGCACGCGGTCATATTACTGACGCCAACCTCCTCTCAGCGTCACGCATCATCGGTTCGTGATGGAACATGGGAGGTCTTTACACCGCACAGAACACACCACAATCTGGAATTGATGCACGTGGAGACCATGGACGACCAGCCCCTAAACTGTTTCCTCCCACGAATCGCAGGTCGATTTAATGGGGCACACGCCAGCCTCAAGCTCGAACCTCTCTCATACACATCCTCCGCCATTCTCGTCCCTTGTCTCTCCGTCACTCTCCGACCCCAATCGCGCATCTAAAGCCACCGAGCCCGGACCCGCTTGCCATTCTGTGTTTGAGCCAGCCCCTTCTTCGGCGGTTGCTGCTGACACAAACGCGTCACTTTCTGAGACGAAGAACGATGGCTCCGACGACGGCGAACCCCCGCCGCCATATACAGAAGGTCACAGTCCCTTGGAGTCTTTCACCTACGTGATGGCTGCTGCAGGAGGTGCCTCCAGTTTGATCACTCAGGTTCCGACCTATATCAGGACCGAGCGCGTTTGCCTAGTTAGGAAGGCTGAAAGAGATCCTACCGCTTATAACCACAGTGAAAGCAGTCCGGCGAGTGATCGAGGAATCGTCAGATATATCTTGATATGGTACTCCGTATGTTTACAGGGAAGGCCAGAAGAGTGAATAGGAGGGAATATGGCTTGCTATACACTTTGCGTAAACTCTAACTTGGTCGGCAATGAAATTGTACTTTACAGTCCTCGGCGCGGACCGACATGGTTACTTCCATGATTAACGTGCCTTCCTTGTCCTGCCACCATCAAACAAGTCACACGGCAATTTGCTTCCAATCCCGACTCCGCTAGGAAAATTTGATATCGTAGTGGCTAGATTTACTGACGATATTTACCATCATCTTCAGCTCCCCACCCTGCATCTGGGCAAAGAGATCGTCCTAGTTCGTGTCAGTCCCGTCCACACCGCTTTTCTGTAGAAAAGCTTACGCGCAAAATGTCATCCAGTGGCACCACCATTAACTTTGCTGACAGGTTCTGAGCCTCGGGACTCCAAAGATCGAGCGGATTCATTTGCTTCCGAAGCCCCTCAATAATTTCAGATAAGGCAAACAGCTTCAGCGTGACCGCATTCATGTCTGCTGCATGAATCTCGCAACTGCGTTCGATTTCCGCTGAGATATCAGAGAAGCGATATGATGTCAGTACACACCTCGGCGCCTGGCATTAATTTGGACGCCACTTATGGCAACGGCACATACCGATCTTGACACTCCCAGAATCGGTCAGCAAAATTGTCTCGTTCGTGAGCGAGGCAAGAGCCCGGTTGAAGTCCCGTAGGTGTCGAATTCCCTTAAGAATCTGGAGCGTGGTGAGCTGCGGCGCTAATCTCATGGCTCTTGAGTCAGTACTGACCGGCCACACTATAGAGACAAGCTCGGCCTCCCGTATCGAGTACTTGGACCCGATAATCTGTGACAAAGACAACTCCACGGGCTCCCAAACCAAAAAGGCTAGCCCCTCATACTGATAACAGTGGAGAAGGCGAAGGAAGCTACGATGCGAGAGACGGGTGATTGTATTGAGGAGGGGCCGTATTTCCACGCCCTCTTCGAGCTGCTGCACATGGACCAGCTCCCCTTTGTTCTCACGGTGCCTGGCGAGAAAGATATGCCGCTTGGGGAAAATTTCGATGCGCTTCTCATAGTCAGCCCATGGGTCGTCATTCAAAATGGGGACCTCAAAAGAGCGCGCCCCTTTGTTCCCGCTATCAGCCCCGTGGGATCTCTGGGGCCCTAATATTTCCGGCGAGTTGTTTCCCTTCTGGAATTGTTGATGAGGGTGGCTCCGGGAAGCTCCAGCCTCTACAATTGCGGCCCACTTGGGTGTTGCGGGAAAGAAATAGGTTGGAGGTCGCTTGGGTTGCGGGTTATTGGAGGCCATCTTGTCAGAGAGGGTGAGGTAGGTTATCGCGCTTTCGTGGCAGCGCTCCGTTATGGCTGTGTGCTTATAATGGGCTGTGTTACTTCGAGTCTGCAAGATCTATCTGTCTATCTCTGTTTAGAAGTTGAAGATAAACAGTTTAAGCGACCTTTGACAAACAAGGAAAACAGTTATCTGGCATCTTCGTCATTGTTTCTACGAGTAATCTGACGCGAAGATGCTTCATGAATGGTGCAAAATATGTAAGCTGCCATTATGCGTTCCCTGTGCTCTTCCATTTGACCGACTGGATCCTCCTGCTTTACACAATTGGTGAGGGTTTGACGTTAGCTTTGCACATGGCTGTTTTGCTCAGGCTGTAGTCCATTAACAAAGGGTCACTTTGCCCATGGGGTCATCGATGGAACTGATCCCCCGGGCCCCTGATACTCAGCCTTTGTCCCCCAGAATAAACCGTTGCTTGATCAAAATGGAAGATCGTACATCCACCTGCTATCTTCACTTTTTTGAAATTTTACCGTCTCCTGACGCTCCATGCTATCCCCGTTTATTAGCCCTGCTCGAACTCATGCCGCCTGAAATTTGCTACTAAACGCTTGGATATCTGGACACGGGTAGTTTAACTTCCTGCTTTGATTAAGACCTATTCTCAAAGATTCCTGTTCGAAGGTGCTTGCCCAGCCGAGAGATGGATCAAAACAACTTCCAACGACGTGCCTTCATCGCGCTCAGACGTTGTGTATAGGGACACTAGACAGTAGCCCTTCCGGACAAGGAGCCCGCAAGTTTGGCCTCTCACAGGCGCTTGTTAAGGTCTGCAGCTGTGCCGGCCTTCCGAGCACTCCCGAAGATTGGCTAAATGCATATTGGGTGAAAGATGCCAGAACCAACCTGACCAAAAATCACAATACCCCCAAACAGATACCTCAGGCACCAGTCCCGCTGAAGTTATCCCCAGCCTGAAAGTCGCAGCCGTCACAAATCTTTCCATCTGTTGGTTTCACCAGCTAGGGTCTGTGTACACAGCTAAGTGGACAGAGGTAATACGTAACACAATGGTAATGTCTTCGATTGATTGATGTATCGAGATGAACCTCCGCGCTTCGTGATGCCGTCTACTTGCCCTGACAGAGCAGCTTCATACGCCCTTACGAGAATGAAGTAGGCTTCTTTAGACTATGGTGGTCTTCGACTTGGAATCAACCGTCAGGGATGGCCATACGCTGATAAGAACTAGGCTACCGTGGATGTGCCAATTCGGGCAGACCGGTAAAATGCATCTTCATCAACTGGAGGTTGGGTTAATTTCATGGCTTCAACATTCAGTGCTTCATCAACTGGACACAGACGCTCCTTTGTTATTTGAAAGTCTTATTATTCACTGGTTTCTCAGGAAACCGTGACTTGTCTCGAACTTGAACCGTTTAAATATGAAAATGTTGATGATAGTCGTATATATGTACCAATTAAGTCTGGCCAGATGGATTATTTCGCTTTGTAAAATGCGCATGCAGCCGTGAAAGAAACGGCGATATGTACCGTACACGCCTACTGTATACTGCACAGAGAAGGAGTTCAACAGCTTGCATCGTGTACATGACGGATACTGTAATAGTGGTCTGTTTTACAATGACTTAAGTTTTCCTTTCTTCTGATAAACTACATTTTCTGGAGGGCGTCGATGTGACGATGCCTGTTTACTGTCGATTGTTCTGACTATCTACTGTATCAGTTGATGCCTGTCCGAGGTCATTTCATTAAGGTTAGCCAATTGACGAAGAAAAATAAAACTCTTTGAAGGATACACAGAGATGAGGGCCGCGCTCCGCTTTTAACGTTGATATCGATTTACATCGCTCAAATGTGGTTGGATTACTCCTGGAAAACAAGTATCTGTTCAACGCTATGAAACCCGGCAATATTGCTATGTTAGCGGCGTGACGTTGAAATACCCCAAGTATATGATGACGTGAAACTTGCGGTTTCGCTGGGATGATCCTTCTTACACTTCGGGTCCATTAGCACTCAATTGTCGCCATCGGTCTATCCAGTCCTTTTCCTCTATGCATATTTAGGGCCAGCACGCAGTGACATCGGCTAATGGTGAAAATACCGCAGTCATCGTGCGAAAGGGGGGAAGGGGGTGTTCAATAATGTTGTCAGCCACAATAACACATGCTTTGCTCCCGGGGACGTTTTGTTGCCATCCAAAGGAGGTGTGCAATTTCGTTGTTGTCAATTATCTTCTTTCTTCTCTTTGTGGTGCCTGTTTCGTAGCAGCCTTTGCTACGGGATAGTTCGGGCGCTCGCCAGCATAGCCATCCAGAAGTGCAAGGTCGTGGTCAGCGGGGCCTTCAAGCGACAGAGATTATAAACTGCATTAAAGGCTGCCATTCGGGATTACACATCAGTCCCACCATCACCCCATTTGTTAGCTTCAATTGGCATGGAAATCGTCAACACAGTCCCTGGGATCATTAACCTTGAAGGTTGGAAATCAAGGCCGTTGAGCAGTATTCACCACTACAAACGACACTAATTCTAGAATTGGGGTACACATGATAGACCGATATCTGATCGTATGGTGGACAACAACTGACTTAAGAGAAACTTGGCGGGTGTGAAAATCCGCCAGCGATGAGATGGGCAGATGATGGTTACCCTGCTGGTGAACATAGCCCGCTTATCTGGGGAAAATATAATTATGACGTGATGAGCAGGCCGTGAGTGAGCTTCCAACATCTTTTTCGTTGTTGTTCCGCCTTCACTCATGCGGCTGTAGCCGCTGCTGCTGTTTAAATGCTTATACCGCGTGGCTATGAGTGGTGAGATGCTCAGTGATTTATTCGTTCCGAGGCGTCGAAGCGAATCTATTCCCTGCTTCAATTGCTATACCATGGTGACTTTAAACACACCTCAAATCCGCCGACTTATTTCCCCCTCAACAAACGCATCCCCTCCGCCTAGACAGTCAGCTCCCGGCATCCATCTTTCTTCGAATGTAGAACAACTCGAGAAGACGAGTGATGACCGACGCCAGTACACTGACAAAAACCAATGTCAAATCAAACAGCGTTTACTAGAGCAGAGAAATGTTCGAACGCTAACATCGACTCCCGTGCTCAACCGTCGTCCGCTACAATCGGCCCAGAATCTCATTCACCTCCACTGACATCATGCCAACTGAAAGATTGAATTGTTATCAACTCAAGGAATTATGCGAATCTCACGAGGCACAGTCTGTATGCCTGATTTAAATGGTTTTATGGCCTATTTAGCTCTGCTTTCCAACTTCTTCATCTGACAGCATTACCATAGCCAGGGATTTTGGATATCGCTCTGTTGGTCGAGGTAAAAGGGTCTCCGCATTTCAAGGCGATGACGTACAATCATAACAGAGAGACAGGAAGGTAATAAACCTCCATATCTTTGCCTGTCTCTAGAAAGATTTTCTCAACTATGCGTTCGCAATTTACCGATCTCGGAATCTAAGAAAAGGGATCGCAGTGTGAGTCAGACTTTTGGAATACGAGTAACGAGTCGGAATCTGAAGGAGACGGTGCACAGTCTGAGAAAGATGGTGCTTCCTTGTTTATTAGGGATAACATAGTACAGCAATATTCGAAATCAGCTTTACCACTACACTCTCTCGAATCCATTCCCAAACCCTGACTCGAAACACGCTAATCTAATTTTAGATCTTCCCCAGTAATCCCTGCAGGACGGTATTGTATTGATCGGTAATATTAAATAAGTTATTGTTTTAGTACCGTAATTTCCTGTAGAATCAATTCGAATCTTTCATGCAAACAAACTAAACAAAAGGTGAATCCTAACATTCTGGCAAGATTCATCTCGCACTCTTCCACTTATCGGTCTACTCATCACAGGCAGCCTTCGCCTACACTCGTTTGACACTCAATAGAAGGCTGCGGTGGCACCATAGAGAGGTAACCCCGGTAGGCAAACATGTTTCTTGTTTCCATGATTCCTGTTATCTACTGCGATTTTCGTTCGTTACCAGCGTATATTGGAAGCTGGTACCCGGAGAAGCTGACATGGGTCTTTCAAGGCTGTGATTGTGTGTAGAGATGTCGCAGAGCCCATATCACGTCGGTTCCATATCTCAACCCGAAGTGTTCGAGCCATGGGAAAACAACTCGCTGTACGCTCCAACCCCTGGATACATTCGTAGTCCCTACGCAACGCGGTCCAACTACAGTCCCTCCTCGCCTGGTGGGCTTGAGAATCAGTCACAACCAGATACTCTCAGGCTGCTCCAGTTGTCCGAATGGGAGGACGGAAGAGATTACAACCAGGACCCGCCGACCTGTATTCACTACCGTATAGAGTGGCGAGTGACCGTTAACAACCGGGAGGTGTCTAAGGACACGGAGGAAGACCTCGTTTTGGCTCCCAGTGCCTACTGGCGGCTGTTCTTAGAGAAGAAGCTAGAGAAGGTTCTTCGGCGTAAAATTGCCCGCCATCGGATGGTGAGAGCTGATGACACTGCCATTGTCGTTTCAGTGAATGATCGTACACAGCGCAATCTGACTAAACGATTTGACGACACCGAAATCATTTGGACTGCCATCGAAAAGCAGCTCCTGATGTGGTCGGGTCTGTTCTCCAGGGGTAAGGAACTCACACTGAAGATCTGTTTCAACTACGTAGACAATCGTCATTCCCCTGCAGCCGTCGGTCGGAAAGTGGAGAAAAGAGGAAAATCCTCTGTCACGAGCAGGATGCTCGATGAAAGAGATGCCCAGCTGGATGCGGAGGAGGATGCCTCGGGACAAAAGCCAGTCTGGCGCAGCGTTTATAATCTGATGCGATGCGCTTCGTCGACATGCCCTTGGGGCCCCTATTGTTGGGTGGATCCAGTGGGGAAAAAGCACTATCAACTGAAAACTCATCACTTGAGACGCCTAGTCACCTACGTTGAAAAAGGTGGTATCTTGGATGGTCACAAGGATGTGCCGGAAACGGTACGCGAGGAATTATTCATGGAAGAGCAGCAGAGACTGGAGAAGAGTCATCGCAAAGGTGGACATATCATCGGAAATGGAGTACCGTATCCTCCTATCAATATCAATGTCCTGCCTTCGCAGTCTTTGGTCTCTGGATCTGACATTTCGGCTGCCCAAGCTGTTGACTTGAAGTCTTCAAGCCCGCTCGAGATCCCTGGATCTAGAGACGAAGCAGTCAAAGAATATAGTGAGTGGCAGGTGTCAAATGTCACTGATGACACTCTCAAGGCTGCATTTCGACAAGTCTGTGACTTGATGCTCGAGGATGGTCTTGACCTTGAGCAGGTCTACAAGGATCAAGACCCAGGATTTTTCATCGGCAAGGGAATAAAGATGGGCATTGCTCGACGTTTCGTAGAAGACATTCGGCGCTGGGTCGAAAACGTGAAGAAAGCAATTCCTATTCATGAAATAATTTAGCTACAACCTGCTTGGCGTTGGTTCACGTGGACTTTGAAAGGTTTAAATAGGTTATATAGCAACATTAAGTAGTGCCTTTGAACGTGAGCTCAATTTTTGAATGTTTTTCGGGTGTCGTTGATTTGTATAACCAGAGTGCCGTTCAATGACCCCATGCCGGATTGGAAGCCCCAGGTGAAAAGAGCTAAGAAAAGGAGCTGAACGTGTGTAAGACAGTGATCAATATTCAACACATCAAATATGTGCATATCGACGGGCCCGGGCTGAACGTCCACCGCAGGTGGAGCCAAATTATACCAATATTTTGAGGTAGTGGATCATCTTAGTACTGAATAGCTTTCCGTCTAAAAGTTGTATGCAAGGTCACAACACTGACTGTGCTCGGAAAGTCTGGAATAGTTGCAAAGTACAAAGAAGTTCTGTACATGTACACCCTGGCGCCATGTAGAGCTCTTTTTTTGGTCGGGCTGACCGTCGCTCTTTAGTTGATGGGAGTGGTTTTCCAATTCAAATTTTGTTACATTCCCTCACCGTACAAAAGCTGCGTTGAATGACATAGTTGCACCCCACGGGTGTTCCAAAGACAGGCTACTGTTGACAAGCGCCGCTGGGCAGCGGTTCGATTCTGTTCTAGCCACTGTAGTTCTTATTCTAAACATAATGACGCGGCGACTAGGTGCCCAAGTATCACTCAGAGCGCTTCATTCATCCGACGATTTGTTTTCTCTTTCCTGATACAACCTATGACCAGTATAGCGCCCCTGTTCATCGTGGTAGATATGTGCTGTTTGAGCCTTGTTGTTTTTGAATTGTTCCTCGGTTGCAAACAGTGCTGTGGCATGCGGCCTGAGGTCGGTATGACTCGTGTGCGATGGGTTTCTGTAGTGGTTAGATTTTCAGTACGGCAATTTCAGTTACATGTAACATTAATGTAGCGCTTACTTGAGGATGGCTATGGTGAAGTGTGCTAAATCAGGCTTCTGAGTAGCGTCTTCGATGAGGCTGAGCGTGAGATTGCGCAAATCAGAATTGCGAATTCTCTGCGTCAGCTTGACGGCATGCCGGGGGATAGGAGACATGGTGGGCTTCAAGTCTCTTATAAGAATCGTAGGTTGTATAGAATAACAACGGGAAATAATCTCTTTAGCCCTAGATACGTCTTTGGGGAACAGAATCTTGCTGGTTTATATATTTGTCCTGAGATTGTTTGAGTCTGCTTTTACCGCCGTCAACTTGCGTAGGGTTTCTTGATCTTGCATTGTGCTCCAATAATTATGGTGTCTTTTGAGAATGCATAAGCGCCCGATTCATTGCTTTGTGGTGGTGTACCAATGACCAATCATTTGCTGCCAAAAGGCTCAAGCGTTAAATCAGATCATGTGATTGGCTATGGTATGCGAGTTGTTGCCACGTCATCTATCCCTAGGCGCTTCGGACATCCGATCACAGTCTGTATTCTTGATAATATCTACCCAATAGCCACAGACAAGTTTGTTTTATCTAATGAAACTTGCTTGTATACTTTCGCGACGCACTGTCCCCTTGAGGAGCAACCCACGGCTTCGTGTTATTTCTAAGTCTATGTCTACCCATCCAGACAAAAGTCTGATGGACCAGCCCCTATATATTTCCCCCGTTGATGCGGAACCACTCGATCGCTACCGACAAGGCGGTTACCATCCAGTCGTCCTGGGTCAACACCTGAAAGCTGGAAGGTATAAGGTGTTGCATAAATTAGGATGGGGAGGTTACTCAACAGTTTGGGCGGCGAGAGATCAAAGGTTGTACTAAATTATGAGACTCATGGTAATTCTAGCTAACATAAAGTTCTACCTGATTGCAGGAAAGGGATTTATGTTGCTGTCAAGATTTCTGTTGCAGAAAAGGAACATGATGGGGAAACGCGAGAGCTCCAAACTATGAAGAAGTTGGCATCTCATCGTCCTCCTCTCAAGCATACGCTGTGCATGCTTGATAACTTCGATTTAAAGGGCCCCAATGGACATCATAACTGCCTAGTTTATGAGCTTCTAGGGCCTAACATCCCGGACACAATTGATGCACACTTTCCCGATGGGAGACTCCCTGGGAAGCTCGCCAAAGTTATTGCGAAGCAAAGTCTTATTGGGCTTGATAGCTTGCACCAACAAAATATTGGACATGGTGGTAGGTCACTCTGTTGGGAATACTTTGAACTATTCTCACATAATATAGATCTGCATACCCGCAATTTGGCCTTTACTATGCCTTACGTGGACAATGTAACCGAACAGAAATTTACTGAGATGTTAGGAAAACCAGAAATTGGCTATGTCCGAAGGAGCGACGGGAAGGAACTAGAGCCTGGCATACCCGAGTATATCGTTAGGCCGACCTCATATCGGACGCATTCTTGGAATTCGGCCCAGTCCATCAAGATAATCGACTTCGGCGAATCATTCTTACCCACGGCAGTTCCTCGAACACTACACACACCTCTGGCTATTCGGGCACCTGAAGTTATATTTCAAGATCGCATTGATTATCGTGTTGATTTGTGGAGCATGGGATGCATGGTGGGTGAATTCAACCAAGGCCAAACGCTGAACAACAGTAAACTGATAGGTATGACAGCTCTTTGAACTTTTCGTGGGTCAACCACCTTTCGACACGTTCTTGATAACGCCTAAAATCCTCGTTAGCCAAATGCGAGAGATGGCAAGTGACGACCTACCTGAAAGGTGGCACGAGATATGGGATACGATGAACGCAGGAGACGGCAGAATCATAGAAAGCACGGGGCCCAACTTGCAGGAATGGCTAGAAGAAGTGTACTTTGATGGCCCACAGAGTCCCGATCTCACCAGAGAAGATATCGCGAAGCTGGGGCAAATCATCGGAAAGTTATTGCAGTTTGAACCGTCAGCAAGGGCGTCAGCTAGACAAGTTCTAGATGACCCTTGGTTTAATGAGTAAATGGCCCACGACAAGCGGTCAGTTCTGTCGAGAGTCTGCGCGGGAACTCGGTTTCAACCAAGGCTGCATCTAGGACCTTTCTAATATTTCTTCGATCTTCAAGCCTGCGTGTCGAAAATGACCTTTAGCGCTTTCTTCTTTTGCACCGACAATATCAATACACCATGTGAGGAAGGCATCAAATCCTTGATCAGGATCTGCTTCATAGTAGCCCCAGTTACGTTTAATGAAAGCTTTTAGCTCAGCGAAAAACTCCTCAATCGGATTTAAGTCGGGCGAGTAGGGCGGTAGATAAATCAATATCACACCCGCGTCCGCACACATCTGCGCAATCCGTTCTGAATGATGAAACGATGCATTGTCCATAATCACAACAGATTTAGGCTCGGGCCATTTTCCGCAGTGCTGAAGAAGCTGGGCTATGAAGTCTTCGAACATAGTAGCATCCGTTGAACCGCGAAAGACACGCGAGAGGACGATCCCGTCTTGGGCATACGCAGGCAGTATCTGATATCGCTGGTCGCGGTGGAACTGCGATACTTGTATGGGCGCCACGCCAAGGGGTGACCAGCCTGTTCGCCTGAATCCAACCCTTTTATCGCACCCAGATTCATCAACGTACACTAGGTGGTATGATTGGAAGTCTGATAAATTGTGCAAATAATACTCTCGTAAGTCACCATTTCGCTCCCTGGCTTGCTGCCGAGCAGTCTTTTTCGACCAACCTCTAGCGACAAGGGCTCTTCTGATGCTGGAGGTTGTGGCTAGTGTGTGGAACTCATCCCAGAGAAAGACAGCCATCTCATCTAGGTAAAGACCGGGCTTTTCAGACAGGTGGTCGCAGAGGGCCTCGATCATCGGCGGCGTTACGGTCCGTCTCCGGCCTATTCGATTTGGTGGTGCGTGGACATTTCCGAACTGCCGTAAGTTCCTGCGAATATTGATGATCGTAACCTTGCTGCATTCAGCTTCTTCAGCCATTTGAGACGTGCTTAGTGACTGGCTCTCTATCATATCACGGATGAGATGTAGCTTTGACAGGGGAAGTCTTGGAGCCATATTGCAAGGCTTTACGCGGGGTGACGCTCAAGAGTAATACAGAGATCAAGAAGCCTGTTGCACAAGAGAAGAGGGGCACAGAGATGGCATGCGTATAGCGATTTCGTGTGAAATACGTCAGTCTACGTCCCACTAGCGTTATGTAAAATACAAGTTCTATTCTGGGAAATTAGGGATCGACCACCATACCGGATCAAGGTTAGCGTGTTTTCAAATAGGGCTTCAGAATTAACATGTGAGAGTGTGGGGGTAAATCTGATTTCGAATATTACTGTATATACTGCATGTATCAACCTTTTTCTTACCACTAGGCTTACCATGTGTATCGCAAAGAGCGGCTACCCCTGCATGTTCCGGCATTGCACGATTGGTTGTGGTGGGGCTGGAATGAGGGCTGGGTTATGCGGTTGTGATTGGGTCACTGCCTGTGCGCCAGACAGCACCGCTACCAGCAGCAAGTGGTGATCCTGACGCGCTTCGACTGCTGCAAATGAGGTACAATTGGGAGATTTGGAAGACCGATCCATACCCTAAGGTCGTGGGTGGCAACTGTTAGCTACCTTTCTTACATGTATGTGGTTGGCGCAAAGAGGGCAAGGGCGCGTGGGCAGCAATTTGCTGTGGCTTGAATGGACCTGTTAATCGACTAGATTTGGTTGACCGGGTACGGCAGCTTGGGAGCGAGATAGGCTGGCCTTCTTACGTTTCGAGACCCAATGACCGTGGTTTGGAACGCAAGTATGAAAGAATCATGGATTATCCACAACAGACGATAAAAGAAAAAATAGCGCAGCTTCTGGGCCGGTACTGGTCAGTCTCCCACGTACTGATTCAAATTTATTATTCAACCAACCCCTTCCACCTGAGTCAATTTGTCTCCGAGATCAGTACCCCAGACATTCAGATTTAAGATAAACCTATACGGCAAGCCATTTGACTGCTCGGAAGATGGTCTATCCTTCAATGGGTGTCGGGAGGCCTTAGGGATCCTAGTGTGACACACTTGCATGATGCACCATATTTGGTTGCTTGAATCGGACGTGTCTGATTCCAATCCCCCATCTGATCCCCCATCTGATTTCCATCCCCCGTTTGACTCCAATCCCCTACCCGATTCAAATCCATCCTTCAACCAACCTCTCTCACCGGCGAAGTGGGGCTGATTCTCTGGTTCTGCCCTCCAACAGGCCATGAGCATCTTCAATGAATTATGAGTGTCGGCTGCGTCATCCCTGGCATTGATCCACAGATTGGTACCAGCAAACCAATTCATTGCATGAAAGTTTAGAAATCAGTGAACATATATGGAAAGGTTGTGGCTTTCAGATGGAGGTCTCGTTGCAGCGCTAGATGCACCGCGAAGATTATGAATGATGTTCTTAACAGTCAATGCTGCTCCACTTGGATTTCAAATTATCCCGAGTAGACGTTGGAAGAAAGGTTACTGTAGCTAGCGTTCGGCAGCGCGCACCGGTTTATATTAGGCGCTCTGGAAGGTGTCACTTGCATCTGGTTGTTCCGATTGAAAGATGGACAGGGGACGGGAAGACTGCCTGGCCTCCAAGATTATGGACATCCAGCGGAGCGCCAATGGCGATCCCGTTACATACCAGCGTGCAAAGCAGGAGGATCCGATGGTTATAAATCAGTGGTTTGAGACTGTACATGAAGCTATTCAGGGATATGGTATCCATGGGGATGATATCTGGAATTTTGATGAAGGTGGCTTTGCAATGGAGCTCTGTTCAACCTCAAGGTCATCACTGCGGTAGAGCGTAGTGGAAGACCTCGAAGAGTTATTCAGGGTAATCGAGAATGGGTCATAATTATCGAATGCGTGAGCTCGAAAGGGATCTGTATACCTCCGTGGATCATCTTAAAAGCCAAAGAACACCAGGATACTTGGTATCAAGAATCTGCTCTCTTTAATAAGGGCGGATCGCGTCTTCGATTACAAAGAGCAGTAGGCTGTGAATGCGATGATGATGATGATGATGATGATGATTCTATTTCTAGTCTGATATAGCAATCCTATTGTTGCGGCGCTATGCAGACCCAGATCAGCTGAAATACATGCGGTACGTCCTCTGCATGAGGGACCATAGAAATCACAATTCCGTCTCATGTGCCACAAGCTCGTTTTCTCGGCCGATGTATAGGCACATGACCCTAGTAGCAGGAAAAGTCACAAAAACCCCTAGGAATTTCTACCATGCTCGGTATAGAGACAGCGGGAGGGAGGGGTGTGTATGAGAACCATGCTCCACGACCCCCCTATCTCTCCCCCGGCACTGGGCTTGTATCCAGCTTACTCTTCCTCCGCCGTGGTCCCCTTCTCACCCCCAGCCAGCGAGAGATAAAGGGATGGTGGCCGCGGGGTTCGAACCCGCTATACCTTGTTATAGGCGTGGGTAGGGCCCCTACCAGACGCCTGTTTGGTACACACCAATCGGCGGCCAGAGAGGACGGCCTACAAGATCGATTCCAGCACAGCAGGTGGCGCTCCGCCGCCGTTTGGGTCAGGGAACAAACCAGATGCGGGACTACGCGTCTAGCTGTTTATCTCTAGGCCTGTTTACTCACCTAACCGGCCCTTTCATAAATTACCATTTATTACAGACCCTCGCATAGCGAGGGTCCGCCACCCAAACGATAAAGACACCCATACAATAAATTTATCGACCCATCTAACTTTGACATCGATTCATAACACCTATACCTCTCTAAAGCATAGATTTTATATGGTAAAAAGATGTAGCAGATACTTAATTTTCGATTCTACCTGCGTAACCGCCGTCCCCGCTGGATACACCGCTTTTTTAGCTCTTTCATTACCTTCTTCCACTGCGGTCGCAATCGATGCAACGCCTCTAAATCATCTAACTTCTTCTCTTGACGCTTCATTTGGTAGACTTCTTCTGATGAGATGATTCCAGATAGCCTCACGCTTTTCCCTGATGTATGTCTTCGTGGCTCCCTAATTGATTGCGCGTGTGTGGTAGCGCTAAGTTCTCGGCGGAGTTCACTCGCTAAATGCGCCTGGATTTGACTACCCTTCATCAACTTCTGGAGGGTGCTTTGAAATTCGGACGAATTGGAATCCAATTGATCAAGCTTCTTTTCGATCCTTCGAAAGCGGGATGTGGTAGTTGGTGTACTGACGTCTGCAGGAATACTGCCAACTGATTATGATGATGGTGAATCCCATGGTAATGGTGACCTTGGGACTGAGTAATCCACTAAATCATCACATACAATACTAGGATTGTATGGCCATAAGCCAGTTAATCGATAACCAAGCTTAATTGTTGAAGATTTGAAAATTGCGAATTGACTGGAGAAAGAGGCCCTTTGTGAACTTTGTACAACCGCTCATAGTTGCATCTTCAACCGCCTCACTATGCCAATGTTTATAGACATTGAATACTCCAACGTCTAAAGGTTGAAGACAGTGGCTTGAATGACGCGGTAGAAAATACTGAATAATGTCGTTCTTCTCGCAAAATTGGATGAATTACATAGTAATATGGGCATCAAGGCCATCACAAAGGAGTAGTCGATATTTCCCAGCGGTTCGACCTTTGGTTTGGCGATTAAAATGGTGGATCCACTGGTAGGCGAGCTGTTGATTCATGTATCCAGTATCATTGACTGCAATACACTCCTCAGTGATAGAATCAAACCATCGAAGGAGGATTTGGCGGCCAGAGAGAATAATGACTGGTGCGATCACGAAGCTGCCATCCGCATTCACAGACTCAACCACAGTCACTGATTCCCGGTTAGTTGAAGTGCCACTAAATATCTTCTTCTTAGGCTCCCTGGTAATGATCCATTGGTCCTTGCCGACGCCAATTTGGAACCCAGTTTCATCAAAATTGTAGATGTCCTGAGGTGCAATCCCCTTGTCGACAATAATCCGATGATACTGGTCAAACCACGCCCGTGTAGCCGTTTTATCAAGTGCCTGCATTCGCTCAATATCTAGAGCACGTCGCGGGCGTCGTTTAAAGTCAGGATGGCGCTTCAAAAAGCGTGTAATCCAGTGTTCGCCGACTGAGATAGATGGGTCTGATCGCGCTTCACGAAGGATAGAATTCGCCGCTGCTTCCACTTGTTTTCGCTTCGGACAAAGACCCAAGCTATCCATGGTATCCATAAAGGCACAGAGAGCCTTTCCTGGCTCTCATCAAGTAATCTATGGGTTGGTTGGCGCTGTAGGAGGGAAGGTCGGCCGTGCCAGCGTTTTAGAAGCCGCTGGTAAGGAACGTGATAATCTTGCGCAGTCTTCGAGACATTTGGTTTCTTTTGATTGGATACCGCGTTGAGGGCATCCTGGATGCGATTCTCAATGGTTGCATTGCTTTCAGGCATTGTGGTGGATAGAAATGACGCGCTGAAGTTGGGGAGTTGAAAAAGGAGGAAATTTATTGTATGGGTGTCTTTATCGGCTGGGTGGCGGACCCTCGCATAGCGAGGGTCTAGACGATTCACCGAAGCTTCACATTTTCCCATGATCCCCAAATGATTCTTGAATAGGTGTGAGACTAGAACGGCTTTATCGTACAGAGAGTTGACTCCCCCAAGACCACTTTGCATGGCGAAGCTTTTTACTTGATTCAATGTGCATTTCATCTCCATTTGCAGAAGTAAAAGACAGGGGTAGAGGCCATGCTGCTCGGATATTTGTGCTGGATCAAATATCGTTGATGAGCCGCCTATATGTGATTGCCTATTAAACATGCGTGGTATTCTTAACTTTCCTATTAGCAATATTCTAGAATCCTGGGTATCGTCGCTGTTCAAAACGTGACGCATGTTGCATCGCTCTTATAGGCATCGCTCTTGACTTTGTCTTGAACGGTGTCCGAGTTTAACCAGCACACCTGAGTCCCCTGCCGCCAATCGCTAATAACCGCCACCGTAACGTGGCAACCGGCAGGATTGTGCCCTATCCCTAACCGAGCGCATCGCCTTAAGTATCAGCCACCGGAATTCCTGTCTCAATTTTGCATCCTCTTCCTCCTTATCGCCTTCACAAAAACCCCAAATGGCGACAAAGACCAGCCGCGTGAAACAGGAACAGTTGCGGAAACGGCGGAACAACCTTCTCCGCCGCCATAATGACTTTTGGCGTCTTTACTCCATCCGGAGCTGGCTAACTATGGAGATGCCGAATGGCCGCATCTACACTTATCATTCCCATCCCGATGTTCCCGTTCCGACAATGGAAGAGACAGTAAGGTTTCGAGTGGTGTTAGACATCATGAATGATACTAAGACATTACAGAGTACTCGCTCTCGACCTGCAGTCCACAAAACCCCTGCGGACTATGTCTCCGGCAACTCCACGAAGCTAACGATTCCCAAGGCTCCGACTTCTTCCATTCCGAGGCGTCAGAAGGCCGTTTGGGATTCATTTTCCCGATACATGCAATATATCAGAGCATAATGAAATCGACCTGCGATTCGTGGGAGGAAACAGTTTAGGGGCTGGTCGCCTATGGTCTCCATGTGCATAAATTCCAGATTGTGGTGTGTTCTGTGCGGTGTAAAGACCTCCCATGTTCCATTACGAACCGATGATGCGTGACGCTGAGAGGAGGTTGGCGTTAGTAATATGACCGTGTGCTCTCTGTTCAGATGCTGTCTTGAGTGTAGGCATTGTACACTCAAAGCTAACATCTGACTTAAATCTTATCGAGACTCTCGATCAATCCTGTGCCGTTTTAATCCTCGCCATTGAATTGACTAAAGTTCGAGCCCTAGATGAATATTTTTCTAACTCCGACGATTCTCGTCGTGCTTTGTCACTTTCCCTCATGCCGGAGAATTGGCTCGACGAAATTTCAATATGGTGCATTTCTTGGCAAATCATAAACGGGAACAGACTCAAAGGGGGAAACTGAGGTCTTATATCACTTGCGAATCGCCGCGGAGGGGTGGGATAGCTAGTATTTGATAGCTACATTGCGCTCAGCAGACTTCATTCGATCAAGACAAGCAAAGCAGTAATCAGTCAGAGACATATAACCTCGTAGATAGGACAATCTTTTGAGGTGCCAACCGTGCTATGCCTCTTAAAATGAACTTAGACTACTCCGTAATCTTGCCAGCGTTATGGAATACCCTTTATCAACTTCCATATAGAAGAATGTCCTTGCTCTGGCAGTAACACAGAAACTAATCCATCAAGATAGCCATAATCTTCTATTCAGTGTCACGTTATAATTTATTTTGAAAAGGATAGGAATCTGGCTCCTTTTAGGTACCTAAACCGGAAATTTGGTGTTTTTTCTTACGGTTAAAGAACCCTTAGTACAAAGTAACTAGTGTTTATGCAGTTAAATGTAAACATGGTCATCAAATGGTTAACAGAAATGATAGTTTGTATTTTATAGCTAGTTGGAAATTTATAACTAATAGTTGGTGGACGGTTATTCTTTTTCAATGGTTAGGTAGGAGTTTGTTTGTTCAATCAAATAGTTAGTTGGGTTTTAGGTATAATGGTTGGTGAACGGTTAGAAGATGTTTGATGGTCAGTGAATGGTCATTATCAGTTTACACAGTATATCACTTACTGAGCTAGCCACCTGCAGTGGAGACACATAGTAAATGCGACAAATTACAACTTGATATCTCAACATTGGTGGTCTATACAGACTTATTCCTGTAGCACAGCATCTTCAGTGTGAAACAAGCTCGCCCTCCAACGTTCTCGATATAATTGGCCTGTTCAACGCCTATTTGGTTTAATGGGAGCATCAAAAGTGTGATGATATTTGCAAGTAAAAATGACACTGCTTGCAGTATCATACCCTTCCCAAATGACGTCTTCGCAATCAGGATAGGGTCCTGTCTCAAATAGACCAGCTGTCTCAAGGCTTTCAATTGTCCCTCTCGTGGATAATAGGGATACATCTCCCGAATTCACTTGTCTAAGGGCTTGACGTTGTCATGTTCGCTCCTCCCAATTGCCCCGTGAATCAGTTCCTGTGCATGTAGAACCGAACTCTTCGCAACTGCTTGTGTCTCCAGTAACACAGTTGCGTCCCCAGGATTATTTCCAGAGGCAAACCGTTGAACCGGCTGTGTCTGTCCATTGCCAGGCAATCGAAGGTCTTGAAGGACTTAAATTTCCCCAGATTTAAATTCAAAAGAATGTCATCCAACCATTTCGCTTTGTTTCTGGGACTTCAAACTAGACATGCTCGGCCCACCCAGCGATGGACCCACGCCAGGCTATCCACCTGGCGTGCTATCCATTTACCCGTACGATCAATCAATCCTTCAATCTTTGAAAATGCCGTCTTCGTCTTCTCGTCATCCTTTGAATAGTATTGAGAGGTCATATGATGCTCTTGTGATTCCAGAATCTTATCCTCGACCGTCTCGTGCTCCATCAATTGCTCAGTCTCACCTATCAGGTTATACTGAACGAGGACGTCAGGGTTATTATTCGTGGAAGAACACCTGGAAGCTCTTAACACCTGGAAGCTCTTCTCAATACTCCCAGCGACAGCGAGTCCCCAGTTTTAGAAGTCATCGTACGACATCTACAGTTTCACAAGCCCGACAACAAGCAAGACATGATCAGCCAAATCCCACTTCGACAGCTCCGAACAGTGATTAACTTCTAGATCAAAAGGACGAAGGTTATAAAGAAGTTGGTAAGCTTATTGAATAATAATCCTTCAAAAACTGAAACTAACTTTAGTAGATCGAGTTGCTCATATCCTACAACGTCGTACGATCTTGGACTTTGAGGGCTCTATTCGTCGAGATCTTCTTCCTACAATACGAGAAGAGAAGTTCGAATTCGAGCCTGAATTAGGTGATACTATCATATTGGCAACTCATTGTACAAGGAAATGTCCTACATTGATCTCCAATAATCTTGATCATATTCAAAATCTCGAGGATCTCTATGATCAATTTGATTATGTGGAGCGAGAGAAACGTGCTAAGATCTATGTCATTCTTGACAAGAAGCCTCGTACGATAGAGATCAAATCAGATCCTACTTCTCCAGGACCTGCTTCGCCAACTGCTTTGAAATTGGAGACACCAATTGCTCCTGAGCCACAAGCACCAGATGCTCCTGAGCCACAGGCACCAATTGCTCCAGAGTCAGAGGTATCAATCATTGATCTTGACGCCTCTGAGCCAGTGGTTATTGATATTGAAACTCTGTCGTCATTGCGGCGTCCCAATTCCGCCTCACCCTCTCAACCGAATCGGACCTCAATGCGATTATTGCCGGCGATTACCCCGTTCAGATCGCTTTCCTCGGTGTTACTGTTTTTCATGTCGTCGCCGGCTCCCTATACCTACTAAATCGTAAAGCCAGGCCTTGGAGGTGGCAATCATGCTCGTTTATACTGGCAAGGCTTATTTTGCGAAACTCAGTAAATGTATCTCGACTCGAGTCCCGAGCCATGGTGGCAGCGCTTTCCTTGCTCAAGGCCATGAAGAAGTCTGTATCGGTCTGGAACTCCCGGCCTTGCGCTATATCGGTCCCTATTCGATAGCGCTTATACCGGTTTTTGAGTACAGCCAATCGCCGGAGTACATTTTTATCCGGCTGCGAAAGCATAGCTTTGAGGGGGAAGTAATGACAGAGGCATTCAAGCCCAGTTTGCTGTAGACCTTGTCATTATTGAAGCACACAAGGGCATGTGTGATCGTGTAATATAGGAAGCGATCGTTTGGTCGAACTTTCTATTGCTCCGTCAGCCCACCGCACTCTAGGTGCTTGGTATTATCCATCAACCTGGAAGGGTTAGTCTCCAGACCATCAACATGTGTTCCATCTTCAGCAGAGAAGTCGGAGTCCTCCACCGAGGTAAGATCGTCATCAGAATAATGCTCACCGGTCGAAGTAGACGGCTCATGTTTATAAAGTCAGACTGACAGCCACTATATCGATCAGAATCGAAATACAGACCTTCAATATTTTCCGCTTGATGCCTAGCTCTCCCCTTCCCCTTCCGATTCGATGCTTTAGTGGGAGTCGGCGATGCGTCACGGTCTGGTTGATGTCTCTTAGAAGGAGACGAAGCATCTTCAATCTCCTTCCGTTTTGCCATTCTCATCTGGCGGATCGACCCTGGCGTAGTCTCGATTGAACTGAGGTAGCCATTTCAGTAGACGTTGACGAACCTGACATTGCTGCCACCCTAGTTTGTTCGTCGACCAAGGCACATAGAAGGTCGAAGCCACTTCGCTGTAGGACACCGACTAATCTCCCCTGATGGAATATGGATAATAGTATTTTTATAAATCGTCCGCCATGTTGACCACCTCGGAGAGATACAGGAGTGGACATATGTTGTCAGGCTTGGCTGATCTTCCAGATCTCACTGGATAGAGCCATTCATTTATTTTAAGCCACATAGGGTGGATGCGAATAACCCAGTTCATCTTTTGTGGTCTTTTACTAAGTTCCAAAGGGAGAATGCCGTTGGCCGGACCATCTGTCCCCACGGCTATGTGACTCTCCGCTCCACAGGTACTATGTTGGTCCTTTTCCCCTTTCGCCCAATTACTCGTATAGGTCCCGAAACAAGGTACAGTCAACCGGGTTCTATAGCCAGGGTTCAACAGTTGATCATAGTTACACGTGCCGAGTAACTCATGTCAATATGCTTATCCGAGTCCTCTCCATCGTTCAAATTTCCTGGCATCTTCTTCGATCCAGCTCGCCACTCATGACCTGTTTATTTGAACAACTTCTGTGCAATATCGTATTTAATTCTTGTTCTGTCATTCTTTAGTGGCAGTTTCATCTATTCCTTTGTCTAGCTGCAATTGGCCTCATTGAGATGCGTAGTACAAAGGAAAGGGGCCTTCCTTTGTTGAAAGAGAACAAACACCAGATCGCAGATAAAATGCTCGAGGATCTCCCGAACGAGCTCCTGGAAAATATTGCCGAGTGGGTCCGTATACCATACTTTTCTCCTATGGAACCCGAGCGCATTGCTGACTCCTTAGTTACCCCCCTTGCTCTTCGGTCCCTAAGCCATGCCTCTTCGAAACTTTACCATGCTCTGGTCCCTCGAATTTACCGTGTGGTCGTGTTTCGTGCTGCGAGTGAATGGGCTTTGAATGTGCTTAACGTCGATGATTTCTTCAACCATCACTCCAAAAGCGCCAGTCACCTTCTACACACCCGCCACTTGAAGTTTGACGCCCCGATCCATCTCACTCGGTTCAATCGCTGTGCAGCATTCAACATCTTTCGGGCGGTCGGATTGGCCGCTGATCCTTTCTCGACTATTGGGACCCCCGACGGCGCTAAGGCCCATCAGCAGTTCTTGGAGGACATTGAGGATCAACTTCGCTTGGCCTTCGCACATCTCAGCCCTGGTCTCCTTCGGTCATTCACGTGCGTATCAGACCATCCCATATCACGAATCCCCCTCAGTGCTGATCGGCCACCAGGTGGCGCTTGGGCACATGCCTTCCAGCTGGTGTGTTGGATAGAGAGGGATACTTAATCCAACATCAGGAAAATCTCATCCAACTTTCGTTGGTCACAGATGGCTCCTGTCCCCATGCCGCGGACCATTTAGGTGGTCTGTGCCAACTATCTTCCCTGGAGGTCATCGAATGGGAAGGTATCCAGCATTCGACGGAGATCGGGCTACTGCAAAAATGTATTAGTCGAAACCAAAGGCGTTTGAGAACACTTTCGATTGCATTCAGCGCATCAGCTGGCAGACCGGATTTCTCCCGTCAAGTGCTTGGGCTGCAAGGGTCCACACTCGTGACCACAACACGTGTGGCGGGCCCCGCCCCTACCTTTCTGCCCTCTCTTACGTGCCTAACACTCTCCAAGGCATATCTCCAGAAAAGCACGCAACCGAGTGCTTTGTCGACCTTTGCTGGGTTGAGGTCCTTGAAGTTGCGTGACTGCGTAAACTCCTGCGAGTTGTTGGAAGCACTGTCGCGCTTGCAGAATAAGCTTCAACTGCAGCTATTTGAGCTCTGTTGCGATAATCAGGCGCTTGGCCCCAACAAGGCAAGTTTGGGTCCGGTTGTTGCGTTTTTACTTTCTCTCCAAGACTTGCAGCATCTTTATCTGAAACTTTCCGACTTTGCACACACCCACCAGATTGAAGCCGTGATCCGCCATCACAGCCGGACCCTGGAGACCTTTGTGTTTCATGAAAAACAACTCGCTCCGATTGATAACGAGAGACTGTGGTGGGGTACTCGAGACTTCTGCTCGTCCTGGATATTCGATAAGGCCGAATTGAGGCATCTCAATCGGCTCTCTGCCTTGGCGCTGTGTGCAAACACTTCTTCTGTGGTTAGTTACTTGCGTGGGAGGAGGGTGCAGTAACGAGAAAGAGAGGCGGCTGATCCCTTTAACACAGCGAGCGAGTCTTGAACCGGGTGCGAAAGGCTCCCATCTTCGGGTGCTTCATATTCGACTCACAGGCGTAGATCATCTCCATCGAGACATTCAATTGGAAGTCATCTCGCAGATTCGGGCAGAAGACAGAGACGAGAGATGTCCGTGCGGTTGTTGGAACGGGCTGGCGAGACGGGCCTCCCTTTCCGACCGCGATTTTGACTTTGCGAGTCTCTGGGAAGAACAATCTATCGAGTCCCCACGAACGGGGCCATCGGACGGTTCAGATGCGTCGGAGGCATTCGGCAGCGATTTAGCTGAGATCAAAGAAGTCATGGACTTTGCGGACTGGGCGTTCGGACCGACCGGCTTACCCAGACTAGAGGTTCTTGCGTTCGGGGACTTTGCTTACGACGAGCGATATCGGAAGCAACGGTTTCTGGCGCGCCGGAAACGCTCAGTGCGATTACGATTGTCCGATCAAAGCCCCCAGATCAGTAAACATTACGGCTGGTTTTTTTGCATTGGCGATATGAACGATCCATCTCTTTGGAGCAACGTAGGTTTGGACGGTAGTAGATTCCTTTCGGCCTGCCCTGATGGTGGTCCGATGGAGTCGCCCGATGACTGGTGATCAGTGTCGGATAGCTGAGGGCTTCCCCACTGCGCCGTTGACATCAGTATCATGCCTGACCGTGATTCCATCAGTCCTTGATTTGGGCAGTTTTCCGCTGTAGTATTGAGTACTCCCAATAGAATCGTTACTGCTGCTGTACGGTACCATTTGCCTGTAACTCAACGGTTGAGCAGAAAGGCAGAATTCTGCTAGCAATAAAAGCTATTAAAAATGGTCGGATGACCTCAATTACTGCTGCTGCTCGCTCTTTCGAGGTCCCGCGGTCTACGCTACGAGGCCGGATGAAAGGGGTTACCAGTTGGTCTGAGACTAGAGGTACAGGCCATGGATTCACCCATCTCGAGGAGGTATCGATTCAGGACTGGTTGATCTCTATGAACAATAGAGGTGCTGCTCTTAGGATCACTTCGTTGATGGATATGGCCAATTTACTACTCGCAAAGCGTGAAGATCAACCCCCTCTCCCAAGCAAGACCGTTAGCAGAACTGGCCAACAGAGTACTGCATATATACGGTACATATGCTTGCTTTAGGTGGTCGATGAGCAAACGGAGATGCTGCGACGCTGTCGATGTATGGTCCGAACGGTTGTCCGTGTTCTCCGCGCATCTGTTAAGCTCTGGGAGGAAATGAAAAAGGACGTTTTGCTCGATCTAAATCCACGTTAGCGTTGTCGTTGGAAATAAGACTCTGTCTCAATTACTGACGGCTTGTCCTCCATCAGACTAATGACTTTGACATCGTGCAGCACCACACGCAGAATGCCACGCAGGCCTTCCGATTTGATGTCTATGTACGGCATCACCTCCTCGGAATTCCGGTCTAATAATACTATTAGCATGGTTCGGCCTTTAGGTAAAGGTATTATGTACCAACACGTTCACGGACAACGAATGCATATTCAGCATAGTCGTCAACACCACCGCTGGTTTCCACCGGTTCGGTGATCGTGTATTTACATGCTTCTTTGTCCCAGCTATACCTGCGTCAGATATTTTCTGAAAAGAAGAGACGGAAGGAAGGGGGTTGATTGGATCAGAGGCCTTAGCTGGCGACATACGTTTCCACAACCGTCTTGAATTGGGGTGTGGTGGCCCACTTTTCAAACGATTGGAAGTCCTCTGGTGTTGTACAGATGGGATGTTTGAGATCAAACCTATCTGGTCCAGGAACGTTCTTCAATTACGTAGAGGACTGCAATTACCCACCCGCTCGACGGAAGGGTGAAAAGAGAGGGAAATACTCCGTCACGAAGCGGATGCTTGGCGATCGCGATGCCCAGCTGGATGCTGAAGAAAATATTGAGATATCGAAATGTTTCTCCAGGCTCTCGATTCGGCGGGCGAAAGACACGGCTCGCAACGCAAATCCACTGAGTCCTGCCAATAACTCTTCCGAGAGTCTGACTTCCATAACAGGTATAAATGTGCTGGTAAGGTCAAAGTCCTTCACCAGAAGTACGTCGACCTATGGATCGAGTGAGTGGCCGCGAAATGCTATTTCAGCTTCCCTGTTTGTTGACTTACAAGGTTTCTTGATGTAGCCGGGATGGCTCTACAAAGCTATGAGGTGGAGAAGGAATCTGCCGCCCCAACACTGTTCTGATCAAAAGATTTATCTGGTGGCACACGCTTTCTACGAGAGGACGGCTTCAACCTGATAGAAGGCCCACGGTGACACTACTTTGACGTGTGTTACGAGGTTTTCAGGTGCTTTGTGACAGCAACGGGAAGCGCGGTTGCTGCAAAGGACTGTTCGGAGACTTACAGGGTCAGTATAGTCCGTTTTGCCAAGGCTTTTGATGTCGAAGCCCGCCTTCTCATAGTGGATCAGATTTGATCTGTAGTTATGGTCGCGGAACTTATAGGAGAGATTACTAATGAGGCAGGCACAAGACTTAATTTGCTTATTGTGTCTCTGCAAAAGTGGTGCTTTATTTACTGGCCATGATTCTTCTAACTATTGAGCAACGCTGAAAATCAAAGGACAAACTGGCTCAAAATTGCCACTAAATTGTTGGGTGAATGGGCCAACTGATCTCATTCAAGTTTCCACCCTCAATTTGACACCCGCCGTTTTCCAGAAGTCACTTTGGTCCATGTGATTTTAGAAGACGGTTGTTTTAATAGAAGCCGCCCAAGGTGCATGGGTAACACGCCTCAGTTGACAGAATACACAGAGATAAAAGCAGAACAAAAGCATGGCTAGCTTCTTCTCTGGTCAAGAATGTGACCAGGAAGCTGGAAAATATAATTTTTGGTAGGAAAATGCGGAGGGCTGGAATTACACAATTCATGTTAGTCTTGAGATTTGAGGTCACCACGGCCAACAATGGGCAGGAAGCCCTTGATGCGTGGAAGCACGATTCATTTGACAGTTGACTGTATTCTCATGGATCAGGAAATGCCTGTTATGGACGGAAGTTCAGCGGCGCGAGAGATTCGGGCACTGGAAAAGGACAAGGGAACGTATACCCCTATATCGCATGTGATTTATCAAGCCGGACTGCCTACGGTAATAAGAAAGAACCCAGCGAAATATTAGGTCAGCGGAGAAGAACCCCTGCACTATGACTAGTAGACGGAGAAATTGTGATCTTGCTTCAGAACACTCTGTCTTTGGCCAGAGTGCCCTTAGCTAGCGTAGGTCTGATTGGCTGAAATTGGTAGTCTTGATGTAGAGCTCCTTCTTAAACCTTAATAAGGGCTGTGGTTGATTAACGAGGGTTAAACTGCCCTAGGCAGTGTCAGTTTTGTGAACGAACTTTTAGTCTGATTTATTCAGATAATTCTCTCGCTGCTTACTGAGATACAATCGGAGTGCCATACTTAGTGCACTCTGAACTGCAATGACTCCTTCTTATGCTACTAGACACGGGGGACGTTCGGCCAAGTTTACCCGCGGCTAATTCTATTCTGATCCGCTATTTAGGCCAGGCGGGTAGCGGTCAACAGTAGACTTCTCCTGGGTATTTAGAGATCAATCTGCGGGGGTTTACGACCTCCGAGCAAATATTTCACATACGCTAAATTATCGCCAGCGGACCAAAATAGATCGTAAACTGCAATACCCTAGTATTCAGGTCGAGGCGGTCTTTTAGGTGTCGAGACGTTGAAGTAGCTAGTGCTTAACAGACCGCGGGGAATTTAAACGGCCGCTGAAAGCCCCTTTGTGCTGTGTAAGTCGACGATAAACGCGAGCGATGAAGAATTATTGGTCACCGAAGAATCTTGTGATAAAATTGGGGACAGGACGGTGACGTACAATTAGTGCTGAGTAACCCCGGCAAAGTCTGCGAACAGATAATAGCAAAACTAGCATAGTGGGTGAAAAGTGAGGCTGCTTTACTTATTCAGCCGAGTATGTTCACTTTGGCAGAGACTGACTGCATAGAAAAACTAAATATTGAGACACGGACTTCATATTCTGACGGACACTTGAACGAACAATCTTGAACGAACAGTCTCGAACGAACAGTCTTGAACGAACAGTCTTGAACGAACAGTCTTGAACGAACAGTCTTGAACGAACATTCTTGAACGAACACTATCTTAGACTTCATAATCTGACTAACACTTGAACGAACACTTTCTTGAACGAACAGTATCTTAAAACGAACATTATAACAGTATCATGAACGAACAGTACCATAATTTGCTTCTAGTATTTAATGGAGCCACTAATTAATCAAAGCCTTGGCTACAATTCGCTCGGCCTACAGGCTGGGGAAAGTCTTTATTACCACAGTTAAATAAACATAATTTGGCCCATGTTTCCATTGAGGATAAGACTAACACGATCCGCGCCTGCGTGTATTTTTGCCGTAGGGGGATTCTCTAACAGAAATTAAAGGTGTAAATGATATGGTCAAACAGAAGATAAAGTTTTGGCTACTTATAGAATGGCCATTTTGAACAGGTTCTAGGTTGAGCTAACCTGATCTGAGCTAAACAGGTTTGAATTAAACAGCTTAAAGCTCGAGCAACTGAATGAATGTGTAGCCTCAAATCTACGTGATCTTATACTTTGACTATACTGGTTTGGATATCACGTAGGCGAGATTATATCTTGTCGTTCTGCGATGATTATTTGCCTCTTTCAGGTATCCTATGCCATTTAAAGGCGGTGTCAATTGCGCGGACACGGGGTGTTTGGACAATGTTGACAGTTTTGAGATTTTGAATAGTTCTTGCCAGTTCCACGGACTGTGTAAAATGCCATGTAAAAATTGAGGGCAGATCTTGGCTTCCTCGGCTCAGATTAAAGCCGAGTAATAGTCTCCAGCACCGCGAAGAGGTGTCTGTCATTTGCTGGAGGGCGGGCAAGAGTCAGTCGGCGAGCACACGTAGGCCTGGCCGGCCGGACCAACCCGTGCGCCTGTTTGGCCATAGTGGAGAGCATGGTACAGTATAGGCCGGTGGATGATGTACTGGGCCCTGTAGTACTCAGCCCGCATTCCTGCCGCGTTGATATCAGCGGCCGGGGGATCGGAGTCTCTCCATTTCATGATGTCCGGGAGATAGTTGCGCCAGTGATCGAGATTCAAGCTCAGAGTTTCCTGCAAAATGGATGACCACCGCGTTTGGCCCTGCTCCTCGGCCTTGTACAGACTCGGGCCCGCGTGCAATACCAGTATCACAACAGTATTCTTTGAATTTCTTCTCCCACGATAAGTGCTGGTCTCGAGATAGCTAGTCCGGAAGTCTTTGCTCTTCTGATGGCGACCACAGGATGTAGTTAGCTTTGGACATGATGAGAGCGAAGAGGAGAGACGAGTAGGCTGCGATGGAAGGATGCAGATAATTGCGTGATGTATCAAACGAGATCAACAAGGAAAGGACAGGGATTTATGTAATTGTTGAACGGCTTGAACTCCTCCTAAGATCGAATTTTATGTACCCCGGAAGAGTCGCCTTTCAATTTCAACACCTTCGCGTTCTATCAGATATGGAAGATACGGCATCGGTCGTTTCAGATAATCTTCTCGTTATGTTAATACATTGCACTAGCTCCCATTGCCGATGTCAGTTGCCCACGGAGACGATTCCCGTCTTGATTTTAACCCAGCCAACAACCACATTTGCACGTTGGCACTCTGCAACTCACGAGTAGTCATTGCGTCTCCTCTGCTGTTCCCAGGTACAGTAGACCTCATGCTTGGTGACCTTCTAGGCCAGCTGATTTCGGCATGCAAACACCGCAATCCCTCGCTCAAAAAGACAGAGCAACAAACGGATGCTTTTCACGAACCTTGTTCCTAGGAACATCGACCAACCCTGAGTATAAATGACATAAGAGTAATCGGAGCAACTACGGAATATTCGCACTGCTTCCATCTTCATTACGCAGCCAGTGGTATTCGCACAATATAAGAGTCAGCTTTGCCCTCACTTAATTACCATCCTTCTGTTCTCTTACGCATCTCTCCCAACGAACCGCCCCTACTCAATCTCATCATGGTGGACCGGAGACTCATACTTGGCACGCAAATCCTCACATTCCGGTTACATATGGCTTTGGAAGAACATCCCCTATTTCAGCCAACAGAAAAAACCAAACCCAGGCACGGTTCGCCGAGAAAGTTGTTGCTGGTATCCGCTTTGGTTGGCGGCCCTTTACTGTAGACGGAAGTACGAGGGGTTGTTGCGCGTCATCGCCCGATGTAAGTCTCATATAATGCTCATTTTGGGAGTTGGAACTAAATAATCACAGTTTCAGATCAAATCTCCGTCCTCGTTTGATGCACTATCTAACTGCGAAGAGGAGACCGGACGTGCTGTACCGTTTACGAAGGGCCTGGCGCTTTGACTTGGAACGAATGGCAATGTGCTCTTTTCGGTGAATGTGGAAAATAAAGTAGCCTTGTTACTAGAGGGGCAGCTTTAGAGCTACATGACTGATGCAGTAGCCTCAGCGGCACATTACGTGGCCTTGCATCTATAGAGGCATTCTTAGCTGTCGAAGGTCTAGTCAGCCAAGTCCATGCTTTCACTGTTTGAAGCACAACGCCAAATTCCTTTGTTCTGGGCATGAAATTTATTTTATTTCACTCAGCTATTGTACATGTACAGCCATATTCGAAATCAGTTTTAAGACCACACTCTCAGGAATTAGTTCCCAACTTCTAATTTGAAACATGCTAACCTACATTCGGTATGCCGATCTGCCAGAATGGTATCTACATAATTCACTGGACTTTCAATCGTAAGACCTAGTTTTAAGTTTTGAATAAATCTGGATGCGATAGAATGGTAACGTTCAGGCGGACAGGCTGGTCACTACTCATATTCATAGCTATTATGGATGTCATTAAGCTATTTCCGGGGATTTTGAACCGAAGTGTCTACTGCGTTACTGACAAATATTCAACGGATAACTTTGGTGACGGGACCGGCATTGATCGAGAAGCTCGGAGGTGGTCCATAGCCAATGCTGTCTCTAGCAGTTTATGCGACTTGGTGCTTTGCCGTCGGAACCAGTAAGCATCCACCAGTCGTGAAATCCGAATGCACTGTATGCTATGTATACGACTCAAATACGGGTCAAAGATCGATCAAATATGTCTGGGGTGGAGGGGGGCGAGTTGCTGTCCGAGTTCTGTGGCATGCAAGTTCAAATTCCATTCGTCGCCTCCAGTAATCCAGTAACTCGTGGTTACAATGTGTGTGTGCATATACCTTTTACCTGATTCCTCGCAATGAAAGATAGGTATAAGCCGCAGGCCACTGATTTGGTTACGGATCCGTATTCTGGTCTAGTTGGGTTAAACTACCTCCCGGGTGGTCAGGATAAATGAGACCATCTATCCACCCATCCGAGTGAAACTATAGTCGGACGCCTAGTTGGTTGGACAACGGTTCGTATCCGGTGGGCTAATGGAACCCGGCTTTTCTCCATTGTCAGTCACTTCACTGTCGAGACTCCTGGGTATGTATCTCCGAGAGGCTTATTCACACCCGGCTAAATTCGATCGTGGTTTTGCCCATGCTTCATGACTCACTTGTACTGCGCGAGCTCGCGATGCCCTGGGCGCCGCGTTCTGATAAGGACTTGGATCATACGGAAGACAGTTGACGGACAGCATTGGTTGGGCGGCAGCCATGAACTCGAGCAGGAGGAAAAAGCCGGCGGGGCTTTACTATGGGTAGAGGCAGTTGGATATTGATTTTCGCAGGGTAACGAGCCACAGCGGGTTGAAGAAAGTATCGTTTGGATATGAAAGACCAGTTCGAGGTCTTTGCTAAGCTCATTGGCATGATCTAAATTCACATGAAAAATACAGAGTTTTACTATGTATGCCAGATTTGGAGGTTTTGATAGGAGATGTCATGCAGGTTCTATGAGGGGGATGTTGGATGCCTTGATGCCCCAGGCATCACATGTGTGTAGATAGAACCCATAGTTTCTCTCTCTCTCTCCTTCTCTCTTTCTCCTCTTCGTCCACCTGAATACATACATTGTTTTCTCCATTGATCTCACATTGTATCTGTATTCCATGAAAATTCAAAGGGAGATTCTATCAGAACTGTGCTTGGTCTGCCGGCAACTCAGCTATCATGGGCAGAAACGACGGAGCACCGAGTAAGCTTGAACTATTGAACACACATCCGGTTCGGCGTCGCGAGCAAACTCCAACCGCAGGGAAGGTAATGGGATCCCTGGAATGTTTCCTGTGGTAGGAGGTTGAGCGACGGCCGTGGCAACGCTGACATCGGAGTTCATAAGCTGGTGGCTTTGCCGGTGGTTGGTAATGTGTTGTAGTAATAGTCGTAGCTCTAGGCTGAAAATGATTCGTATCCAGTACTCGCTGGGCATCACTGCGTCGAAACAAGCGGCGAAGTGGGGCTGATTCTCTGGTTCTGCCCTCCAAACAGGCCATGAGCATCTTCAATGAATTATGAGTGTCGGCTGCGTCATACCTGGCATTGATCCACAGATTGGTACCAACAAACCAATTCATTGCATGAGTGTTTAGAAATCAGTGAACATATATGGAAAGCTTGTGGCTTTTAGATGGAGGTCTCGTTGCAGCGCTAGATGCACCGCGAAGATTATGAATGATGTTCTAAACAGTCAATGCTGCTTCCACTTGGATTTCAAATTATCTCGAGTAGATGTTGGAAGAAAGGTTACTGTAGCTAACGTTCGGCTGCACGCGCCGGTTTATGGTATTAGGCGCTCTGGAAGGTGTCACTTGCATCTGGTTTTCCGATTGAAAGATGGACAGGGGATGGGAAGACTGCCTGGCCTCCAAGTGCAGTGGGTCATTTCTCTAGACTACTTCCAAGACAAAAGACTTGTATATTGACTACAGCTACCTAGGGCGCTGGACGAGCAGATCAGGCAGCAAGATGTTTGGAACGACGGCATACAACGGCAGATGGAGGCCATTGTTGAACACTACCGGAAAATAGATGCCCTGGAAGCGCAGGTGGCGGCGCTGCAAGCAAAGCTGGATGTTGTATGCGGTAACAAGGAAGCGGCTAATGCAGGGCGCAGATCGGGTGGCCGCAGACGCCAGGCACCATGAAGACAGCCCCATATCCTCGTTACACCGATAAGCCTTGACCATATCGCTCTCCACCATGACGTCCAGCCAGTCCAGCAGTTTCACGCCTGCCCCCCTTGACTCCGCTTGGCCCCCGGCCCACGTTTGGGAAACCATGGACGCGGCAGACCGTGCCAGTTGGCTAGGACAGATACAGAGAGACAGGGCCAGGCGCCTTGAAATGGATGTAGCGGAGACAGACCTCCGCCACAGAAGGCCTCGTGGGGACCTGCAAGGTGACGAGAATCTCGAGGAGAACCGTGAGCCCACCCCCTTGAAGTCAAACCACTCATCGACATATTCCCGGGTGTCTCCGCCGCCTTTCTTACTCGTGTCTTCGAGAGGAAGTTGAAGGCGGCTGAACTCATACGCTTCAAAGAGAAGTCAGCCACCGAGCTAGATCAGGAGGACAAAAACTTCGAACCGCACCCAAACCACCGGTTCTGGATCCGGAGCAAGTCAGCAAACTGCCGGACCAAAGGTGAAGACTGAGCGTGGCCCAGCACTGATAATGACCATTCACTGACCATCAAACATCTTCTAACCGTTAACCAACCATTATACCTAAAACCCAACTAACTATCTGATTGAACAAACAAACTCCTACCTAACCATTGAAAAAGAATAACCGTCCACCAACTATTAGTTATAAATTTCCAACTAGCTATAAAATACAAACTATCATTTCTGTTAACCATTTGATGACCATGTTTACATTTAACTGCATAAACACTAGTTACTTTTGTACTAAGGGTTCTTTAACCGTAAGAAAAAACACCAAATTTCCGGTTTAGGTACCTAAAAGGAGCCAGATTCCTATCCTTTTCAAAATAAATTATAACGTGACACTGGGCCTGTATATATTCACGTTCGAACATGCATCGAATTTTGCATTGGCCACCAATACTGGCAATGTACGTGCCATTGTGAGAACTTTCCGTCGTCGTCATTAACCATGGACGAACCGGTCTAAACGCGGTGAGTTATATTCCACCGTTCAACAAGGTTCACACGAACGCGTTCTCTGTCCTTAGCCCCAGTTCCCGTTAAAACAACACCCAACAACTCAATTACTGCCTAAGTCTATCACTGATGAACGGGATCGCCATTGGCGCTCTGCCGGATGTCCATAATCTTGGAGGCCAGGCAGTCTTCCCATCCCCTGTCCATCTTTCAATCGGAAAACCAGATGCAAGTGACACCTTCCAGAGCGCCTAATACCATAAACCGGCGCGTGCAGCCGAACGTTAGCTACAGTAACCTTTCTTCCAACATCTACTCGAGATAATTTGAAATCCAAGTGGAAGCAGCATTGACTGTTTAGAACATCATTCATAATCTTCGCGGTGCATCTAGCGCTGCAACGAGACCTCCATCTAAAAGCCACAAGCTTTCCATATATGTTCACTGATTTCTAAACACTCATGCAATGAATTGGTTTGTTGGTACCAATCTGTGGATCAATGCCAGGTATGACGCAGCCGACACTCATAATTCATTGAAGATGCTCATGGCCTGTTTGGAGGGCAGAACCAGAGAATCAGCCCCACTTCGCCGCTTGTTTCGACGCAGTGATGCCCAGCGAGTACTGGATACGAATCATTTTCAGCCTAGAGCTACGACTATTACTACAACACATTACCAACCACCGGCAAAGCCACCAGCTTATGAACTCCGATGTCAGCGTTGCCACGGCCGTCGCTCAACCTCCTACCACAGGAAACATTCCAGGGATCCCATTACCTTCCCTGCGGTTGGAGTTTGCTCGCGACGCCGAACCGGATGTGTGTTCAATAGTTCAAGCTTACTCGGTGCTCCGTCGTTTCTGCCCATGATAGCTGAGTTGCCGGCAGACCAAGCACAGTTCTGATAGAATCTCCCTTTGAATTTTCATGGAATACAGATACAATGTGAGATCAATGGAGAAAACAATGTATGTATTCAGGTGGACGAAGAGGAGAAAGAGAGAAGGAGGAGAGAGAGAGAAACTATGGGTTCTATCTACACACATGTGATGCCTGGGGCATCAAGGCATCCAACATCCCCCTCATAGAACCTGCATGACATCTCCTATCAAAACCTCCAAATCTGGCATACATAGTAAAACTCTGTATTTTTCATGTGAATTTAGATCATGCCAATGAGCTTAGCAAAGACCTCGAACTGGTCTTTCATATCCAAACGATACTTTCTTCAACCCGCTGTGGCTCGTTACCCTGCGAAAATCAATATCCAACTGCCTCTACCCATAGTAAAGCCCCGCCGGCTTTTTCCTCCTGCTCGAGTTCATGGCTGCCGCCCAACCAATGCTGTCCGTCAACTGTCTTCCGTATGATCCAAGTCCTTATCAGAACAGCTAGACGCGTAGTCCCGCATCTGGTTTGTTCCCTGACCCAAACGGCGGCGGAGCGCCACCTGCTGTGCTGGAATCGATCTTGTAGGCCGTCCTCTCTGGCCGCCGATTGGTGTGTACCAAAGAGGCGTCTGGTAGTAGGGGCCCTACCCACGCCTATAACAAGGTATAGCGGGTTCGAACCCCGCGGCCACCATCCCTTTATCTCTCGCTGACTGGGAGTGAGAAGGGGACCACGGCGGAGGAGGAGTAAGCTGGATACAAGCCCAGTGCCGGGGGAGAGATAGGGGGGTCGTGGAGCATGGTTCTCATACACACCCCTCCCTCCCGCTGTCTCTATACCGAGCATGGTAGAAATTCCTAGGGGTTTTTGTGACTTTTCCTGCTACTAGGGTCATGTGCCTATACATCGGCCGAGAAAACGAGCTTGTGGCACATGGGACGGAATTGTGATTTCTATGGTCCCTCATGCAGAGGACGTACCGCATGTATTTCAGCTGATCTGGGTCTGCATAGCGCCGCAACAATAGGATTGCTATATCAGACTAGAAATAGAATCATCATCATCATCATCATCATCGCATTCACAGCCTACTGCTCTTTGTAATCGAAGACGCGATCCGCGCCTAGGGAGCCTACATACTTCTAATTCGCCGCACCGGCCGTGGCGTACATGGCGGCAAAAGAAGAGTCGCGATCTTCCCGCAGCAGCCGGGCGCTTTGCACGCCTATCGTGCCCACGCTAGAGGAAGCGCCCCAGATTAAGTAGGGCGTCTCTCTTTTGTTTCTTATATTCCTGAGTTCCTCCGCTGGTATCGGCGCCGACTGGGGCAGACTAACCTCCCAAAGCAGACATGTTTTTGGTTCTGCGACACCCTTTTGGTTCTATTTGTGATATAGCTGATACAGTATTAGTATTCAACGGGCTAGAATCGTGGTTGCTTTCAAACAGACGTTAAGGATGCTATATACGTACTTTCTGAATGAAACCAACTCGCTCCCGAAGTCTTTTCTCTGGGCGAGAAAATTGAGGGAAACATCAAGAAGAGGCTCTCAGAGCAAGTTGATGGTGGTTCTGACACGGTCCCTCGATATGTCTACCCCCTCGGCCTCCCCCAGAGGTCATTGAAGGAGAGCATATTTGGATGCTCTGACTGATGTTCGCGGAATTTCTTGATTTTTCTAGCGTTGTCTTGTTTATTCGTTGTTTTGACCTGCGGAGCGCCGATTTCTTGAAAGACAAATGCGCCTTGGATTATTTCTTTTATTTGTTGTTTGACTGATGTTGACTGATTATGGGTGATCTTTGCTTTGATTTATTTTTCTGATGTCGAGTGTCGACCAGGGGACGGTCGAATTTTTGGGTTTTTGGGGAGGGTGGAGACATTGTCGGATTTTCTTTCTCGTTTCCGACGAAATTTGTTCTCGGAGCCCTAATCCTACAGCAGCTGTCCCTGTGAATGGCCGTGCGGAGGTTTTTCAGGACAAGAGGCGCTCTGAGGAGGTTCGCAGCTCCACCGGCGCGGCCACTAGAGACGTGTACTCCCTTGGGCTTCTGCAGACGGATGTTGAGGCATGGAGACATGGTCGGATTTCTTTGACATTTTGGAGAATTGAGGCTTTTTGTGTGTGAAGGAGAGGAGGATTCCCTTGCCCTGACTCAGCAGCTGGTTCGGCGAGACGTCTGTTATTACGCCGCCTAGGTCGCTGTCTGGTTTTGAAGTTGGAGACTACCCTCCCATCGGCTGAGGTGGAAATGCGGTCCAAGGATCTGTGTCTTTCGCTAATGAAGATGAGAAGAACTGTTCCGTTGTGCTTCCAGAGATCCGCCTACACTTGCGAGACTGGTGGGATTACGTTACGAAGTCACTAGGGTCTCAAGTTTGACATGAAGTTCACGTGTTCTATCTGCATGTCTGAAGATGTTCGCCTGGCCCTTCCAGTGGTGCTTCACTGCTCTGATGTTGAGGCGTTGCACTACCCGACAATTTGCCAGTTTGTTGAAGGCTTCCAGCGCTTTTGGTTCGACAGAAGAGCTTGCTTATGGAGGACGTTCTTCCGTCTACTTTTTGAGACAAGAGCTGCCCATCCAGCAGGTACATCTTCACTGCCAGAAGGGTATCTGAACCGAGAGTATTGTTACGAGAGTGCTCCGAACGACGGTGACCATGACGAATTTGACGATGAACCGGATCTTTTTATCGCAGGGCACTGAAGCCTGCTCAGGACGAGAGGGATGGTTTTTCTTTAGGATATTGATATAGCGACTCCCCCCTTGGATCATTCGACACCGCCCCCCTGCCTGAATTTGGCCTGACCTCCCGCTAACCGTAAGGCATCTCTATATTCTGCCCGCCTAATTGTGATGAACTCCACATCAGAATCCGACATGAGGGATTTAAGGCCCAACATGATGTTATTGAGGCTTTTGGAGGACACAGATGCAATGAAAAATGAGTTGAGAATGATAAACACCAAGTTGGAAGCCAGATTTGATGAATAAATTGGAGGTCAATTAGTATTGAATTGTTCGTTCCCTATGGACTGCAGAGTGACTTAGTTTTGCTAGTAGTTTACATAGTAAGTGTAGGTACCGCGGCAGTACTTGTGAAATCCCAATGCTTGACCAGGAGGCGGCGAGGAAAGCGGTCAGTTAATGCCTTGATGTAAGCGGGAAATCAGACCAAATTCAGGCAGGGGGGGGAAGTGAATGATCCAAGGGGGGAGTCGCTATATCAATCCCATTTCTTTACGGCTGATACTTGATGTTTTCCTTTTGGTTGTCTTTGCCTTGTTTCTGTTACTTTGATGTGTTGTTTGGTGTCGACCAGGGGACGGTCGATTTCTTGAGGGGGGTGGTATGTAGTGGGGAGGTGTGACCTCCCCCTACAGGCATGCTTCCCCTGTCCACTCCCTTGATTTCCACGTGAGCGTCCCTTACATCAGCAGTTATGAGCTGGTGATATAGTCGCGAGGTAGCCTTTAGTAGCAACACACACTCCTACACATCTCTGATTTCTCTTCTTGTGCGCAAGCACCCAACCTCTTTGTTCCTCTGGTCTGATACTATGCTAGGTGGTACTTGCTGAATCGACCCGTGTGCCTCAGAGCACACAGCCGTAGAGCGTTCCCCTCTTCAATAGTTAACAGATTCTTAGATTCTTAGATTAGATAGATCTAGAGCTATCTTGGATATGGAGATTTCTTCCATTTGTCTTCTCCGGAACATACTAGTGCCGTTCCGCGGAGGGGATCAGACCTGTCCTCATGGCCTGTCTTAGCGGAAAGCGATCTCATTCTCACTTCGTGTTACGTCCCTTTACCCACGAGTGCCTTACAGAGGACTTGGACCTGGATTCTGCCAAGTCACGTGGCGGTCAGGCTTGACCGGGTCACGTGATCTGGCTTGAGCTCTCCACAAGTCAATGACTGCCCGTCAGACTTAGACTCCTTAGCGATTAGTCTGAATACAGGAATACCCCTTAGGATTTCTTCACTCTAGTTCTAAACCCCTCATTTGGACCCGCGAGTACGCCGGTCCTAACACTTCGATAAGATGGATCGGAGCGTCAAACTTCAAGTGGCGGGTGTGTAGAAGGTGATTGGCGCTTTTGAAGTGATGGATGAAGAAATCATCGACGTTAAGCCTAATAGTACTCCCCCATAGCAGCATAAATCTAGATGGAGCTATAACTAACTAACTATAGGGCGAATTAATTAATAATAATAATTGTGCAGATTGTTGAGATATACGCTCGCTAAGGCTCATAGAGCACGGACAGCTTCAAAGGGAAGTGACAGTTTGTGGGGCGTACGATAAACGTGAACGTAACGATGTGTTTTGAATTCAATAGATATAAAACTCATTGTTGATTGCATCTGGCCTCAGCGCATTGCATGTTGAAGTGCATAGAGTCTGGCGGATACCCAAGATTGCACGCATCTGCAATAGTCAAGGAACTAGTCGACTGTGGGTACCTCAAATCAGACCCATAATTGACAGAAATAAACATGAGCAAGGAAAAAAATATGAAAAACCATAAACGCTAGCCCTGAAACAACAGGAACACACATGCGACTCAACAGAAGGGCCTTCGTGTGTCTTCAGTTATCTTTTTCCTAAATAGAGATACTGGTCAACGTTAATAATGGTAGATGACTGAATAGACTGAATACTCCTCTTGATTGGTAGGAGACGCACCGAGATGAGTACGGAAAACATAGTCATACTCGGATGAATAAGATGTGGGCGATAAATTACCTGTCGGACAAAATATGGGTTATTATACCGCTAGACCTCAAATGCTCCAAGGGCGACATTTTCAGTCTATACGGTAATCTTTTGTTCTGGCATTGCCTAATCTCAGGCAAACATCGAGTTAGTTTATGTAAGATCTCCACACATAACGGTACCTGCATTGCTGTTTTAAAGTTGAGACTCACAAAGCATCCAATGCACCAGATGTGTTAGAACATTAAGCGAGCTATAAAGTCAAACCGTGATTCATCCAAATTACATACCGAAAGTCGAACAGATAACGCTGACTCCGTAGTGGCACAGAAAGTTTGGGTCATTCTAAGCGTCAGGTTTCTCTCCTCCGGGGGCAATTGTGTAGCCTTGTTTTATCATGATCTGTCGGTAATTATTCCAGTCTTTCTCAATCTTATCCATAATTGCATTGTATTCCTCAGGATCGTCGTCGCGCATTTTGTCGGTGAGCTTGAAATGGTTCATGGTGTAAGAGAGATACGACCTGTAATCTATGGTCTTGGTTGGCTCCTCGGTTGACGCTGGAACGGGGCGAGGCTTCTTGATGTTTCCCAAATTTGCTCCAGAATCCGCCCTTTGTCTTTTCTTGTCAGAGTGATTCTCTTCTCTTGCCAATCCATTTCCCGGGCTGTCCGAAACTGAGTCCTTAGGATTGGACTTCGTTCGCACGGATTGAGATTTAGTCGCTTTTGTTTTCACAGGAGGATTGGCCCAATCAGCATCTGGAAAGAAAGTGGGAGGCCTATCTCGATTTGTAATACCATTTTCGCTTAGCCAGGTTTGGTACGATAGGTCCTGGTGTTTCGCCGCGTCACGAATCCAGATATCCAGAGACATCTTTTCTTTTTTCTTGAGCCTTTCCATCAGTTTCCCCCTGAAAATAAAGCTCTCTCCATCTTTAAGCATTTTTGTGTGTCTCTCCTGTATTTGATCCCACAGAATTCCCACAAGTATAGTAGGAAATACATGAATGGCTTTCCCCTTTTTTGTCATTCGCGGCTTCCATTTTCGGTGGGGGTTTGGTGTCAGAGTCACCACACTGACTACTTTCCTAATATTGGGGAAGCCGTACAGCCACCGACCATTTTCTTGAATGTCTAAGATCGTTTCGTGTTTTCCAGATATCAGTGGAAGACCCGTAATCTCATCTTTTGTGTGTGCTTTTGATGTCCCGAACTCATGTTTTGAATGACCGGGTGGCCCGTAACGGTAAATTATCCGTGAATTATCTCCAAAGCATTTGCATAGAGAATATGCTACAGCTGTGACACTGCAGGTGGGTTCTGCCAGGCCTGTCCAGGCGGTGAGTCGATTCAGGTCATGTGACAGGAGGAGGAGAGACGAGGGACTTGTTTTGTTGCGCGCCTCTTTCGTTTTCTTTCTTTTCTTTCTCTCTTCTTCCTTTCCTTAGACTAGTTATCTTGTCGAATTGGACTCTTTTGCAAGAATAGCCTACTGTCACAACAGCAACACCGCCCTCGTCAGTTATTTCGGGCGATGTGTTTGGAGCGGTCTGGGTTGACGGGCTGCCAGAATAACCCTTCCACTTTTGATTGTAAAAGCCCAGTCTTTCGGTTCCTGGTGAAGATGAATCACCACTGCCTGGTGTTTGACGACACTCTTCATTTTTCTCTCCCTCACGATCGCCGGGGGCGGCTTCTGGATACTGTGGTTTACTCTGGGGATCCACTGACTTGCTAGTCGCGTCGATACCAAGCTGCTTTTCAAGCTTAGCAATCTTCTTCTTTTGAGCATGTGAGAGATCTCCCTCTTCGACCCTTTTGAGTTCTTCTAATTGCTCCCTTTGTTGATTCAGCTTCGCTTGCTGGTCTTGCCTTGCTTTTGTATCTCGAAGCGGCCTGTCTCCCTCTGCTGTCGAGATTCGATCCTTTGATGTATCGATAGGACCAGAATCCATGTTTTTCGCGGATTTAGGAGAGTCCTTGAATTGAAACCAGCAAACTCGGGACTACTTATAGATGAAAGGCGGAGAGATTGTCACGTCGGTCGCAATAAGTAGTGAAAACGGTACCAAAAGAATTGGTCGCCATCAATTTTCTATGTCTGCTGTTTGTGTCTTTGTCGAAAAAGACTTGACACTCTCAGTAATTATCTTTACGGATGGGCTACTCTCACGCCCCTCAAAACGGTTCTTGAATAATGAAGAGAAGCCATAACGCATCTTCAGAGCCAACCTAAAACTTTGGTCTTAAAGACCCCTCACGTAACATCTGAAGGCATAACTGAGTCCTCTCAATACCATCTGCGGTACTTACAGAATTTGACAACATCCACGCTTCTATCACTCAGCCGAGTCCGATGGTGCAAATCATCTCCTATCCCACTCAATTGCACGTCTTTTTTATACAGAAACATTCATATTTGGTGTACGCAAACCTGAGCCAGTATGTTGTCAGACTTTACAGAAGTAGCCTTACGACAGCCAATAATTGTCTTTCTATCTCCCCGCCGTGAAGCCCCATCTTATAAGGTAACATCCGGAAAGAGATGAGATATGGGTGAGCCATCATTCAATCCAAGCAGATTTGTAATGATTTTGAGAGTTTTCACCGAAGTCAAAGTTCACCGTGATCTTCCCTACAAGTATATTATGGTTATCAGGTCAACGAGGTTATGCTTATTTTATGAAACCCAGTTAACGGAGGCTATTCGATGATCACCATTTAGAAGACGAAAGTATACAATGATATTTATTCCAGATGCCATTTAGGAGGGTATGTGTTAAGGGGTAGCTAGTATAAACAAGCTGATGGCTAGGTAAGACAGATAAGATGTATGGTTCAGATAACAGTATTATTCAATCGATAACGAGACTGAATCTTGGAGAGCTCCCATGGCTCTCTCCAAGGCGAAGTATTTCACAACAATCAACAGCATAACTCAGTGGCAACACAATGACAATGATGAGGGAATTTCCCTCATAAACATGATAAATCTCTCATAGACAATCTGGCGATCCTCCAAGTGACATAATGAAATCGATAGACAATCAAAGATCAACTGTGATAAAACAAGATAATGCGAGGCCCGAGTCCTGAGATGATGAAAGGCCGATGATCATCAGGATTCAGATCCATGATAATCCGGGGTACCATCCAAGATCATCCCGGGGCCACCTCTCCGATGACGTGTGGGGCCGGACGATCATACAAGGCCTGAGCGCTAAGTGATGTGAGGGTCCCAAGAGGGGAACCCCGTAACAGTTGTTACGAATTCCTAATGAGTCAGTGCCCGGTAAAATGAGAAGCCTTGTTCAAGTAGCTCGGTGCCGAGTAACACTACTGTACCTCTGTATTTTTCTTCCACGTTTCTATGATGCAGGGAGGATGGATATCCTATCTAGCTCATTGGAGTCAGTCCGGCTCCATCGTTGATGGTTACCTCAGCACGCTCAGACCAAAAGGGAATTGATACATCCACAACAAAAAAATTGATACTGCCACAACATTATAAGGTCAGCACCCGTTGGCCAATAAGCATCCAGCACCGGGCAATTCCAAACAGCTACTATAGCAAGTTAGCAACCTCTTGCTATTATCTAGATAAGCATCAAATTCATTGTATTTTTTCTTTCTCACGCTCCTACTACTAGAAGTTATGCAACCTGGGGGGTATGGCCTCTACGGTCTCCTTTGGTCCAGCGTGACATTGGTAGTCACAGAGATACCATTTCCCCTCTCCCAACGGTTTGCACTATTACAATCAGCTTCCTCTTCGGAATCCAGCCAGCCCCTAGGTCACAAATCAATTCCGCACAAATCAATTGGCGGATGATAGGGAAAACGCCAAAAAGACTGGTTTGAACCCTCCGACCAAGATGCTCCCGGCTACAGAATGCGAGGGGGAATGTATCTACCCAATGCCTTGGGCACATTGCTTGTAGTAAAGATGCCTAGATATGGCTTCGTAATTTATGTGCTTAGAATTCGGTAATAACGCACCGTGGGTCCCTGCATGAAGGAGTCTTCATTCACAAACGTGGCATTGAACCAGATCCGGAACGGCCTGTGGAATTTCTGCGTAGGAAGAAGATCTCGACGAATAAAGTCCCCAAAGTCCAAGATTGTACGACGTTGTAGGATATGAGCAACTCGATCTACTAAAGTTAATTTCAGTTTTTGAAGGATTATCATTCAATAAGCTTACCAACTTCTTTATAACCTTCGTCCTTTTTGATCCAGAAGTTAATCACTGTTCGGAGCTGGCGAAGTGGGATTTGGCTGATCATGTCTTGCTTGTTGTTGGGCTTGTGAAACTGTAGATGTCGTACGATGACTTCTAAAACTGCGGACTCGCTGTCGCCGGGAGTATTGAGAAGAGCTTCCAGGTGTTCTTCCACGAATAATAACCCTGACGTCGTCGTTCAGTATAACCTGATAGGTGAGACTGAGCAATCGATGGAGCACGAGACGGTCGAGGATAAGATTCTGGAATCACAAGAGCATCATATGACCTCTCAATACTATTCAAAGGATGACGAGAAGACGAAGACGGCATTTTCAAAGATTGAAGGGTTGATTGATCGTACGGGTAAATGGATAGCACGCCAGGTGGATAGCCTGGCGTGGGTCCATCGCTGGGTGGGCCGAGCATGTCTAGTTTGAAGTCCCAGAAACAAAGCGAAATGGTTGGATGACATTCTTTTGAATTTAAATCTGGGGAAATTTAAGTCCTTCAAGACCTTCGATTGCCTGGCAATGGACAGACACAGCCGGTTCAACGGTTTGCCTCTGGAAATAATCCTGGGGACGCAATTGTGTTACTGGAGACACAACCAGTTGCGAAGAGTTCGGTTCTACATGCACAGGAACTGATTCACGGGGCAATTGGGAGGAGCGAACATGACAACGTCAAGCCCTTAGACAAGTGAATTCGGGAGATGTATCCCTATTATCCACGAGAGGGACAATTGAAAGCCCTGAGACAGCTGGTCTATTTGAGACAGTACCCTATCCTGATTGCGAAGACGTCATTTGGGAAGGGTATGATACTGCAAGCAGTGTCATTTTTACTTGCAAATATCATCACACTTTTGATGCTCCCATTAAACCAAATAGGCGTTGAACAGGCCAATTATATCGAGAATGTTGGAGGGCGAGCTTGTTTCACACTGAAGATGCTGTGCTACAGGAATAAGTCTGTATAGACCACCAATGTTGAGATATCAAGTTGTAATTTGTCGCATTTACTATGTGTCTCCAATGGCAACTAACAGTGACATCTAGATGAGTGATTAGGTCTTACTGTCGCACCTGGTCGGGTCCGCTTACAGCCCTCCGAAGCAGACGGCTATGCATGGTCGGCGTCAAAGTCTCAAGAAAATTTGTTGAGATCGAATTTAAGTAATGGAACGGTCGGCTTGTAGTTACCAGGCGATACATTGCTTAGATAACATATATACAGGATAATGTCTGACAAGTCTTGGCTTTCCCTTTCCGTTTTAGTGCTCACCCCAAGCCGCTTTTTGCTCACTGAGTAAAACTGAGCACACCCCTGAGTATTATATAAGCATTGTTTTCGCTCACTGAGCATCACCTGACCCTTATGTAAGCCAGATGATCCGTCACTGAGCAATCCGATCCCACTCACTGAGCGTGATCTGAGCGCTCTGATTTGCTCACTGAGCACCCCGATCCCACTCACTGAGCGTGACCTGACCGCTCTGTCTTGCTCACTGAGCGCGACCTGAGCGAAGCGGAAGAACTAAGTCAGCAGCTCTCCTCAATAAAATGCACCGCGCTAGCCTCATCCAATGCACTTTTTGCCGCTTGCTCCTAGGAATACGACTTCAACTATAGCGACCTGAACATTTGCAAAACCATTCTAGACGTATAGGCCATGTCTACTGGATGGTCTAGCCTCCCATAATGGCATTCGCGACCCCTCATTTGCCCGACATATTCTAACTACTACAGATAAAACACCTCAGAAACCTGGCAGGTATTCCTAGGAGCTTCCAGAACCTTTGTGCCGCCACAATGTGATTGGTGAGACAGGATAGATCCTAGGAGCTCGAGTGCTGGTACCCATTCGCGAGAACTGGTGCCGCTAATGCTGAGAGTCAAAGTATATAAAGAAACACCGATCCCTCCTTATGGAAGGCCTCATAAAATCTGCTCATAAATTTAGCAACTTCAGTGATCCAGGTCTGTCTCTTTTCAACCCCTCAGCCAGAGTAAAAGCCTAACTATTATGCAGATAGTCTGATGCCGCAAAGAAAACCGACAACCTGATCGATGTCCAATATTTCACAACCGATGAGAGTTGCAATGCCGTTTCCTGCGTATGCCCGAGCTCTGAGTTCGTTATATATGGTTGAGAGCCAAACAGGGAGATGTACGTGATGCACATTCTTCTCAATCTTGCTAGACATCGATAGACCAATGGCAACGAGACAACTGAACCTTTCACAAAATTGGCCTAAACTGATACTTATTTAGATGAAATTCATACGTCACAATACTACTACTTCGGAAACTGGGAAGGTCCCAAGTAGAGTACTACACCTGGAAGAGAAAGTTTGAAGATGCCACGAATACGCACAAAAATGAGCCCTCGCTTCTTCCGTTTCTAATGAGTAAGTGTCTGATCTGACTATCGGCCATGCTACGATAATCAGCCTCGCTTGCCAGTCTTCAGTCTGTATCATTCCACTCTGACTTATAGGCATCTTCTTGACTCTGGCCCTTACGCCCTTACTTGTCCGACCATGCTTCTTCCGGCAGTAGGACTTAAAAGCTTTCAGTCGAGTCATGATATTTGAGAGAACTAATCTATCGGAGCTGAGACGCGCATCCAGCAAAGCCAACATCAACTGTATAGCTTTCTACACTCAATGCTTATGCGTACAATATGATCCTCAATTTCTTCAAGACAATCCGCTCCATTGGGTCTCCGCTTTCGCTGCCATGAAGCGCACTTGATAATGACCGAACAAAAGTGACACAGAAATTCTGTGGAAATTTCAACCTATTCGGACTTGATAACCGAAAGGCCGTATTCTACATTATGCCCTCGGCGTTCCAGGTTCCATATTGCAGATCTGGATTACAGTTTTTATTTATCTTATTATATTGTTCATGTTTGCCAGGTCGATACGGTTGGATTACCATATGACAGGTTTAGAATGTTGTGATTTGAGTGAGGCATTTGCAGATTAGGACCCAACCCGCTTAATTATGTACTATCTATAGGAATGAATGAGCTCATTGAAAACCAGTTGGACTTCATCTTGTATCCTTACGGTGGATATATGGACAAGGCCCGACAACCTACTCCCATATACTTGTATTATCTCTGAAAGACATTAAATCTTAGACAATCAAAATTCACAGAAACTGCAATTACGCCTCGAGGCTCAATTAATCAATAGCCGGGCCATTTCGGTCATCAGCTTAGTAGGTGATGTTCTGGGCCCGTATTCGATACAACCGCTTGTTATTTACCGCTGTAAGGTAATTACAGCGGCTCTGTCCAACCTGCACAGCCACCGCTTTAAGACAGATAAGCCACAATACTTAAAACACCTGTAACCTGAGAGTTACATGAAACAGGTATGATCCTGTATGATACTATTATCGTATGGTGCCGTAGCGGGCTCTTCGGCAGCGGATTCTTCGACAGCGGATTCTTCGACAGCAGGCTCTTCAATAGCATATTCCTCAAATTCAAGGGTCGGTTCCTGGGAGCAAGCGATGACCCATTTTGCCTGTGTGACGGTTCATGGATGCTTGGGTTTTACCACTACGCCATCTGGCCAAAAAGGCACAATGTTTGGTCAGCGACCAAACAGCCAATATGCTCGATCTCTGACAGCCTGTTCATGAGCTCCTGGAAGCACCCTTGGTTTGTTCCTAGGAATAATCATAGCCCATGAAGCGCGTTCAGTGGGAAACTTGGCTGCACATCGTGTGTATTGCTCCTAGGACGAACCGCATGCGTTCTGGGGCATGTGCATCAACCTGGTGATCCTGGGAGCGCTGTATGCTCCCTTCTCTACAAGACTGGCTGTTGTTAGGACTATTCCACCGGACACATCGGACACCAGTTCCAAAGATGAGCTATAAGTACTGGTTGAATTTCCATAAAATATCAGGTTATCAGAACCGGAGAAAAACCACCATCACAACAAGTCGGCTTTCCTTTTGCTCTCGCTGAATCCTCAAGCTCATTCTACACTCTTTTTCAATATTGAGACATCGAAATGTTTCTCCAGGCTCTCGATTCAGCGGGCGAAAGACACGGTTCGCAACGCAAATCCACTGAGTCCTGCCAAGAACTCTTCCGAGGGTGTGACTTCCATAACAGGTATAATGTGCTGGTAAGGTCAAAGTCCTTCACCAGAAGTATGTCGACCTCTGGATCGAGTGAGTGGCCGCGAAATGCTATTTCAGCTTCCCTGTTTGTTGACTTACAAGGTTTCTTGATGTAGGCGGGATGGCTCTACAAAGCTATGAGCCGGAGAAGGAATCTGCCGCCCCAACACTGTTCTGATCAAAAGATTTATCTGGTGGTACACGCTTTCTACGAGAGGACGGCTTCAACCTGATAGAAGGCCCACGGTGACCACTACTTTGACGTGTGCTACGAGGTTTTCAGGGGCTTTGTGACAGCCACGGGAAGCGCGATTGCTGCAAAGGACTGTTCGGAAACTTACAGGGTCAGTATAGTCCGTTTTGCCAAGGCTTTTGATGTTGAAGCCCGCCTTCTCATAGTGGATCAGATTTGATCTGTATGGTCGCGGGACCTATAGGAGAGATTACTAATGAGGCAGGCACAAGACTTAATTTGCTTATTGTGTCTCTGCAAAAGTGGTGCTTTATTTACTGGCCATGATTCTTCTAACTATTGAGCAACGCTGAAAATCAAAGGACAAACTGGCTCAAAATGCCACTTCATTGTTGGGTGAATGGGCCAACTGATCTCATTCAAGTTTCCACCCTCAATTTGACACCCGCCGTTTTCCAGAAGTCACTTTGGTCCATATGATCTTAGAAGACGGTTGTTTTAATAGAAGCTGCCCAAGGTGCATGGGTAACACGCCTCAGTTGACAAAATACACAGAGATAAAATCAGAACAAAAGCATGGCTAGCTTCTTCTCTGTTCAAGAATGTGACCAGGAAGCCGGAAAATATAATTTTTGGTAGGAAAATGCGGAGGGCTGGAATTACACAATTCATGTTAGTCTCGGGATTTGAGGTCACCACGGCCAACAATGGGCAGGAAGCCCTTGACGCGTGGAAGCACGATTCATTTGACTGCATTCTCATGGATCAGGAAATGCCTGTTATGGATGGAAGTTCAGCGGCGCGAGAGATTCGGGCACTGGAAAAGGACAAGGGAACGTATACCCCTGTATCGCATATGATTTATCAAGCCGGACTGCCTACGGTAATAAGAAAGAACCCAACGAAATATTAGGTCAGCGGAGAAGAACCCCTACACTATAGTAGACGGAGAAATTGTGATCTTGCTTCAGAACACTCTGTCTTTGGCCAGAGTGCCCTTAGCTAGCGTAGGTCTGATTGGCTGAAATTGGTAGTCTTGATGTGGAGCTCCTTCTTAAACCTTAATAAGGGCTGTGGTTGATTAACGAGGGTAAACTGCCCTAGGCAGTGTCAGTTTTGTGAACGAACTTTTAGTCTGATTTATTCAGATAATTCTCTCGCTGCTTACTGAGATACAATCGGAGTGCCATACTTAGTGCACTCTGAACTGCAATGACTCCTTCTTATGCTACTAGAGTCTAAATGCACACGGGGGACGTTCGGCCAAGTTTACCCGCGGCTAATTCTATTCTGATCCGCTATTTAGGCCAGGCGGGTAGCAGTCAACAGTAGACTTCTCCTGGGTATTTAGAGATCAATCTGCGGGGGTTTACGACCTCCGAGCAAATATTTCACATACGCTAAATTATCGCCAGCGGACCAAAATAGATCGTAAACTGCAATACCCTAGTATTCAGGTAGAGGCGGTCTTTTAGGTGTCGAGACGTTGAAGTAGCTAGTGCTTAACAGACCGCGGGAAATTTAAACGGCCGCTGAAAGCCCCTTTGTGCTGTGTAAGTCGACAATAAACGCGAGCGATGAAGAATTTTTGGTCACCGAATAATCTTGTGATAAAATTGGGGACAGGACGGTGACGTACAATTAGTGCCGAGTAACCCTGGCAAAGTCTGCGAACAGATAATAGCAAAACTAGCATAGTGGGTGAAAAGTGAGGTTGCTTTACTTATTCAGCCGAATATGTTCACTTTGGCAGAGAGTGAGTGCATAAAAGAACCTAAATATTGAGACACGGACTTCATATTCTGACGGACACTTGAACGAACAGTCTTGAACGAACACTATCTTAAACTTCATAATCTGACTAACACTTGAACGAACACTGTCTTGAACGAACACTGTCTTGAACGAACACTGTCTTGAACGAACACTGTCTTGAACGAACAGTATCTTAAACGAACAGTATAACAGTATCATGAACGAACAGTATCGTGAACGAACACTACCATAATTTGCTTCTAGTATTTAGTGGAGCCACTAATTAATCAAAGCCTTGCCTGCAATTCGCTCGGCCTACAGGCTGGGGAAAGTCTTTATTACCACAGTTAAATAAACATAATTTGGCCCATGTTTCCATTGAGGATAAGACTAACACGATCCGCGCCTGCGTGTATTTTTTCCGTAGGGGGATTCTTTAACAGAATCAAAGGTGTAAATGATATGGTCAAACAAACGATAAAGTTTTGGCTACTTATAGAATGGCCATTTTGAACAGGTTCTAGGTTGAGCTAACCTGATCTGAGCTAAACAGATTTGAGTTAAACAGGTTTGAATTAAACAGCTTAAAGCTCGAGCAACTGAATGAATGTGTAGCCTCAAAGTTACGTGATCTTATACTTTGACTATACTGGCTTGGATATCGCGTAGGCGAGATTATATCTTGTCGTTCTGCGATGATTATTTGCCTCTTTCAGGTATCCTATGCCATTTAAAGGCGGTGTCAATTGCGCGGACACAGGGTGTTTGGACAATGTTGACAGTTTGAGATTTTGAATAGTTCTTGCCAGTTCCACGGACTGTGTAAAATGCCGTGTAAAAAATGAGGGCAGATCTTGGCTTCCTCGGCTCAGATTAAAGCCGAGTAATAGTCTCCAGCACCGCGAAGAGGTGTCTGTCATTTGCTGGAGGGCGGGCAAGAGAAATCTCATCGCAACCCGACCTGGTACTTGATCGAGGATTTGTGCATGGCCAACGGTCTGCGTGTGGAACTGAATCCGACCTGAGCCGTAAAGGGACATAGCTCAGGATTTCGTACCTGGTACTTGATCCAGGATTTGTGCATGGCCAGTGGCCTGCGTTTGGAACTGAATCCGACCTGGAACGTAGCCCAGGATTTGTTACCTGGTACTTGATCCAGGATTTGTGCATGGCCAGTGGCCTGCGTTTGGAACTGAATCCGACCTGAGCCGTAAAGGGACATAGCTCAGGATTTCTTACCTGGTACTTGGTCCAGGATTTGGGTTCGTACTACAGTGGGTTTACCGTGTGCCATAGCCACGACCTCGATGGGTGGGCTCACAGCAGAAGGCCACTAGTAGCCACACTCAAACGAGGGGCTAAAAGGAGAAGAGGAAACAACGGCGGAGGGCTTGCCTTTATGCTGGGCCCTATGGGGCCCTGTGCATTATTCCTAGTGATAAGATCATAGCAGGCTATACAGAAGCCGTGCTGTTTTAGTCCTGCTGCTCTCGTCTTTCAAGTCATCCCCTTTGATACTCTGCCAGTGACAGAGAGGCAGCTCTCAGTATTCATACGGTCCACGATACGATCGCAATTTGCAAGGCAAACAACAATGAAGGGCACGAGAAAATTCATGCGACCCCCGGGCTACGCAGAGGCCGCAATGAGCCAGTCACGAGCGGCGGTATTCTTGCGGGGCCTGCGAAGGGAGAGAAGACGGCTTCTACGACAGCTCAAGCAGATTTACGAGCAAGTCGAGGTCTCGGAAGCAGAGTGCAGAGGGCTATGCTACCAGGCCATCAAAGTTATGGCCCTTAGCGTTTTACTTGAGTCTTTGAGCAAGAAATCTACTGCTGTATCCAATGCTGTGTCTGGAGATCATCGTTCAGCGCGGGTTTGAAATCATGCCGAATCTACGCTAAGGGTTTCATGATCCTCTTTAGAAGCTCTCAGATTATGTATGAGAAATGTCAACACCGGCTGGAAATTTCAGAGTCTAACCACTTCTGGTACAAATTATCAAGAGCTACTATTATCCGCTCAATGAAGGCGATTCTTACCGTTGTGAGACGAGCCAAGCTCGAGGACAGTCCAGCCATCGCAGCCGAAGCGTAGATAGTCTCAGTAAATTTCAGCTAATACGAAAATGATATTTCTGTAATGGAGAACTTTAAATGGTGTGTGATTGCCCATATAGTCGTCAGTGGGCCAGTCACTCTCTGTTGGGACGTGCAAAACGGGGTTGATACCATCGCTCACTAAAATTTAAACGTCCCGTAGTTCGTCGGGCGGATTCTCAAAGGTTAGCAGATAAATTACCCGCTTTCGCACCTCGAACAACCTTCTGGCAAGGATTTCTTTTTTTGTTTTTTTTGGCAAAGAATCAGTCGACCTTTCATTTTTCTAGGATCCACTTTCACCATGCCAAAGGCAGCGACAACGTCGAGAAACCCATTGGTGCCGTCCCAACGCGCGGTTCGCCGGTCGACAGGGGCGGAAAGATCTCTTCCGCAGCCCATAGGGACTTTGCCTGGGAGCGAGGCCGGTGGTCTTGAACCGACGTCGCAACGGCCAATGAATATTCGAGAAGTACCGGTCCGTTCTTTATTGCTATAGCTACGGGGCGTGCAGTCTCACTGGCATATACTTTGATAGGGACGAACTTCCTACGCATCCAGAACCTTGAATCAAGACGACAGAGATGAAAACTTCGAGCTCGTCCACGCTAATTGTAAAAAGACCATCGAGAACGCCGTCGCAATCAACCGACAGCTGACGGCTCGGTTTAATGAGAAACGGCGTGAAATCGCAGCCAATGCGCAGCGGTTTAGCAGGGAAAGATCCGAGATGATGACCAAGATTCAGCAGTACAGCCTGGAGATACAGAAGCAGTCGGGCGAGGTACAACGCTTGAACGGAGAAGTCACTAGGCTGGAGACACTTCTTGAGACGGCCAACTCGAATGCCCGTAACTTGCTCTCGCGAAGTGACCTGCAACAGACGCTGGAAGATATTCATACTGCTGGCCAGTCATTCATGAGCCATCTTAAAACCCGAATGAACGAAAACGAAATCAAGATGGATGAAAACGAAAATGCGCAGAATTTCAGTCAGCTGCCGGGAATAGACGTGACGGGCGACTGGCCCGACACGGAAGCGTTCGATGTGATCAATGACTCTGGGGCTTTTGCGGAGATGCCGGCCACCATGTTCCCCGCATCTGACCAGGACGGCGTGCCAAACATCTAATCTGTCGCGGGTTGAGCTGGGTTAAGTCGCCACAAATGCCATGATTAGCTTTCACTCGCTCACTAAGATAATTGAGCCTGATTTTTCTCTGATTCTGCCTTCAAACAAGCCAAGAACCCACGTGCCCGTATATTACGGTACAACAAGGGCGATCGGGATACGAACACATACAATAGCATTACAGGTGGTATATATATATTTACGTATGCTTTGGGGACTGGAGGTGCTGTTCCAAAGCACGTTGAGTGGGAAATGACCGATCACATGGAACGCAGATAACCATTTTGGATCTGGAAAAACTAGTTATATCGAAGAGAGTCTGGGGTCTGAGTCTATAAACCTTTGGGACAGAGCGTGCGACTGTGAGACAAAGCAGCCCTCATGACTGTCCCTCTGGGATGTCAAAGGTACGGATAAGTCTAGGAAATGTGTATCTCGTCCACAAAAACGCTCGTTCCGTGCCCATCACCTTCGAAGCTGAAGGAAGCCCGACCTTCTAGTGAGGGGAAACAACAATGTTGCCACTCATGCATGCAAGTGCAAGGGTGTCATGCGATGTCTCTTCGAGTATGTGGCTTTCGTGTACGCGAGTCGTGACTTGCATGAGTCGAGAAGAAATGACAACACGTGTTCTTTGTGGTATGGTGGCATCATTGGGGCTGCTGAAGTTGTGATCAGAGAAGGTGCTAAGCTTTCGTTTTTACCAAGCCGCTCTTATCAATTGGTACGTACCTATTATACTTTACCAAAGAGGAAAGAGCGGGCTCCTCGAGTGCATGAAACAGTGGAGTCATTGTCGAAGTTCCAACGCTAGTTACTGCTCAAAAGATGACACGGAGTATGAGCCAAATACCTGGCTAGCCAAGAGCGCGTCCTTTTTGGAAGTTGGCTCCGCCGGGAGTTTTTGCCAATCCCAGCTAGTCTCACCGTTGGGCACCACTGCATACCAGCCGGTCGGAGTGTGTTAGAAGCGCTGATGGATATACTTTGTAGAGCATTCAGGCTACCCAAACGGTAGTTTTCTGCTAGGAGATAGCAGGTAAAGGCAGACAGATGCCAAATGTCACTGAGACGCTTATTATCAGCTTACATGTATCCCGTTTTCGTGGTACCAATGCCGGCAACTTGTGCGTCTTGAGTCGAGGGTACGCTTAACAGCGCTGAGCGGATATAGGTGTTAGCCGAGTCGGTAGAGAGGTACCTCCCGAAACTGTTCCCTTCTCTAGTCTCATTATCTCTCGGATCTACTGATGATCTCTGTGTGCTAATGCGGACGCAGTTCCGGTCATTTTCGGGTCGTTGGAGGCTTAGTTGCGGGTCACGGGTACCGCTGGCTGCTATCGCTGCCCAAGTTCTAGGCGGGTTTGGTTGTGGGCTGGTTTCGATTTGTGCTCTTAGGGCCCTGACTTCTTCATGAAGCCTGTCGTTCTGTTCTCGGAGGACGTTCTGGTCGTGCTTGACCTCTTCTAGGTCGGCTTTGGTGGATTCGATGAGCGTGGTTTGGCGATGGATGATATCCTTGAGGTTGTCGACGAGCTTCCACACCTCTCTGGTGGTAATCCGGCCTGTGCCCTCGGCGGGTGTGTAAGCTTCGCCATTTCTCGTTCTTTTCCCTATGATTTGGCCTGCATCGATCGATACTCGAGGCTGGAAGTCTTCAACTGAGAAGCTGGCTTGGGTTTCTTGGGTGTTTGTGGGAGGGGGCTCGGGCCCTCCCGTGGGTGGGTCCGCCATCGTTCCGGGGTTAGCTCCCGCTCGGTACACAACCACAACAGTTTTATATCGAAAATGCGTAGAGTGAGGCCTGTCTGTACGTCTCTCTCTGGCCCGTTGGGGGAGTACAGAGTGGATCGAAATCAGTTTCACCACTCTTTTTACATCGATCTTTCCTGAACCCTACCTTGAAACACGCTAGTCCATCATTGATCTAGCTCCTTTCAGAAATCGCGTAATTTGTTGTAACGTAAGATCACGTGATCACTTACAATGTCACTGGAAATACTCATACAGATGTTACTCGACATCAATGCTTATCATAGCCTATGCTCAGCCCCGCTTTGATGTGCCCCTGCTCGACGAGGCTGAAGCTCGGCTCTGAGATAATAGACGGCTGAATCATTTTTTCCCCATCTCAAGGACTGCTATTGATCAGGATGGCTGATCCTCTCGCTATCGCATCAGGGATTGCCGGGCTGCTTTCGCTTGGTATTCAAGTCACCCAATCTTTGATCAGTTTCTACGCTACATACAAGGACCAAGACTCCGATCTGGCAAATGTTACGCAGAATCTCGATAACCTTCAGAGCATTTTTCGAGCCCTTACTGTTGCAGTGGACGAACGCCGATTGCATGCCGACACGCAAGATCTACTACGAGAAGTCGAGAAGGCGGTACAGAAATGCGAGGAAATCATCACCGAGCTGCAGAGCGAGTGTGAGAAATTCCGGAAAGACTCGGCCGCCGGTTTAAGGGATCGCGTTAAAATTGCTGGGCGTAGAGCGGCCTATCCATTTCGGAAAAGTACCCTACAGAAGCTCGAAGAAGACATTAGCGACATACGTGAAAATCTGTCGTTCGCACTCGATGTCCTGCAGGTTAAGAACCAGATCCAGGTCCAAGATAGTATATCGGAAGTCAAATCACTGGTGGAGCGAACAAATGCTAGTCAAGTCTCACTCACCATTCGTTGCTGGCTTATGGCACCGGATGCGTCTATCAACCACAATGCTATGTGTGCAAAATGTCATCCAAGTACAGGACTATGGTTCGTCAAGGGCCCGCAATTTCGGACTTGGCTAGAGGAACGCAATTCCTTGCTGTGGCTCAATGGTTTCGCAGGATGTGGCAAGTCGGTCCTCTGCTCAACCACAATCCAGCATACGTTTCGTGAGACGAGAGGTAGGCATGGGATCGGAATCGCGTTTTTCTACTTTACCTTTAGCGACAAGGCAAAACAAGATGATAACGGCATGCTACGCGCGGTGCTGTTGCAGCTATCGGCACAGCTACAAGACGGTGAGAGAGATCTAGAGCAACTACATGCATTGTATAAATCCGGGTCTCCTCCAGTGGATGTGCTGCTTGACTCACTACGACGCTTCCTTGAACGATTTCGCGATACTTATCTTCTGCTCGATGCGCTAGACGAGAGCCCCCGATACAACAAAAGGGAAGGTGTCTTGAAAGCGATCAAGGAGATACGCAGTTGGCTAATACCTGGAGTCCATCTTTTAGTGACAAGCCGGAGCGAGCTTGATATCCGTGAATCGTTGGATCCTTCCCGTGACCAAGATCTTTCGCTGAGGAATTCGGAAACCGACAAAGATGTAGCAAAATTTGTCTCCTACCAGCTCAAAAACGACCTAAAACTGCAGAAATGGAAAGAGCGTCATGAAGAGATTCAAAAACAATTAACGACAAGTGCACAAGGAGTGTAGGTTCACTTAACGATTCAGAGTTTGTCACCACTATTCTGACCAAAATGACATATAGCTTCAGATACATCGAATGTCAGTTCAATGCCCTTCGGCGGGTGAAAAACCGGAACCAGCTTGATGAATGCCTGTGTACATTACCCCGCGATCTAGATGAAACGTACGAGCGAATCTTGTGCAGTATCAGCGATGAATATGTTGAGGACGTGAAGAGGGTTCTGACCGTGCTTTGCTTCTCCACCCGACCGCTCACAGTCACTGAGCTGATCGACGCACACGCTGTTGATTTACGTGAGCCACCACGCCTTGACCGTGAAGGCCGTTCATATGAGCAAGATGATCTTGTCGATATTTGCCTTGGTCTTATCGAGATTGCGGCCGCAGAAGACGACAATGGGCAAAGCATCTTGGCTGCCCGCATTGCACATTTTTCCGTCCAGGAGTATCTTCAATCAGATCGCATCTTGCAACAAAAAGCAGCAAGGCTCGCCCTCCAAACTGCACGCGCCAATAGAGAAATAGCCCAGATCTGTCTTGTCTACCTCCTGCAACCAGAACTCTCTGTGGGGGAGCTAGATGAGACAAAGCTGGGGGAGTTCCCCCTTGCCTCTTTCGCGGCCAGACATTGGTTTCATCATTTTGCAGCCTCCGCAGAAGAGAAGCCAAGAATTGAGCGACTGGTGTTAAAGCTTTTTGACGATGACACAGGGCCTTTCGTGACGTGGATTAGGTTACATGATATGGACCGTACATGGATGGCAAATGCTCGTTATGATCGCTCTATTGCCGATATAGCATCTCCTCTGTACTACGCTGCCTTCCTGGGATTGGGACACGTTTTAGATAGGATCCTAGCGGTCGAGACCAGCGGTGAAGGTTCACTGGGAACAGTGAACGCTCAAGGTGGACGACTCGGAAATCCACTCCAAGCTGCATCACTGAAAGGACATGAGAGGGTGGTGCAAATGCTGCTTGATCGAGGCGCCGACGTCAATGCTCAAGGCGGACAATATGGCAACGCGCTCCAGGCCGCTGCAGCGGAGGGCCATGACAAGCTGGTGCAGGTGCTGCTTGATCGAGGTGCCGACCACAACGCCCAAGGCGGTGAATACGGCACAGCTCTTCACGCCGCATTAATTATGGGCAATGAGAACGTGGTGCAGATGCTGCTTGATAGAGGTGCTGATGTTTTGCCTCAAGGTGAGGAATGTCACACCTCTCTCCAGGTTGCATTTATAGGAGGCGATATGGAAATAGCGCAGGTATACAACAAAGGTGCCGACACCCACAGTTACGCGCTCCAGGTCGCGGCAATTCAAGGCGACGAGAAGATAGTACAAATGCTGCTTGATCGAGGTGCAGACGTCAATGCCCACAGTACAGAGTTTGGCAGCCCACTGCAGCTTGCGTCGATTTGGGCGCATGAGAAGGTAGTGAAATTGCTACTTGATCGAGGTGCCGACGTCAACATCCAAGGAGGGAGGTACGGCAATGCACTCCAGGCTGCATCATGGAGGGGCCACGAAAAGGTAGTGCAGTTCCTGCTAGATCGAGGTGCCAAGGTCAACGCCCAAGGCGGAGAGTATGGCAATGCTCTTCAAGCCGCATTATCCAAAGGTCATGAAAAAGTGGTTCAGATACTGTTGAATTGGGGTGCCTGTGATGATTGTGATGTTTCTTAGGTTGTTTCTATTGTTTGCTTGCTTCGTTTACTTACTTTGCTCTATTTGCTCTGTTTGTAACAATGGCAGGTATATAAACCTCTCATCGTCATACTTTTCACTTTCCTTCTTTCCGTAGCTTTGGTTATTTCATTGAATGCTCTCTGTTATTTCTACAGACTCGGCTCATTAGATTGCCGGCCAGAAAGCGCTTAAGAGTCTGTGCTACGTCCTCTCCCGTGTCCCGCGATATGGCCGTTTTCCTTACCGTGACCTTCCACTCTATCGTATTCCGGATGTAGTTTGCTGGGAGCTCGTCATTTGATGATCAATTCGCCCATGAATCAACCGGATACTGAGACCCTAATCAGAAGGCTAGCATTGTTGCACGAAGCATAGGAAATCGTTCATCCCACCGATACCGTCTCTATACACTTCGTTCATCAATAGTTGTCACTCCCTGTGTATTATGAGAGATTGATCGAAGGAGAGAATATGAGATCTGGCCAGATAGTCAAACTGACCAGGCAGGCGGAGCGCCCCTCTTGTTTGGCATGTTTGCTGAAAATGTGTTCTAGGCGCCCAACAGACCATACAAAATCAATACTATAGCTATTTATATATTGTTATTTTGAAACTGATTTCGATCCACGCTGTATATAGAAACTACTACATAACAAGGCAGTCTACATAGGCATTGCTACATAGCAGAGGGGACTATATAGAAACTGCTACATAGCACTCTAGAAGCGTAGCGAATCGCCGGGGCTTCCTAGAGGCGGTCAGCAGAATGCATAAAAGAGCCCAATATAAATAGCGACTACGAACATAAATGCATTTGAGCCCTCGAGCCTTTAATGAGACACAAGATATAAATAAACTTCCGGCACAGCTTTCAAATGACATATCACACTCTAAGTAGGAAGCTCGTGGGCGTTAAGCCAACGCCAAACACTACCATATCCCCGGGTTAAAACCGAACGTCTCTGTCAAAAGAAGAAGCAAGCCTGCTTAGGATGGCTTGAAAAGGCGAGAAAACCGTGGTCTATCCCATAACGGCTTCTATCAGAAGAAGCGAGCCTGCTTGGGATGCGCCTAAAAATAGTAAGTGAATGATATGGGCATACTTCTTTTGATTGCGGCACACTTTGGCTATGCTACTCTAGGCAAATATACTCTTTCAAGCTGAAAGCCTTTGGTCTAGCATTATGGGAACCTTGACCGAGCTAAAAATGGGTTATGGGTCGTGTGGATCAGATCGTCTAGATCGTCTCCACACTGACGTAGCACCGTTTTCTCCTTTCTTGAGAGGCCATTCTTTACGGTCAGAGACCGCCAGTGTGAGAGTGGTCGTGCCACAGTTCGACTTCATACATAAACTTCGAGGAAGATAAAATAATTTCTCTGGACGCTTCAGCACTATTTGTTGCGGTAGTGGAGGTGCGTGGGGAAAGCCTATTGGATGTCCAACTTCGCGATTCAAAACCGCCGACTCTGCGACCACCAGCCTCTTGCGGTCGCTGCTTGGAGACTAGAACCTTCGATTTTAGCATTTCCCCCTCCCTTCCTCCGGGCGCGCGCGCCTTGCCCCCACCTTGGCCTTGAATTGGTCGCTCCCCCCAGTCCCCTCTTCCGTCTCCTTTCTCCCCAACTTCTACCCCCCCCCCCCCCAACCCTCCAGCTTTGGCTTTCCCTGCTCAGGTGCAGCGCACCTAGGCGTCCCATCCTTTTTGTACACTTGCCTCCCCTGCCCACACTCGTTTTCCTTGCCTCTTTATTGTTTGGTCTGTGATAATAGGGGAATTACAACATGTCCCAGGAGGAAGGCTTCATGCAGCAATGGGGGTGTGGACGATCTGAACTAAATTGTTCGATATTGACAGATCCCAAGGACTCATCCTCAAATGAGGATTTATCGGGCTATCAGCAATTTGCAAGGTCCGAAGGAGTAAGTACCAGAGCTCGGATATCATTAATAGATTGCTGATGATTGTCAGTTCCCTGCTTTGATTCGATATAACCTCTTAGCCCTTCAATCTCTTCCAGAGGTCGAGAGGCAGGATGTGGCCGCCAAAGCGGGTATACCATCGTTGATGCCAACCATGTCTTGTCTCGACATGCCCGGAAATGAAGTCTTATTACACTCGCAGGTTAGAGAAAATGACGGTGCATAAACTTCTGCTTTGATTTGCTACGCAATTTAGTCAACACCGCATGTACTGACTTGATCTCTATAGATCCCACGACGGAAGCCACTTCCTGGAGTGAGTTCAGTGAGTTCGCCCACGAGCTCGGTTTCTCGCCCATACCTTCGAACTCGGAGGTTAATCCGCCAAAACCACAGCCTCTTGAAACATGCTCGTATCCAACCCCCCAGTCTGTTCCCAGTCCAGATGTAGGAACCAATACCTTGGGCTCTGATTTCTCCACTCCGGCGGAATTCGATCCTTTCCAGTTGTTAGATGTGCCAAGACCCGCACACTTGGACCTGGCCCAGTCCACATTCGATTATACGCCGCCACCGGCTGGCTCAGAGGGTTCTACGCTACATAATTCGCCCGAAAATATGGATGCTATTGGCATGAGACCACCACTGGCAGAGCTAGCGGTCCTCATCTCCCAAGCTGCTGAGCAATCTTTAAGTTCACATATGGTTGATGATCCGGCCGAGGAGTATCAATACGCTAGTCCTTCTCTTTCCCTTGAAGCCTTGCAACACACTCAGGCCCCTGAAGTCATGCCTATTGACCATGCTCAAAACATGATACTATTGTTTCCGGATCTAAGTACAAACAAACTTCGACAAGCCATGGAACTAGGTGACCGTCTTTTCCCCCGAGACTTGTCCTACTTGGAAGCTCAAGTCAATCACTGGCAAGCTGAAGGACTGTGGAGTTTCGTGGACTTTGGCGTCTCACCAGGCTCGTCTACGAGACAAAGGATCGCCGGAATCTGTAAACATATCAAGGAGATGGGCAAACCAAACTCAGAAAACTAGATGAGGATCCGTCTCGCAAAAGTCCAAGTCAACATGCTCTACGAGACCATCTGTAATGAGGAAAAGAATAGGCGTCTTAATCTCGGACCGAGAAAGTTCACTACTCATGTTCTTAACTGCATCGAGGCAGCCATTAGAAATACTGGCAACCGACGCCTTCCAGCTCCCAGAAAGTCACTTGTTCGCGATGCTATCTTTCGATACAAGCAAGTTGGTAAAAAATGGTCGGTGTCACAAGGTCTAAGTATGATGTTGCTTGTTGGCCGAGATTGTGGAAGGATAATGTACGCGCTTCCATGAAGTTCGAAATTTCCCTGGCTAATATCATACAGAGAAAACGGCCAATTCACTGAGATGCAGATGAAGGCTTTGATGTTCCATGTTTCGGTAAATCGGCCGGATATTATCAGTCTCTGCAGCAACTTAGAATATGCTGTCAGCTATTTCCTAACCCGTAATCAGTTACCAGCGCGTCTAAATGTCGACGAGGCTCGAAAAATGATCGGGATTCACAATTCAATGACAGCGATTGTAGGTTAACAATTGGATGGACAGGTTGAAGATTGCGCCGTTTCTTCAGATGAATACCCAAGTCCGATTTTGGCTTGGAAAGTTGGAGTTCAACCAGGATTAGGCCTGCGCTATTTATGCGTTTTATTTTGCTTGGTCGAACTATTTTCAGTTATATGCAAATAGAACATGAATCAATTAGTCCCGCCATACCACGTTTGAGCAATAGATCCTGCCACTCACTGCGTAGTGTCCTAGGAAGAATGAGGAGCGCTGGGCAAATCGGCCGTTCAAGGACGAGGAGTTTTATGCTAGAGAAAAGCAAATGAAAATTGCTGGAAGAGCCCGGTGGTCTTCACGGAAAGAATATTTCCTGGGAATATACCTCAATGCACCGCCAAGAGTGGAGTTGAAACTATTGTACTGTATATAGCAACGAGAAGCACACGGGAAAGGAGCTTTGTTACGGCACGGAACCACCGATTGGATTTGGCGGTTCGAGGTGAATACTGTGTGTCCATTGGTCGGACACCCTGTTGGCGGTTCAAAATCGCGATTCTGGGAAAATTTGGGCAACCGCGATTCCTCTTTGCATCAAACAATACGATCTCCTTCCAGGAGTTTCCATCGCGTCAAGCTCCAAGGAGGGTACAGTAAAGTCCCCAAGGACGTAAGCAGCGTTTCTGGTTTTTTTACAATTAGCTGCATCGAAAGCCAGAGCGAAGGCTGAACTGGAATGTACTGTACAGTAAAATAGGACTCCAACGTAAGGACGTACATATGGTGGACGTATCATCATCCCCCATCGGGCTGTGGGCATGTCGATCGTCAAGGTCCACAACCGCTGCCGCTCTAATCCTTCCATCAATTCCACTCCCATCAGTGTACATGATGAGGGGTCTTTTCTCTGGCGCTTTCGCAAGGATTTGGTTATGATGGTTGACCGCGACTGCTCTGTCGTCGATGAGCACCTTTGGCGGAGCCTGCCAATATCCCTGGAATCCCAGCAGACACCACAGATTCTACTAGCAATTTCTTCCTCTTCCTGCTGGAACTCAATATTGCGATGGCGGCTCAGACCCCAGGCAAGACCATGTCCACTACAGTTCCTTCTTCATACTGGTACCTGAAGGCAATACCAATCCAGGCTATCAGTGCGGTCGTGGACTACATTGTGATCATAACATATGACATGCACGGGCAGTGGGATTGGAATAATACCTTTTGTTGATTCCGGATGCCCTTCTGGGAATTGTCTGCGCTCCCATGTCAATCTCACCGAAACTATCAACTCCTTGTCAATGATAACCAAAGCCGGAGTTCCCTCCAATCAGATTGTCGTTGGTGTGGCTAGCTACGCGCGTTCCTTCCAGATGACCGAAGCTGGATGCTGGGACGAGAGTTGCACTTTTGTCGGGCCGAACTTGGGGGCAGTTCCAGGCCCATGCACAAACGGCGCTGGCTATATCTCTAATGCTGAGCTGGCAGCGATTATGGAAGACGAAGATGTCTACATGTATATCGACAAAACTTCCAATTCCAACATCATGGTGTGGAATGACACTCAGTGGGCTGCATTCATGGACGACGATACCAAGGCCGTTCGCAAAGAGCTGTATGCTAGTATGAACTTCCTTGGACCGGCCGACTGGGCCATTGACCTGCAAACCTCCAATGATACATTGGGTTCAAACGCCTCATCCGAATCTTGTCAGATCTCCATCGAGCCCTCCATCTGGAGTGATGACAATCCAGTCATTACCGCCCAGTCCGGGTGCACAATTATATGGCCTCCGATGCCACTGAGCAGCACCACTACAATCTCTTTCTCTGGATGGACGACACGTCTCACCTGGCAGTCAACCTCAACAAAGACAATGACGTTTGAGGATAATTCGACTTTAGTGTACCACGCATATTGTGACATTGTGGTGCCCACCGTTCTCTCAATCGCTCCCGGTAAGAGCTCCATTCCTCCCCCTGACTTATGAGCGCAGCCGATCTTATCTCATTTTTGCAGTCACAACGGATGCCATTCCAGTTTGGCATCAGGTTCCATCGTCAGGCCAGACTGTTATGTACCAGACAAGCTCAGTGCTTCCTAGCCCATTCCCCGTTGTCATGACTCCGTAAGTGCTGTTTGATTCTTCATATGTTTCCCTGGGGAGAGAAGCGGGCTAACGATGTCAAAATCAGTACCGTGGGTGGTACCACCACCATTATTGGAGGAACTAGCACTACTATGCCTGGGTTCACTTTCTCTTCTGGCAATATCACCTACGCGATGCCCTCTTGGATCGACGTGTACGGAGGTACGACAAGTGTGGAGAATGGCACGGTGCTTGTCCCTACTACAACGACCGTCACTCCCCATCCTTATCCAACAACGACTCATTCCACAACCGACTCCACTCTCAATACCCGGACCACACGTAGGTCCTCGGCAACCAGCTCAAGTGACGGCACCACATCTTCGACATGCGTACCGAGTTTACTCAAAAGATGCGGCATAGACTGTACGCACCTTCTCTACTCTGCTCTAGTTTGTGGTATAATGAAGAGCCTTGGAAGCTAACGCCAAAATGATCATTTAGGTGCTCCATTCTGTATTTGAGGTTGTCCCTTGTGGCCTCCTGATTACGATGGTACGTCAGGTGGAAGTGGCAGTGGCAGCGACAGCGGTGCCGGTGACGACGATGATACTACCACGTGGACGTCCACGTCGACAGAAAGTGGGCGCTATGACACTTTGCCCGGCATGGCCTCTGCGATTGCTGAGGATGAATTTGAATCTACCACGAATGCTCTCACGGCCTTTCAGGCGTTGGGGACCGCTGAATCCGGGCTCATGGCCTCTATCTGGGGCGATGGGCCCACTGCTTCAGCCACGAGGACAGCGACAGGAACCGCAACCACTAAAGCTACTGGCACCGTCGGTACTGCCACAGCAACGGCAACTGGCTGCAGCAATACACTGGGCTGCACCGTCTTTCAAGACCCAGATCACGGTAGCGATTCCTACTGCCAGTGCCCAGGTTACGACGGTTCCTTGCCTCTGCTCACGGGCTCTGCCAGCTTCTGTGGCTATACATCCCTGCCCACGACAACATCCAAGGCTGCCACCACCACCAGAGCCACGGTCCCCTACCCCTATACCTTCACTGACATTTACGGTGTTGTGGTCGCCTGTGAGGCGGAAACATCCCTCAATTACGCTGGCTACGCCGTCACCGAGTGTGCTGGCTCAAGAACCACGCAGAAGGATGTAACCATTACAGTGACCGAGGTAGTCACCATCTCTGCCATGAATAAATTGTGCGAGGGCGGCGGCTATTTTGCATGCGTCCAGCTTACGGAGGACACTGGTATACTTGGGTGTCCGGAGCTTCCGAGGGCCAAAGAGAAATGTGAGCAACCTATCTTCTACCAGGCACAGTCATTATGTGGGGAACGGTGTACGTACACGTCGTCGACTTACACCACGACCTACGCGACGCTAGCACCATAAGCTGGATGATGACAAAACTCTTTTTTGGGGGGGGGAAGGCCCCATTCATAGTACGAGTATCGCAGAATCTCATTAATGGTTACAACATTCAACTCCGTATTCCAACATGTCTTCGTAGAATATGTACTACTTGTCTCAGTACTGAATGCGAGGGATGCAGCCAAGGCCTTGATGGCAGCAGATCAATGCTTCTCCTGCAGCTGAAAATGCCCCACTCACAGACCGAGTCCACTGCACTCTTCTCCACGAAAATCAGAGGGAACCTGGGCTACTACCCTTGGCTGGTGGCAAGCGATAATAGCACTCAAAGTTCGAATGGTTGACGAATCCAGGAAAAGAACACACGAAAAAACAGAAAAAGGCACACTTCTCATTGATGATGATAGAAAAAACTACAAGCTATTCTGCATGCAATAAAAGTAGAATGAGGGCGGTGACGGGCGGCAAGACTTCCCACTTCCCCCCACCCCCAAAAAAGGCGGTGGCATCTGCATTCCACCGCCTTCCTCTTTGAGGAAATTCAGCTTTTTTGGGGACCTTAACTAATGTGCCGTGCGGCTAGCAAAACGTGCCATGTCCGTGGCAATTCCCCAACTTTCGGGGAATTGATACTGCCACAACACTATTAGGTCAGCACCCGTTGGCCAATAAGCATCCAGCACCGGGCAATTCCAAACAGCTACTAGCCTACTACCTAACTACCCAGTACAGTACTATGCCAACAAATTCATGCAGTACTACTAACTATACAACAATAGATTTCCCCACCAGTGACCAAACTAAGGCCTTAGGCATAGGGCATGTCCTGATAGTATGCCCTATTTCACCACAATTAGACCGTTTTGGAGGCGCCTTTTGCTTCCTTCCACCGCTCCCCGCTGCCGCTGCCGCTACTATTACCAGTGGCCGCTGTAGCCACCCGGGGGAGCGCCGAGGTTCAGGAATTCGAGGGTCTAATAACGGTAAAACAGCTGTATTATCGGCCGAATCAGCGATTCTCCAAAAGGGGTGGATATCCGATAGTGGAATTGACTGGCAATTCGCCATCAACGCTGCTATACGATGCTTGCATGGAAGGCCCATTGACCCAGTCCAGGCAGCTGCTCCCGGGTGTTGAAGGTTCCTTCAGGTGGCGGAAGCATCGTAGGTGTTGCTGTAGTGGCCTCCGCTGCTGCAGTGGCAGTGGGTATCGCAGTAGCTGACGCACTGGCAGGAGCACTGGCCGAAGCAGTGGGCATGGTAAAAAGGAAGGCTAGTAGGAGCTTGAGAAAGAAAAAATACAATGAATTTGATGCTTATCTAGATAATAGCAAGAGGTTGCTAACTTGCTATTAGCTGTTTGGAATTGCCCGGTGCTGGATGCTTATTGGCCAAGGGGTGCTGACCTAATAATGTTGTGGCAGTACGAGGTCTCCCGGCGCCCGATGGTCTTGGGAATTAACTGCGACGCTCAGCTTCGCCTAGCCCTATGCCGTGAAAGGCAGGCGGAAAGTCACCGGAAAGGAAAAACTATCCGTAACTGGCAGGAATAGCAAAATCGAACTTGACTTGCAAAACCAATCGGAGGGACGGAATTCATGCCGAATTATCTCCGAGGTTGTTTTGGCCGTAAGTAAGGCGACGTAAGCGTCGCAATCAATTTTTTTGTTGTGGATGTATCAATTCCCCCACTTTCGATAATGCTGACGTAAGAAAACAAAGAGTCCATGCGGGAGATACTAAGAATCGAAATACCGGGATTCCCATGGTGATACGCCGGTTTTTAATTGAAATACGGTATTCCGCTAACTATGCAGTAACTACCGTAATTTTGTGGAATACGGTTATTTAGAAATTCCGGTATTCGGAAGTATTTGAAATGCAGAGAAGTATTTCCGAAGTATTTTCTAATGCTGAGGAGTAATTTCGAAGTATTCTTGAGTATTCTAGTGAGTATTCTAGTGAGTATTTCAGTATAGCTTTGGACATCACTCGGTACTCTACAGGTATAGTAATTCTACTGGATTTCTACTGGCTTTCTACTGGTATACACCGTAGTAAATTGGAAGTTTGGAACCAATCTATTACCTAGTCCAGCCTCCAGGAACTCTACGTAGGGCTATCCATACCTACCCATCGAGTACCAGTAATCACCTGAGTATGTACATATATCCAGCCGTCCACGGGTGTCCATTGCAACCTTGGAGTAATGGCCTCGTCGTGATTATCCTCACTGATGGATTTCCTCGAGGCTCTGGTCTTGTTTTACCGTTGTCCGGTTCCGAGAAAAAGTTGAATCCTTCTGATAGCAGATGGCGGTTGGTAGACTCTGATGTGAGTTGGAAGGGTGCGTAGGAAGGACTTGCGTCTGGGGAAAGAGGTCCGTTTGGGCGGGCAATGAGGGTGTTCAGAAGGATACTTTTTGAACCGCATCGCTTAAGTCTTGGACGCGTCTAACTGCTCAGTACAGCGTCATACCATATAGTTAGTATATTTCCATTCTCTTTGATAACGTGGAGGATGCACACCTGTCTGTGTACGTTTGGATTTGAATCAGTTGTCTCTCGGGAGAGAGAGAGGTTTTGTTTTGGGTCGGTGTATGTCCGTGGAGGTTTTCGAGTGGGTGTGAAACACACCGCGCGGGCGTAGTGGAGTGGAATGTTAGTATGTTGGATATAGATGGGAGATACACGTACCGATTTTGGCCCTTGCCCCTTGGGATTATTAGGGTTTCCTTGGGAAATTAGAGAGGTGCTGTTGGGGATGTGTGTGTGTGTGTGTGTGTTGTTCGCGTCTTAGTATAGTCTGCTCTGGGCAAATTGGAGTCAGATAAGCTCACCTTATCTCTGTTTATGGCCGTTGTCTTCTCGAACCCTGAACCTCTATGCTGTCACTGCATCAGAACGCCGCCGGTTGAAGAGTGTCAATTGGGGAAAAATCGACGGTCCGACTGATATCTGTTGGTCCCGCATTTTGTCGTATGGTTCGTGGAAAAAATTAGGTGAAAGGCCGTGTAGCTCTACTAGAATCGAGCTCCATCTCGGCCCATTCTGCCATCTTGTGTATTGTTTTATATCGGCCAGGAAAGGTGTGATACTGTTCGGAAAAATAGGTTCTGCGCTAGCCACTGTAGAACCTTTCGAGAGGTAGGGCTAGGGTGCGCGTAAAAATTGTGTATCCGGATGGATTCAGTGGAGGAGATAAGGTCTGACCTAGGTATATCGAGGACCACTTGTTAGCTGGTGGAATGGAATGTATCTGTGGATGGTGTGCTTCTTTGTTGATTGTCTTTCAGCTTCCTGAAGCTGTGGTAGTGCTCGGAGCTTGTCGTCCGTAGATTAAGCAAATACTTGCTAATCTCCCATTTGAAGCTGGTACTGGTGGGTGGAGAAGCATGTTCTGATACAGAACCTTGTCGTTTGGGTTCCTTGTCGCTAGGGGTTCGATGAATCGATCATCAGGTGGCTTGATGACTTTGCGAGCTGCATCCGAAGCGATTTCTACGGATAGCAGAGTGTCCAGATTTGTCCGAGGATAGTGAAAACGAGTAGAGGATCGGAAAATGGCCACGGAGAACCTCAGAACAATGGCTGGTGAAGCAACTGGTGTGCTGTTGACTGGTGTGCTGGTGAAGCAACTGGTGTGATGTGGAAGAAACGAGGGATTCAAAGCTAGGTTGGGCAATCTTGATTGTGAAGTACCTACGCCGAGATCAAGCCTAACCCGAAAATGTGAATACCCAAAGATGAAAGAGTTCTTGGAACCTTTGTGATACCTACCTAACCTATCAAGGTAAAAGGTAGGTGGTCACTGCCAGATCAGGGACATCACTTGGTCACTCCATTACGATACCAGTTGGGCTCTAACAGGTTAATAGAACTTTGATTGATTGATTGATCGATTGATCTCTTGGTCATTCCATGGGTGGACTACCTATACAAAAGCTTAATAGAACCTTGATCGATTGGCTGATTGACTGATTGGCTGCGGCTCGGGTATTGTGATTTCCGAGAGCCAGCGTGTGGGATCCAACCTGGGATATTTTCCAACTAGACTGACCGTATATCTACAGGGCAGTACCTACCAGGTGATACCAAGTTACCAACAGTGATTCTACCTCATAGGTTAGATCTTGTTGCAGCTCTCGCATAAAGTATCATCATCACATTCTACATATCCAAGTCTCGAGAGAACAACAAGTTCGGCTCTAAAATGTCTCGTCGAGGGTTTCGTACGAGAATGAAGTTTCTCCTAAATGAGCGTGATAGGAACGTTCCGGCATCAGAGAGCAGGATCTCTCAAGACCCTATACCAATGATCTTGCCCTCAGTGGAAGACAGATTGGAAGAGGATGTACCAGAAGCTCCCCAGGGGTCTGAAGTATGCCTATCTTATTATACCAATCCTCCAGGGATAGACCTAACTGTTGAACAGAATGCAGACACACTTTCCGAAGCGATCATACATTCCCTCCCTGAGACCGATTCCCATTCTACAACAGAAGGTTTCCATGATGTGTTCACGAATGAGGAATGTAGGATGATGCTCGAAGCAGCAGTGGAAGAGCAGGTCCTGCCTAGGGAGGAGGATTTAGAGAGTGAGGTGGTGGTGGACCTGACGAACATTCCTTGCGAAGAGGCAGAGGAGAGAAGCCCAGACCCTCCGAGACCCCAGCCGTCCATTGAGATGCCTCCACCACGACCGTCTGGGATTCAAACTAGCCCAGACATCGTATTCGAGACCGTAGATGTGCCCCATATCGAAACCCCGATGGATGAGTTCCACCTTCTCCTTGCAGTATGGCTAGACGATGCCCGAATCACTCGACAGCAGTATGCGTCTCTTGTGCAAATCTTGCAGACGTCAAAGATGCAGTCTATTCAAGAGTTACCCCTGGATATCAACACTTTGAAGAGAAATCTAAGAGGACAAATGTCTCAACTCCCCGTGATATCCAGAAAGATCCCCGTTATTCCCTCCCAGCTTCCAACATTGTCGCCGAACCAGCGCCATCTCAACCAGCAATACATGAAGAATCTCTACATCATTGACCCAATTCCACTTATCACGCGGCTCCTTCACTCCCCAATGTTTCAGTCCCACATGTACAAAGGTCTCGCAGAACTAGTCCCACGGGCAGGTGAATTATGGCAATCATTGTCATGGGCATCATCTATCCGGAGCACATCCGGTGAATTCGCTCAATACCCAGATCACTCGCCCATTTTTCCTTCGGATATTGTCAGGTACCGGTGTAGGAGCCGAGAATGCTGCGTAGCAGGCCGTCCTCCGTTCATGCCTCATCTCGGACGTGTCCGCGGAGTCTACAAGCAAGAGAATATCAAGGTTCTCGGGACACAGAGCATCCGACAACCGGGTGACCTTCTACCTCCGATTGATAGCCAAGATCCGCCCTTCGAAAGCTTTGAATTGATCCTACTTGAGGACGACGAGGTTCTCCTTACTGAAGATGAGGTCCTCGGTCGCGAGCCCGATGTATTCCATGATCGACAGTTCAAAATCGTTCCCGGAATGATAGTACGCCGACCACCAAGTTCCACTTTCACAATTTGCCGTGTGTACAAGAAAAGTGGAAACACGGTGAGAGCCCTCCAACAGACACACGCGATCAGAGGCGAACTAGAAATTGCCCAATATGGGCGCCAACATTTAGTTGACACCCTATCTTCACAACGTTGTGTTTCTGTGCCATATCAGACCTTCATGGATGGTTTTGGTCTGTACCGCACTATGTATCGCAGCATCATGGGAGTCTATATGATTCCTTCATGTGTCCCTGTCGCGGAACGTGCGAAAAGATCAAATGTCCTTCCAATCACCCTAGGGCCCCATGGCTCTAATTTCCCGGAGGTGGTCGGCAGTCTAACGCATCTTCGTCGGCTTGAGGAAGGCGTAGATATCACCTGGACCGATGGTAGGCCTATCAGACTTGTGGCCGGTTGCATTGCGTACATTGGGGACATGCCCCAGCAAAATGACAATGCTGGTTGTAAACGGCCTCATGCCAATCGAGGCTGTAGGACATGTCTGATAACAGAAGAGGTAAGGGATGATTTTCAATTTGATATCGAAACATTCGGCCGATATCACTTCCAAGTCCAGGATCAACGCCGCACGGCTACATCACAGCCACCTACTGCGCGGGCTAAAATGTTCAAAGAGCTAGGTCTTGTCAAAGATCCCTCGCCTTTGTTACAGATCTGTCCAGCTCTCGACGTTGTCACCCACTTTCCGTCGGACATATGCCACTCTTAGTATGGTGGAATTTCAAAAAATGGCACACCAGCTACTTTTTGACGAGATCCTTACACCAGCCGGGCAAGAGCTTTTCCTAAATCGGCTACGTGGATTTCCGTTCCCTCCAGGCTGGCAGCGTTTGCAGTCTCCAACGACACATTTGGAGAGTTACCAACTCTCTGAGCACGCCAGGGCAAGCGTGATCTTTCCTTGCTCCTACGCCGGTATCTGGAGAAGTCCTGGATTGATAGCGCATTCTACCAAGGAGTGGCTCACGTGTTTCCGTTTTCAGTTTCTCCTCCAGAGGACCTCATTGTTCTCACATTTGTGTCTATTGCTAAAAGTAACGTACTTCTATCAAGTAGCTCAATGAGCCAACTTGAAAGAGACAGCATCAAGAGGATTGTAGAGCGCGCTCGGTACGGTCTTCAGGGACTTCTTAAAGCAGCAGTGGCTTCTCAAGAAATACGACGCACCCCTTCCCGCTCAAGATCATCGGTTGCATTGAATAATGAACAGATGGATGGACATCGACACCCGGCGGAAATTACAACCAAGAAAGGTATAACGAACGAACGAAAGCAACGGCGACCCAACATGGATATTGGGATCCATTATGCGGGGGATACCGATATGTATGCAGTGCCGTTAAACAGCAATACGTTCTCTGGAGAACGCAAAAATCAGTAAGATCTATAATTTCTAGTCTTATGAAACTGTGTTCCTATGAGGAGAAACGTCGTATTCTCCAGATAACTGACGCTTTCTATTTTCTATGAGCTAGAGACCACAAGGAACTTGTTCGTTCGATGAACGGGGTTGAAGTAGAGCGGACCCTACTTCTTGAGGAGAGCTTTCGACGGACACTACGTTTCTACGTAGAAGGGTCCTTCTCCCATGACGACCAAAGAACAACCCTCACGATCCAGCAAGCCGCCCAGCGTTGCCCGCTGGTGTTCGCAAGTCTCTTCCACATGCCGGTGTCAGACCTGGGTCTCCATATCGGGGGTTCAACTTCACCAACGGAAGATCAGGACCAAGCACACGATATGACAGATTCCGAATTATACTCGGAAATCAAAGTTCCTATTCCGTGTGCAGTGTCTTCGAGCAAGAGTTTCCAAGTCCCCGACGCCTGTCCACAGCCGGACCCAACGATCCTTTTGTCAAGGAACTACGTGGAGCCTACCGCGAGGAGTATAGCAGACCACATGTCACCACTCCGGGCAAATATGCTCCCCATTGGTACAAGAAGGTATCCTTCTTCCATGGGTAAGTTTGCGTCTAAAGACTAAATCCTACCACAAGCAAAGCCTTCGTTGGACCAACATGCTAGCATCTTCACTACCGCACGTTTAGTGGGACAAAACAACGATACACCCTTTCCGTGGGAGACTACGTTGAATACCGAAGTCAAGGGATCGGCCAAGTTCTTGGTTTCTTTACCCACGAACTAATTCCTCGGGAGCGCCGGGTTTTTGTTCATCTCCAACCTCTATCCCACCTAAGTCGAGACGATTCAATTCTACTTCTACCGCAATTCAAACCCCAGCACCAGACCCAATTAGTCGTCGGACTCACCGGCATCTCGTATCGAAAGAAATACGTCCTGAACACCGCCAAATCGCAAAGACACTCGCCCGAGCTATCCGCGCAACAGAATGAGGATGGCACAGACGAGTTGGACGTTACCTTGACTTATTGCACGTGGAATGTTGAGTTTTTCTAACCTACCTATGTATCCTTCTATACTACCAGATACTCGGTAACTAGTTAGTCAGTGGTTAGTGTTAATTGATCCAACCTATACCAAAGGACATATCTGTTCATCGCCATTCCACAGATCACAGTTTAAGAGAGCATCCTTTATACAGATACATAGATAAAAGGAAATCTATGTAAAGAACGGCAAAGCCATCCAGGACGCCATCAATAGCCTTTTGGAAGGAGTCTGTAGACGCATGGATCCATATGTAGAGGGAAAGCGTTCCTTCCAGCAAGAGATGCAAGGAATAGTCCCCGTACCACGGTTCCAAACTATATAAAACTATAATAACGGTCATGCCAAAACCTAATTCCGTCCATATTCATAAACGCCCTTACCACCCGACTTTTTCTTTTCTCACACATCTCATCCTTTCAGCTAGTACGCACACGGCACACCACAATCTTCGCTTGAGATGCCCGGCCAACCGCAAGCTCCATGTCTGAGACACCCGGTTTCGCCCTCCGCCTAGAGCAGGAATCAGTCTTAATAGACCATCCGGATATGCAACTCGTCCTTGTTGAAACCCCACCGCCCTTTCACCATGTCCATCAACCCCAAACTGCAGGAAGCACAAGTCCTACTCCTACCACGCCGCCGGCTCAGCCAGCCACTCACCCCCAAGGTCCATCAATCACGAATCCAACGGTTGCCACAAGACAGCGTAGGGCGTATAACCGCCGCATCCCATCCAAGCAAGCTGTGGGATACGAGGAGAGTGAAGTTGTGGCCAGACAATGCTACGATAGATTGCTGAAATGGCACGTATTGTGCAACTTCAGCCTGAAAAATATCAATCCAGTCATCCTCAATGGGTATCCCGATGCAGCAGCGCCGCCCCCAGCGCCCTACACACGAAAGCGTTGAACATTGCCAAAGATCAGTCGAAAACGTGGAAATGTAATACGCTTAAGGCCATGAAAGTGAGTGGAAAGCAGAGCATTCTTGGCTATTGATAGTTACTAAATGATATTATCTTGGCTAGTCACTGATCGGGGCCATTATGGACAAGTCCGAGGTAGAGGACGCCATACCGCTCAGCAGCATCCACGAAGAGGAACTTCTATTCCAGTACTTCTACCGAGCTTTCAATGACGAAGACTTTTACAATTGTTTTGCTTGTGTTTACGAGATACTTGATTTGGCCCAATCCCCTGAAGCGGGTAAATCTTACGTGCGAAGTAAGTGTTATTCCGATCTCTGGAATGAACGTATTTCAAAGAGTTAATATTAAAAGACGTATGGGCCAATCTTACAGCTAAATTGAAGGTTTGGACTGACCTCAGTCGCGCAACGGACGATAGGAGGTATATGGCTGCCGGAAAGATGAACGAGATCCATAAATTCTGGTATCAGATGGCGGAGCACGAGCTCCTCCGAGGTGCCACCAAGGATCTTTTCGCCGAACGCCCTGCAATCGGCGCCGGCATGAAGCGGCCGGCGCCCGACGAAACGGTTCCTCGGGTCTTTTTCCGCGGAGCTCCCGTTCGTGACCCAAGTTCTTCGAACTGAAGTTCTGTGGTTTTTATTCTTTTTTGTGCATACTTTATTCCATATCTATTACTGTGTGTTATTTCTAAGCCAAAGTCTGTCCTGCACCCAGTCGCCTACTACTCTCGCGAGTTGTCCCCCGCGGAATGCAACTACTCCATCGGCGACAAGGATCTCCTGGCGATTGTTCTTGCTTTCGAAGAATGGCGTGTTTATCTCTACGGTTCCCGCCATCGTGTTCTTGTTCTCACCGATCATCACAACCTGCAGAGCTTTCTCACCAAGAAGCTTTTGAACCGACGACAAGCCCGCTGAGCTCTGGAACTCGCCGAATTCGACTTTACGATCGTCTACCGTCCGGGTAGCCATCATCCGCTCTCGCCACGATCACGCAGCGGGCCACCCAGGTCGCGCAGCAACGTTCGAGCTGGTCAGCCGTGACTTCTGGTGGCCTGGTATGCGAAAGACCATCGCCCGCTATTGCTCCAACTGCGACACTTGCACCCGCATCAAGCCTGCTCGCCACGCACCGTTCGGTTATCTGAAGCCCCTAGAGGCCCCGCAGCGACGTTGGGATTCGGTCTCTTTGGATTTTATTGTCGGCCTACCCAGCTCCGATGGAAAAGATTCGATCTTGGTTGTTGTCGATCGCCTCAGCAAGATGGGGCATTTCATACCTTGTCGTTCGGACATCGACTCCGCCGGAACGGCCTCCCTGTTCCGAGACTATGTGTTCAAGTACCACGGCCTCCCATCATCGTTGATCAGCGACCGCGGCACAACTTTCATCTCGTCGTTCTCTCGAGCCTTATGCCAAATGGTGAACATCTCCCAGGGGCTATCGACGGCTTTCCACCCGCAGACCAATGGCCAAACTGAGCGTGTTAACGCTATTCTCGAACAATATCTTCGTGGTTACTGCAACTATCAGCAAGACAACTGGTCTGAACTCTTGACGATGGCCGAATTTGCATACAACGTCAACAACACTGTCTCCAGCACCACCGAGCTGACCCCGTTCTTCACCAACTATGGTTACCATCCCCGATTCGAGATGTATCTTCGTCCTGGGCAGACTCCACCTCCGCAAGCCTTGCTGGATTACTCGGACCGCCTACAGGCGCTGGACGAGTATCTACATGACGAAATCATCTACGCCCAAGCCCCACAAGCCTCACAAGCCTCACAAGCGGATAAGGACCGCTCCGCCCCTCCCGTCTTGAACGTTGGTGATGAAGTTTGGTTCCTCCGTCGTCACATCCGCACTACCCGCCTGTCTGACAAGCTGGACAGCAAGAGGCTTGGCAGGTTCGAGATCATCGAGAAAGTTTCCAGCCATGCTTACAAGTTGGACTTGCCTACGTCTATGAATGTTCACCCTGTTGTACACGTCTCTCTCCTCGAACCGGCGGCTACGGATCCCCTGGTCGCTCAAGTACAACCTCCTCCCCCTCCGGTTATTGTCGATGAGCACGAAGAATACGAAGTTGACGAGATCCTCGACTCCCGCTCTGTTAACTACCTGATTGATAACTATATCATTGTTAATGTTCTTTAATGTATCCTAGTAGGTCTACCACACCCATCCTCCAGGGCTCCATGTGCCAGGTCATTTGTCCCTGTCCCGTTATCCTGATGTGAAACTACTCGCCTTCCGAATCCGGCACTAGATATCGAATAGTCTCCTCGGCAATAAAGACCCAGCCCTCCTGATTGTTTGGGTCCCATATAACCTCGGGTATAAGCGCTGGTCTTCCTAGTCTCTTTAGGATCTCAAAAAGGCACATTATGGGGGCGTCAGATTGTAGGTTTTCATGTAGCCCATGCTGCACCCAGTCATAGATTCTGGTGTTCAATTCTCGTACTGCTCGCCTCACGGCCCAGGTTTGGATTGACGGTAAATGCACCCAAACATCAGGCACATAGGCGTCTTGTCCGTCCAGGATGTCAACTTGTATAGATCCAAGTTCTTCTACAGGTAGATTGTGGGGTACCTACTACCTCCTTGGTATGGGCTACCTACCTATCCATGGACAGATAGGCAGGGTACCTGATTACCGTGAGAATACTAAAAGTTGCAACTGAAAACCGGGCCGCCTTGAGGAATACCAAGCACAGCACAATACCATAAACCGCCTAGAATACCAGCGACCCGGACAATACCGTGGTGTCAGAAAATACGTAATATGTGAAATACCGTACAATTATGGTATTCTAGAAACAATGCGCTAATTACCGTAGCATTACTGCTCCTTACTATTTTCACGGTAATATAACGATATTCGGATTTTTAGTTTCTCCCACATGGGTGGACAGGGCAAGTCAGACTGTAGGGGGAGGTCACACCTCCCCACTACAATACCTACAACTTTACATGTTGTTTTGTCGACAACCGCCATTGATCATCCACCAGACTGATATAATCGACTATGACTTGTAATTTATAGGTGACCATGCCTACGGTTTACTTTTGTATGAATATTTGTTTATAATGCATCATATTGATGGGGTATTCAGTGAAATATCTACAAATTGACGGAACAGCTGTAAAAAAAAGATGAATTATCAATTTTATCTAACCGAATGAGGTAAGGCGCCGAAAATTTATGCAAATGCGGGTCGTTGAGGGTCAGAAGGTTGGAACCTCCCCTCAAGAGGGAAGGTTCGCGGGTCCGGGGTTGGCACCCATGCGGAGGGTCGTTGCCAGGTCTACGCGTCGGACAGCTGCCTGCTAGGCCTCTCCTTCAGCCAGTCCTTCGTCGTTACAAAGACCAGATCACCGACGTCGAAATCAATTTCACGGCGACGCCTATTTGCTTGTTGAGCCTGCAGTCCCTGGGAATGCGTAGCTCGTTCCTTCGTCTCGTTCCAGATCTCATGTAGACGTGCTAGTATGTCAGATGGTTCTTGCTCATTCTCCGTCAATGTGCCCCGATCTCGTGTTAAGGGGTAGCTACAAGCAGAGGGCTATTGGCTAGGTAAAAAGACAATAAGATGCGGGGCTTAGATATGAGTATAGTCCATTCGATAACGAGACTGAATCTTGGAGAGTTCTCATGGCTCTCTCCAAGTCGAAGTATTTAACAACAAAGAGAACAGTATAACTCAATGACAACACAATAACGACGATGAGGAAATTCCCTCATACAACATGACAATCTCTCATAGACTATCTGACGATCCTCCAAGTGACATAATGAATTCGGGGGTCAATCGAAGATCAGCTGTGATCAAACAAGATAACGCGGTCTCCGAGCCCTAAGATGACGGAAACCCAATGATCATCAGGATTCAGATCCAAGATCATCCGGGATCCAGATCCCGAATGACGTGTGGGGCGTGTGGGGCCCGACGATCATACAAGGCCTCAGCGCTAAGTGATGTGGGGGTCCCAAGAGGGGAGGGAACCCCGTAACAACTCGCCAGTCGAATTGTCACATGCTATGAGATCTAGGAACAAGGTCAAGGGTCATGTGATCGAGGAGGTGATTGCTTGTTCGTCTCATGAGCAAAAGGCTCATCTCAGATAGTTGCTTTCCTTCTTTCTCTTTCCCTCCTCACGTTTAGTTTTCTGAATGACGGCACTCCTATTATCAAGAATTGGCTCGTAACAATATCCACTTTTCTTACACATCCATTCTATATATTCAACAATTTCCCCCTCAAGTTAAACAACTGGAAGGTATCTTCCACATCTATCAGTAGAATGTTGTGACTGGCCTTGCTCCCGCTGTTGTACGTTGATACTCCAGGAGTACGGCTAATTTCGACAACAGCTTACTGTAAGCTCGGTTCAGTGAGAAGTTAAACCATTGTCCATTTACGCAAAGGTGATCATGTAGGACGCACCAGCTACACAGGTTTTATTTAGTTCTGAGAACCAATCAAACCAAAAATAAATAGTTGCCCCTTGGTACGAGCCAATTCTTGATGAAAAGAGCGCTGTCATTCAGAAAATTAAACGTGAGGAGGGAAAGAGAAAGAAGGAAAGCAACTATCTGAGATGAGCCTTTTGCTCACGAGACGAACAAGCAATCACCTCCTCGATCACATGACCCTTGACCTTGTTCCTAGATCTCTTAGCACGTGACAGGAATCGCCGTTCACGAAACCACCAGCTTCTTTCTCGTTCTTGTTCCCATCCCCGGTAAAACAGCTGAAGAAGTTTATTATTTACACATTTTATCCACCCATGAAACTATCATACTCCTCGTCCTCTGACAATGGCTTCATAATCTTAACAAAACTGATTGAACCAGACTTCTTCTCATCCAGCATTTGCCCCGGAGGTGACGCATCCAGCAATGTCTGCAACGACTCTTCGTCAATCACCATACACGTCCGATGCGTGGTGTCATGGCCTCACTTCTCCTGTTCAGTAATCCAGGATTGAAAGTGATTTCTGATCGAGTCTATGGACGCGCCTTGGAACCGGACCGCATCGTCCATTATGACTGGGTGGTGTTGGGCCCAAATCTCATGGTATGGAGTGGGCTCGACACCCTGACATTTATTGCTTTGTATCGAAGCGTATTCTGAGTATAAAGCGTGTTTGACGTGGGAACTGAGTAGATCGATGATTTGTGGGAACGCAATATTGGACTCCGGAGTGTAGGTAGTGCGATAAATGACATAGCCCCATGTTGCTTCGCTTCTCACAGAAGCATATAGGCATTGAGTCGGATAAGGTAGCCAACTGAAAGCCATGGCGATATTGTATTAGACGTGGAATTGAAGCGATAAAGGAGGAGAGAAAAAGACAAAACCGCTTTACTTATAACGGGCACGCTTCAGGGGCTGAGGTTGACCTCGTTCGCAGTCAGTGACGCCAAGAGATTTCATCCGCCTTCAAGTTGATGCCAAAGGTGGGTCGGTCATAAACCGGCTTTTATCCGAACGAAAAGAAAGCGGGGAATAACCACCCGAAAGTTAAGCGAGGGCTGGGTTGACTGCTGGCATACATAATTTCCAAGGTTTCTGCGGAAGAGGCAGATGGCTCAACTGTCCAGGTTCTGGCTGTGTAAAATCAAAATGATTGATAATCTCTCGTCTAAGGCTACAGTCATCCAGGGGCATATTGTGTCCTGATCTCATTTTGCACTTGTGTTTGCGGCATTTGATTGCGTGTCCAATTTAGCCTAGGCGCTGGCTGGGGGACTAGAAAACCACCCCTAATTATGACCGAGCGGTACTTAGAGTGCCAAAGTAGAATTATCCGCGGAAAATGCCCTGGTTGAAATGAGTGTCTCAGACGTTCCGTGAGTCGACCGCTATCCTTGGCCACTCGACCTCTTACTCTCCATCCTCCCACCTGGAAGAAGCTCCGGGTACTTCGCGACTTTCAAACAGCGTCATGGAAAGCCACCAAGCACAAATTTCACAGTAAGTCCTTTTAACAATTCTTCAATAAGGAACCACCTAGAAGATTAGTATTAACAGATGCAGCCCCTCGTCACCGGCCCCAAACCTGACCCTGAGTCTCTCATCGCCAGACAAGATCCAAACGAAATTATCACTTTTTCATAGTGATGGGCTACTTATCACACTCCAACGCCAGAAAGACGACAATCCTAAGCCCTTTATTTTCAAATGGACACCTAAAGGAGACTTCTTTAATCCCTCAGAACTCAGTCTATTCCGCGTTGTCGAGAAGACTGGTTCCGATGATATTTGGGTGAAACAAGAAATTCAGTTCTCCGACCAGGACAACCATAAAGAGCCAAAACCGATTACTGTCAGACAGTGGGCCGATGACCATGTCTTTGAACTTGGTCCTGACAAGTCTATTTCTTTTAAAGTGAGTTTCCCGGACTCATGGAGGCAGGCTCTTGTTCCTGGCGAGAGGTATGAACTGTTTTGGAGGGGTGCGACGGGGATTGCATTATGGGATTGGGGCAGCGTGGACGAATATACGGGCAGAAAATTGGAGGTGAAAGAAGCGGCGAAGAGAATCTACCTACGTTGTAGTAGTGGCTGTGGAAATGATCAGATGAGCGATGGGTCCGGAGTGCTGATGCGTTTTACTGCCATTGGCGAAAACGTGAATTTGCAGCGCGATTCTGGTGGGTCTATGTTTACGTCTCCAGACATGGACTTGGCAATAACTCGGAAGAGCGTGTAAGTTAATACCCTTGCTTTAGATATCGCTATCGCTGACAGTTAATAATTCTAGTTCAAGCGCACCGATGCTTAGCGTATCGCTCGAAATAGCGGATGATCCCGGAGAGCTAAGGCGAGAAAATGGAGTCCTAGTGATGGAATTCCGATGTAAGGTTTTATATCACGGGGTTGGAAGCGATAATCCTGCTACTGCGAGCCCTATCACTTTTCACTGCAATATTTTTCGCAAATAATTAAGTTACAGATTGGATTATCATCGTCGTGATGAGGATGAAAAGTGGAGACCCTGTGGTTGCCGCAATATTTGTCTCGGGTTCGCGGATTTGCCCGACGCCCAGGTCAATATTTCCCATAATATGGACTTTGTGAGTCTCCGCCCTGGCGAAATCTGGACTACGGCTATCGGGCTTGACGATTATGTCTGGGAGTTTCCGGATGATCTTCAGCCAGGGGATGTGTTCCGGTTTGTATTTAAGGGCGCTACGGTAGAATGGTGGGACTGGGGTAGCAAGGATCAAGCGCATACTCAGACGGTGGTCACCGTTGAGTCTATTGCTTTTGGCAGCGTTGTCAACCCAGCTGATAATGGTGGCAGGCCTCTGATTGTGATACCACCCTCTAACCAGATCGAGTTTGATTTTGCTGGTTAGACGTACTCTTGCTACAAATCTCCACACAGGCTCAATGTTCACGGATATGCATCTTATAACATAATTCATGCACCGTAAAAACAGTGAGAATAAGAACAAGAAGATATTTGCAAATTCTACTCGGCCAACAAGGGTTCTGTTTCCCCACCAGGACTTTGAGCCGAATTGACACCACGTCTCCAGACAATAAAACAAAGAAGCGCCTGCCAAAGCGCGTAAACGAGATGGTCCATAGCTGCCCATCCAACCAATCGGTACATCTCAAGAACGGGTGACCTGTAGAATGCGGGCATGCCTGACGGTGGCCATCGAATTCGCAGTAGCCATGATACGCCCAGCAAAGCGAAAACAAAGGCTTGGAACGCGAACACACTGACACTCATGAAAGAAGAAGGCTCTTGCAAAGTCTGGCGGACCTGAAAAATAATTGAGATAACCATAAAGAGGGTCACAACGGGGTTGACGAAGATAAGGTGGTAGCCGCCGAAAAGGGAGAGGGGCAATTCTCTGTAGGGACCATTGTCATAAATGCCCCCAGTAATGACATAATAGAGCTCTGGGAAAACAGAAACAAAAAGAAATGCGGAGTATACAGCTAGAGCGGTGAGTTTATGAGCGACGTCGTCAGGAAGATAATGGAGTGTAAAGGCGAAGCTGCAACGGCTTGTCAGTACCACAGTGATTTCAACCTGACGACCAAATTCGAAGTTTTTTTCTTACAAAATAAGAAATAAGACGTAAGACACTGTCATCTGACCTAAATTAAGCCAGTCGCCTGTGCTGGATGGCGAGTGAACAAAAACTTCACCACCACCGATATTGTTGTTCACCAGGAAGAAAACCACTATTGTGAACTGTTCTGTGGCAGCGATAAGATTGAAGAGCACATAGTAGACGGAGATGCCGGAGCTATCCTTTCTGGACCGAATGCATTGAATCTGAGGATATAATGATAAGACTGTCAAAGCGGAAAGGATACTGAATGGTTGGTTAGCACTTAATTAAAGCATGGTTGCCTGGGATGCGTACATCCTCAGCCAGTTTGGGAAGGCCATGGCGATGAAGGGGTGGCTAATGTTCCAGTTTTAATCTCAAGCATGAGCAAAAGAGACAGACAGTGATATCGGCGTACTTGGGACGTCTCTTCGACTCGGAAGAAAAAGAGAGGGGTTATAAGGGAGGCGAGACAGAATCCCTGGCCAATGTCGTTACGTAGATTTAAGCACTGCGGAGCGGAGCCTCATGGCAAATGACAACCGCGGTTGTTTCCGATGTATGTACCTGTATGTACCAGTTTTTGGGCCGCGGATGCGCATTTCCCGATCGGGGTGCCGCCGCTTTATGAGGGGGCTCAGGGTCATGCTCACTGAGTATTTCACAGCACAGGGTGATTACTCAGTGCCACTCGAGGTATGCTTAGTAATGTAAAAATAATGCTCAGGTTATGCTCAGTGAGCCCTCAGGGTATGCTCAGTGAGCACGACCTGAATACACACTCTCGGCCTGAAAATAAAGGCAGAGATAGAACAAATTGACCACGTGACATGTGGATCATTTATTAGCCATCTATTCTGTGATGCTGGCGCCAGCAACTAAAAATCCACCTAACATTGACCATCCTTTTTCTGTTGATAGCCCCTGCTCCCAGGAAGTTATTCACTCGTATGCCCTCTCGGCCCCTCTGAGAGATGATGACGTGTGAAATTACATGGCTTGTGCCTTTCGCCCAATCCCTGCTATGGCCGGGATGGTTTGTTATGAAGTACTTAACATCCAGTCGAGCTATAAATACAGCGAAATCCCCCATGGGTAGTCAACCACAGATACTTCGCAAGGGCTTGCAGCTCACTACCTCTTTTATTCTCTTCATGATTCGTCCCAGTGTATAAACGTTCCTTTCCAATCCTGGATCATGGGTATAAAGCCCCAGACTTGCGATTTAGCAAGGGAACGGCGCCGCGCGAGACGCAAAGAAACTGGATTCCAACCGGAAGCTTAGGGCTTAGGGCTTTAGGGCTTAGGGCTTTAGGGCTTAGGG